CGAAGCTGAGACAATTCCTACCGATTTCATGGGCAACAGTGCGTCACAAGTACCGAGTTTCCACTCCTCTGTATTCTTTTTCCACCGCGTTTTCGAAACTGTCAACCGCTGGCACGCGACACGGTGCAGGTGAAAATGGACTATGTGAATGCGATTGATGATCCACTTTTCATCGCGGCACTATTATTGCTCGTCGCTAACTGGGTTCGCGGAGTGCGTGTTGGTGGTTGTCTATACAATATATCTTGAAATACGTGGGAAATACTGTAGAGATGAATTCTGGATGCAAATATGGTAAAACAATTTCACACAAACAAACACTGGGTGTTATCTTGTTTTCTGGATATAATTTGCTTAGTTTTTACAATAATCTTTCACATGCATAAATGCAGCATAGATATACATTGATATACTCTTTATTTGCAGCTATAAGATAATTACAACTGAAAAAGAAACAGTTCCTATTCATTTCTCATTTAACATAATCTGTGCACATTATTTTTCAAAACTTTAAAATACTGTTTAGAAAAGAGATAAGTTTTAATACAATTAATATAGAAACAAATTTCATTTTTATACTGATCAGCTAGTCGTACAAAATTGAAAAACCTTTACAAATATATTTGTAACTTTTGTTTGTGCTCAACGTGTAGGAACATTTTGTTTAAATACTTTACGACATTGTATTACTACTAGATTTATGGACATTTATCGTTGTTATGTACACGCGAACTTAGAGTTGAATTTCGTAAGTGGCTCCGTATTTAGTGGAATTTCTATTTTTTCATCCGGCACCGTTTCGTCTTCGACAGTGAACAAATCTGTCTTTGCAAGGGGGTGTAGAGCTTATATATTAAAAAAGCTGGTAGTGAGGCAGTCGACACAATCCTCAAGACTATCTGCGACAACGACGCTTGACGTGCTGTTGACTCGAGTACTTCGGTTACCTGAACATTCGACAACTAGTTGACTTGACGCCTCGAGCAATAAAGTAATTAACGGATATCCCGTTCTCGCGTGTTAACACTTATACAGTTTATTCTATCGCTTTTAACACTAAGTTTGCGGAACATGTCAATTTGACGCACATCGAATTTTATAAAGATTATTTCTTAAATTTGTATGTCGATTTTTATTGATGCAGTTATACGAATACGTATTCCGATTATCTATTTGTAAACCCCTAATTTCTGAGATCTGAATAAACAGACATCAATTGTTCTAGAAAGAATAGAAGACTATACAATAAATGTCTATTTTGGTTTTGGAAATTAGACGTTTAAAAGTATACAATTAGGACACATATTTGCGTATTTCCATCAATCAAAATTTACCCAAACTTAAGAGTTAAATTCGGCACGTCTAGTGTTATAAGACAGTACAAGATATTAAATTTTTATTAAACACTATATTTCTATAAAGTGCAAATTAACACTAAAACTACCAGACAGGTCACAATGACCCGTTACTGACTTCTTCTTTTTACAATTACGGAAAAGATAACAGATGTTTCTGTGAGAAATTATCAAAGAAATTGATTCATCAATACGCAAGTTGAATTGTAAATGAATAAAGGTCTCAATAAATGCATTCTTGTAGTTTCTATAAAGGAATTTCAAAAGGTCAATTTAACTGCTCGGTAGTTTTAGTGTTAAATATACCTATTTTATGTAGTTGTTCTGAATCATACCTGTAATATCGTCCACCTAGTACATATTATATATCGTGTGCGTTGATGAATCTGAAAGGTGATCGGTTTCAAGATCGCGAGGGAGAAGAGACACAGAAACGTGGAAAATCGTATGCAAAATCATGGATCTGTGCTGCAACCTTTCCATTAATTATTGTTTCTTCGAGATAGTGCCGCTCAAGGTGTTGAGTTTTGTGTAACCAGTTGCTGAAGGTATACCAGTTGGCGTATGTACGCGCGTCAACGAGTTTTATAGTTGGAACGGAAGTAAATGATTCGATCGATACGTGACACGTTTATTCTCTGTTTGAAAAGCGTTTCTTTTCTTTTAGTTGTAAGTGGCAAAGGATACAATGTGCTGATACTGACTCTGATTAACTTCAGTTGTACAATCGATAAATTTGAACATAATCCCACTGATAATTCCCACGGAATCTGTTATGGTTTGATTTAGGTTCCGATAAATTATTAACGAACAAAGCACTACATCGGTTACTTATCAACTTTACAAGTTGATCTTTGATATTAATAATTCTCGATGACGAGTCGTAAATCAATTGTAGTAGTTGTTGATTATAACATCTTGCGCAATCATTAATTAGGTATTATACATTCTTTTGGGATTTAGATTTTAATACTTTCTTAAGTAGGTTATCAATGCTACCTTATCATGATAAGCAATTCTTATATATAACGATTGATAGATGAATGATTACTGTTCAGTTTGGTTGAGAGAGATTTGAGGTTTTGGTATAAACTGCTGGATTTTAATTGCAATGCCTGATTAAGAATACGAAAACTATTCGTTTGATTGAAACCTGTTGAAATTTTGATAATTTCACCTGGAAAGTGAATTTCAAGGTAACTGCAACTTTTATTTCTTGTTAACTGGTAATAAATCAATTTCAAAGAAATATAATTTCCGAATAAATATTCACTTTCATGTTTGTTCTGTCTTGAATGAAGTTTCCTTCATTCTGTAATTTATGTGTTAGTTCAGCAACATGTAGAAAGCAAAACTTACGATACAAGCTGAACGTTTAATACATTAATTATTATGAAAAGAAGCGTCATTTTGATTTCTTATCGCAATGGGTATTTGTCTTCATCATTTTTGAAATTAATATTCATTAAGCTTTAACAATCACAGGCTGTCAATAAGAATATACCTACATTATTACTTGTGAAAGAAACATGCAACGTCAATTTACATTGTTTCAATATCAATGAAAATTCTATTATGTACCTATTCATCATATTTCGTAATTTTTTTCAGGTATATTTAATTGCTATCGTTTCTCAGTGAATTTAATGTTTTATCTGAACCGACACACACCATTACACTGTACTGAAAAAGTGTGCCCGTCGCGACAATGGAACTAAAATTGCATATTTAGATTTAACGATCATTTAATCACGCAACAAAAGGTCGTAAATAAAGTCTGTCGAGTATTACTTTAATTTTTTCCAATTATCGTATTTGTCTTCTCATAAATTATATTTTGTTTTTTGAATAATCATTTTTAGAATTAAGCTTGTCGTAATACTTATATTATTATACATCCAACTGGATGATTAAAGCTTATCATTTCGTATATTTAATTCATAAAGCATTAATATTGCTGTTACCTAAACAGTGTATTTTCAAAGAATAAAGACGATCGATATTAATTTAACAAAATTTCCACAAAAAATTGATTGATATATTGAATCGTATACCTTCGGATGTGTTCAACATTCTTTTTAGATTATTAGTTTCACAAGCAGTGAAATAATAATTGCATTTCAATTGACTGACTTTTTATTCAATACAAACATTGCACATTTGAAATAATTCATTGTTAAATTCTTAAAATTAGAACATATTCTTGCTTGCAACCAAAAGTGTTTATGTTTCAGCCTAATACTTCTGTAACGAAACATGTTCACTACCAACTGTGCATAGAGAAAATATAAATAACGCTGTAGATATCATTATTTCAAATGACAAGATACGAGGTTAGACTCAAAAAATCAATAACTCTTTCTAGTTCCATTCTTTTCATGTTTTAGTTAGAATATTTGTCAGGTTTAATAGAACTTTGAAAATGAAGGGATTGTTATCGAAACAAACGGTGGTAGGGAACGTGTTAAAGACAAAGGTTGGCTTTGGGATCAAATTCATCCTCGAAATGCACGAGAGTGAAAGACACTGTTACGTTGTCGTAACACACAGAAGGGTTTCCATGAAAACGGTTGGATTCTTGTCTCGATCGGAAAATGACATACAGCGAGATGTTAGCGTAGAAGAAACACTTTATTCTAACCACACCGATTTTTTAGGATTTCCGTTCATAGTTCAGTTTCGCGACGTTTGTGAAAGTAGCGCGTTTGTAGAATTATGTCTTTCGAGAGGTTTCGTAACATTGTGTTCGGTTCTCGTAGCATCATATTTTATGTAAACTTGGGTTTTTTATGATTGCTCAGTTGCATTTTTAGGTGGAGGAAAGTTGTGTTTTATCATTGGTCACAGATGTGTCTATTTTGCGTCTTAGAGTGGGAAATTGTCAAAAGTCTAGGTTCGTTTCGTCATCGTCGTGATTTAGAACTCTTTGTTTGGTCTTTACGGTTACGGGTTTTTACGGTTGCAGCTTGTCCCTGCGTCACATGTGGCGTCCAAATGTTTTACGATGACCATCATAAAAATGAGAAAGATTTCGGAGTGCTCGCGCACCTGGTCTGTAATTATGAAAGTATCCTAAGTCGCTTCGCTGTCGATTAGTTTATGGTTTGAAATGAGTAAGTCGGACGTAACAGGCATATTAACGGGTTCAAATTTTACGTCGTGGATAAAGAAGAACCCGAGACGAATGTATCTCGGCGACGAACCAGAGAAGTCCATCACCTTCCCTTTCACGGTGCAGCGTCGTCGCACGTGCGTCGTCATGGGACACGCGGAACGTGTACTTTATGCAAATATTTACCGACTCCGTAGAAAATGGGAGTTATGTCATGGTCCCGTCGTTTCCTGCAATGCTATTATTATTCCTTTCTTTTCCTTTGTATCTAATTCGCGTGGCAAGCCAGACACAGCCGTAATAAACACCGAGATCACGAATTGTTTTATAATAGAATAATGAATCAATTTTTATTTAACAGGTTCAATGCCACGTGTACCACATATGGTACACGCCAATGTTTGTAAGAAAATACTTTTGAAAGATACATGGTCACGGACACGTTGCACAGTAGCGAAAATGTAGAGAAACGACATCAAAATATATAACAATTACCAAAAACTTGAATGTAACTTGATTTTTTAAATGAAATATTAATACAGTTTAGAAGCAAAATATAATCAAAATTTCCGATGACACGGAATGTGTTAACTAAAACAGTAAGTAAATGCGTCTGTTCGGTACAATGGATTATAATGTGTAATAATTTTCATTCACTTGTTTTATAAATATTGTAATGGAGATTCGGATGCGTTTTTCTTTTTAATTGATTATAGTTTTATCCAGTCGAGTCCATAGATGACTGTCATTACCAATTCTATTCTTAATACGAGTAACAAGGGAACAACCTTGCGGTTGTACTTTTTTTCTCTTCCACAAACAACCATGAACCGTTCCTCGAAACAGTTTTTAGGAAACATTAATTAATTCATCGATGAACTTGGTCGAACGAATGTTTGTCGGTTCGTTACAACGTTTTGCTTTAATTGCTCTAATACCACGCTAATACCACGTAACTTCTGTAAAATTACCACCGTGTCAGTATCAACTAAAAAGTGCAACCGCTTCCGTGCTCTTTGCGAATAAGAACAAGAGTGCAGAAAAGATTTCTCTTGAATGTAAAAAGAGAGTTCGTAGAGGACAAAGGTGAACGAAAAAAAGCGGTTAGTTATCATCGAGTTAGAAACTCAGTTATCGAAAACACCAATCTTGTTTTTCGTTTCTTGCCCAGAGAAGTATTAACTTATTAACTATGGAATTTAATTTTAAAAATCTCTGATAATGCTCGCAATGAAATCAAATAACGATGTGTATACTCGTCACACGCAGATCAAATGCACCTATAATATATTCTAACGAAAAACTAAAGCGAAATGAAGAAGAATTACATGTTTATCTGAAAAAATAAATAATTGATCGTTGATGTAGTTAGTATCATTTTGATTCTAAGATGACGTATATACTCGTCGAGCGCAGTTAACTGGTTAAGTCAGCTTTCGTAGTAATGATCTCGTGAATTCCGACAATTATAAAACCGCCAAGATTGTTTTTCCTCGACTCATTGACTATCGAACGATCGATCGATTTCAGACACTACATTTTCTTGTATCGCGATGCTTATTAATCATGCAAGAAAACAATTGCAAATTGACGAGATTAAATCTGACCATTCTCATACGTGATTCATTAATTTTCTCGTCATAGGAACTATCAAGATCCTCATGTTGCACTTAGATTCTATTAATAGGATCACGTACGGTGTTGATTTATTGATGCAATATAAGCTTCGTAAAAATCGGATATCTCACTTGAAGAGAGACGAAAGACGAGGTTCAGATACGTATCGAGTTACCTTTCGAATTCGAGTTAACTTTGGCATTGATCACGCGCAAACTGCGAGAAAGATATTCTACACGCTTAATTATCATTTCCGCCACGTCGATTCTGTTCTCTCAATGACAATTTTTTTTCGAGCGGATTTACCGTGGCGTTACTCACCTTCACCTTTCTAAACCCCTTTACACCACTCGCATGGAATGAAAATCAGAGTTCATTTGCCATTTTGCAGAATAAAATTCATGATTAGAATCGCGAGAAAGAAATGGTTGACATTTACATCCCAGAAGCGTTACAATGCGTCGCATAATATGTATTACCGTGGAAGTTTAGCAATTTACAATAATAAATGTTAACATTCATCACAGTGATTAATGCAAATATTCCAATATCCATTTTCATTCCATACACTATGTTATGTACGTTTGTTCTATTTATCTTCAATTCATTTTCAGTTACTTCAATCATCTCGCATCAGTCTTTCATAATATACCAAAACAAACGTGACTATCCAATTTCCATAAGAAACCAACCATCCGATTTTACCTTTACCAATAAAACCAATGTAGCCATACATAAACTGAATTGTAAATCAATTAAAGTTTCAGTAGATACACTCTTGGAGTTTCTATAGACGAATTTCAAAACGTCAGTTTAACAGCTCAGTAGTATCAGTGTAAAAATCGTTCTTCTCGACGTTACTAAACCGTACATCTATTTCCTTGCAATACGAGTTCATCCGTTCTTCAATCATGGTCGGAGAAAAATCTTATTGTTCGGCAGCAATTATCATATAATTGCATTTTTCTTCTGTCGCGATCGACACCGACCTCGGATGCAGATAAACCTGGAAAATATGTTAAAACATTAAAGCGCCGTGCATTGTATCTCTACTCAAACAATGTCGACGGTTTCTTCGTTGTTTTTTTTGTAACCGACTGCTCGCCATGAACTTAATTCGGCGCTGCGTGTAATTTCAATGTGGTAATCGAGCCTCCTTAATTTCCAGAGATCGAGATAATGACAGTCATGGTAGAGTCCATGAAAGTCGAGGAGGGCGAACGTCCGAAGATCGCAGCCTTCGACGACATCCTCCCGTACGTCGGTGAGGCTAGTCGATACCAATGGTTCCTCTTCATCCTGCTTCTACCCTTTACCTTCGTCTACGCGTTCCTGTATTTTACGCAGTTCTTCATCACGCTGCTGCCTGCCGAGCACTGGTGCACCGTGCCCGAACTCGACAACTGGAATCTCACCGATCATGAAAAGTAAGTGGAAAATTATTTGTTTTACTTTTTTCGAGATAACTTATTAGGTCGTGTAATATAAAATGTTGGATTTGATGTTCTAAAAGATGTTTGTTCAATGAAAATATGCTCTATTCGATTCGACACTTCTATCGACGTGTTTTAACCCTTTGCACTCGAGAGGTGACTCACAATCACCATTTGATTTGATATAGCAGAATTATGAAATTTAATGTTCAATATTATATTGTATATAGTGTAATTAAACTAAAACTCGAAAAATGTTCGAGTGCAAAGGGTTAATGAATATATTCCTTTTTTGAGAAGTTCTGAATGTTTAGAATTAATAAATTCTAAGGATATTGTTATAAATTACTGTTTCAAGTTTACCGCATGATTCATTTTGCAAAGAAACATCACAACATCGAAATTTCGCAAATCAGCGTTGCACTGTTCTTTCATTCCAAGTATTGGCACAAATGCTTACTTTATATTTTCAAATAAATATGTATTCATTTCTCATTTTGCTTTAGCTTCTTATCTCAATGTATAATAGGTGTATTTGTCCTGCGAGCACTAAAATACTCTGAACGTAAATACTATAACTCTAAACGTACTCTTAGAGTTAGTACATTTGTCAGCAAATCGTTTTCAAATCGAACGAAAAAAATATGTAGTCTGATTAGTACCAGCATATCTAGATTGGTTCCACACGCGATTCTTTAACCTTTTCGCATAGTGCAGTTTAATATGTTCCAAAATACTTTTAATTTGTATAATAAAATTTAATCTGCAATAGTATCTATTGTTTAGAAAATTTAGTTATAAACTATTTAAATACTAGTAATGTAGACATATTACAACGTAAAGTTTATTATAGTTTATTTTCATTCACTTACAATTTAAGAATATTTATTTCATATTAACATTTAATTCATTTATTCTATTTTAGTATATGCATCGAATGCAACGGCATGTTTCATGTATTTCTGATTTTCTAATATTTAATCATTTTACTTTATCTTCACATTTTCGTAAAAAGTGTTAGACGGACATTATATTTAATTGAATATAGCATATAATTTCCAAAAGTCTGTAGCGGAATACTGCAATACTGTTTTGCTATTTGTAAGTATACGAGTATAAGAAATATTACATCGTAATATAATTATAGTCATACTTACAGTCATTTGCACTTCAAAGTTTTAACAAATACTAAAAGCATCACGAATGAATATAAAAATATTTTTTTTATAAAACGTATTCCGCTAAAGAATTTGAGATGACATAGGATTACATTTTTCTCGTCGCGAAAGTGTTAATAACGTTTCGTTCTAATATGTACGCATAACAAAGATTATTCATACTTGCGACTATAAAGGTGCTTGCTAGATTTCGTATTTTCATGAAATATTCGTCCAATCTATCTATACATACGCGACATTCTTTAAAAGTTTTAAAATTTACAATTACTTGCGGAAGTATTACAGTTATGCAAATCGCAGAGATAGAAGAAAGTTTATTTTTGAGACAAAAACAATCAAAAGTGATAAATTGCAGTTCACACAGATTAAAGTTAATTCCTTCGCAACACCTTTATTTGCTAATGCATTTTTTTGCAAACAGATAAGCTACGTGAGGTAAACTTTTCCATTGTTATAGCATTGTTTAATTTCGTATGATAACGTGTCGCGACTAGGCTTGCTTCTTCGTGAACATATTGTATTATTATTAAACTGCTGGATTTAGTAGTAATTTTTAATCAATGCGAATGAACAGTCGATAGAAACTTATTTTACTTTGCGTCGTGTGTTTTGGAGAAAAGGCGTTATATTTGATTATTTATTTCCCTGTTGTATACTAGTATATTCCTGAAAAAAGTGTTATAAACGATATATAAAATATATATCGTATTTTTTTATCTTAGATATTCTATAATTGCATGCAGTCTAGAAGTATAATATTAATTCAGCAGTGAATTATTTAATAACAAAACCATTTACATATACAGTATTCATTAGACATTCCTTTGTCAATTTCACTTTCTCTGCAACTTTCTTCAAGAACGTACACAGCATCACAAGCATTCTATAAAACAAGTGAACACAGACTGAATAAACTATTTCACGTTTTACCATAAGATTTTACAAAGCCTAAAGAAATATGAAGTTGTCTAATGGATTTATTAGACCGAACTTCATTAGAGCGTTGATTTTATCGTACTCAATCCATTTAAATGATTTACGGGTCATTAAAAGCGTCATAATTGAAATTAGCAGTAAGTCAAATCAACATCAGCTATGCAAGTGATCAGGCTTTCTCGATTTTTTGCAAGTCAGCTGTTGTAATTTAACTCTGAGGAAAAGGAAAAAGTGAATCGACTCGGAGCCATAAAGTTGTGTTAATGAGTCACATTATTACGTCCTCATTAACGATGTGACACGGTTAAACCGCGGTTCGTTCACGAAACTCATGATGCAATCGAGATGTAAGAAGACCAGGAAAACTGTGTTTCGTGTTTTCCACTGACTCACGATGCAGAAAAGCGCGGGAATGTTTGTTACTTCGGCCGACGCTACGCTGAAAACCTGTTTGGTCGCCGACCTCCACCCGGCAGATTCTAGACTTCTGCGAACTGATCGGACAGGAAATTCTTTCCTATTCTTGGCGCCGTGACCTCGAGTATCGGAAACAAACACGCCGAAATGCGAAATCAACAAATCAGTTTTTTAATATGACAAATTTATTTGTCAAATACGATGTAATTCGTTAATGGCAATTTCAGTCTTCGTACTAAATGGACAGTAATTTTTTATCGCAACGAATTTTTATTGTCCATTATGCTTCATATTATAAAGGTTATTGATTTTAACTCCAGCACCTAAATTATTTCTGCTATTATTGAAAGTAAGAAAGAATTACTAAATACTAAATACTATTTAGTCAGTTCTCTTTACTTTCAATAATAGCAGAAATAATTTAGGTGCTCGAGCTAAAATTAACATCTTGTGTAAACAAAATTAGCAGAGGATAAAGTACAGCGATGAGTCCATCTTTTAAAACGATACATTTTTTTCATAACAAATTAAGTCAGTTTTGATTGATGTAATTATTGTGAATACACATTATAATTCTGTGTTCTTGAAACACTAATTTCCGCAATCTATATAAACAAATATATGGTTTTCTAGGAACGATAGAGTAAAGTATAGAAAAATATCCGTAAATCTAGTGTTAATATTGTATAGAGAAAAATAGCAAAGAAAATTATACTTTATTTTATAAGATACAAATAATAATTGATTCAAGCTTTATTTCAATAGCTTGAATAGTTTTGTCGCAAGACATTCTCAAAAATAACTTATTTTGGCTTTCTAAAAGTGAGAAAACATATAACGTAATATGAAATTCTTACTGATTAAAATGAAATACTTGTGAATAGAATTTCTTGCTTGTCTACATCGTTTTTGAAATTTAATTAAGACGTTTATATTTAATTAGAACGAGGCAAATTAAAATTTCAGAAAATGTTATATTTTATTCTATTATATTGCGAAGAAAATTATGAAATTTCACATTTTCACTAATACTTACTATTAGAAAATTTGAATTATCTCTTCTTTCATCTACAGTATAAAATTACTTCAATAAGAAAAATAGTGAATTACTTATTATTCATAGTAATGACTAATACACCTTTCAAAGTGCTTATTTCTGCAATTGTTTCAACTTATGGGCATTTCGTTTATTAATAGGAAAATTTCATTATTTTTCTTATTTCATAACAAAAATAAAGTTGAACTTAAAATGACAGTAAAAAAAATCGTAATAAAATTTGTACTGATGATTGTTGAGTTTTTTTGGAGATCGAAAATTTAATAAACTGTAATGTTACATTATTGTAAAATTCCTGTACTGAACTGTACATTACTGAGATTTGACCAATAAACGTGCCACGCGATAAAACGTAACGTCAGATGGAGTATCGGATCCAACAACAAACATCAGAGAAAATACTTTCCCCGCGCGTTTTTGGACCAAATGTGCGTACACAGGCAACAGTCTTAAAAATTGTTGTCAAACAAGTCTTATCTTCGTGAGAAAATTTCCGAAGATTTTTAATCTAGATGACGGTGTTATTCAATGCAAGTTTTATAGAAAGAATGGCGAAAACTGATTACTTTTCTTTCGAAAAAAGAGAAGATGTCTGATAAGCCTAACGATACTTCAAAATTCATAACATCTATTTTACACACTTTTAACAGTACAATCATGAAATCGAATTAATATTTTAGTTCGTATTCAATTTTATTTTTCTCATATTTGCTTGGACCTTTATTTCCCTTCGGACGTCGAATTTTGATTCGATTTGTCGCAGTCACGGTTGACTTGTTGTTCCACCAACGCAAATGTCCATCGCCTTCGGTTTTCATTCTGTTTTTGCTGTCAGCGACCGTCATGCTTCTATCTTTTTTATTCGTTGGACGCGGACGAGGCACCCGGCATTTTTATTAAACCTGTTTTTCGTTGTGCAGACATCATTTTCCATGTAACTCCACTGTGTTTTCGTAACTATCGTTCATTTGTTAGTTCGTTTTCTTTTAAAAGCGCATTTATTTTCTGATAAAAAACAAAATCATCGCATCTTACACATTAACATGATGACTGCCGCATGATTCAAATACGATTCACGACACGTTTATAATCCTACATAACTGTCACTACAACATGTCACCATGATAGTATGTGCGACATCAATATTGACGAGATATCTCGTCCATAGCATCGTTTCTTCGACATCGTGGAACCTAGACATCTCGTCCATTGTAGCGAAAGGGTTAACATACGCGCAATATTAATGCTTCATTCCATTCAGTTTGAATGATGTATCAAATATATTCGAGATAAATGGTGTAATTAAATATAATTTCTACAAGTGAAACCGTGGATGTTGAATTCACGGATACGGGGATCTCACTGTATAAGATTATTTTATGTTGCTTCGAACAAATTACAGAAAAGAAGAATGTGGCCGGGAGATCAATATTTTTTTAGTACTAAAACTATCGAGCAATTAGAGCGACTTATTCGGAGAATATTAAGATCCTTTTTGAGATTCGAAGGCTCCCCTAGTCCTACATCTATACAAATACACAAATTTAATTTAAGCTCTTTCACAAAAACTTCATAATTTAAGTATTTGAAAAATAAAAATTCTGAAGTGGGTCAATTTGACCCGTCGACAGATACCATCTATAATTTCGCTTTATTACAATAGGTATTTAGAATGGTAAAAGTATGACTTTTTGTTTAGAATCGCGTTGTCCATACCTCCAGCGTCGATGGAGGAATTGAAGATGGAGAGCGCCACGTCGTTCTCGCGTTGCAAAATGTACGACGTGAACTATAAGGAAATGCTGCAGAACGGCACCAGAGAAGCAGATCCATCTTGGCCCATTAAATCGTGTCAGAATGGATGGACTTTCAATCACACGATGATACCGTACAAGTCTATCGCCGTCGAGGTGAGTTGGCTCGATCTACTCTTCATTCAACTATAATGTGCAACACTCCCGAACTTATGTTTGTTATTATTCCTTCAAATCACTCTCACGAAACAAAAGTAATATTTGCAAAAGTAAACTGAACCAAAGTTGAAGTCCTATATTTTGAAAATAACATTCCTTTAAACATTTCTGCTCTGTAACCTCGTGACTATTTTTAGAGGAACAACGGTATTACATGAAAAGTTGCATTTAATGGCAGCTTTAAACTATTCTGCAATCTTTATGCACCATTTTAAGTAATTTATATTCTAAGTATTTGTACTTTGTTATGACTGTGATCAAGTCATTATTATCAACACGTCATTTCCGTGTGCTGTATTAAAAAGGTGTAAAGTAATACATTATAACAGTAATATCGGTTTCGTTAAATCGTACCTTCTTTCTTTCGTGAATTTGTAGTCATACGAGAATCCAATATGGTGCGTCGCGAATAGTGATATACGTTTATGCTTGGCAATAATCCAGATAGCGAAACTTACACAGCGAGTTTGGTACACCAACCACCAAATGTACATCCTATTAGATAAACGGAGGACAAACAAACTTGTAGTCTCCTGCACAGCCATTATTGCGAACTGTCTAAACTGTGCCATTTGTCTTGACATTCACCACAGACCTGCTGTTTAAACAACTGATGTTTTCGGATTTCCTCACTCATGATATATTAACAGTAAAATTTACTATGACAATCTATTATTTCAATAACAACACATATAAACTACGCATGCGACAATTGTTTATAAATATGTAGTAAACGTAAAACAGTTCGAAATCAATTTTCAATTCGGATTAAGTCGAATCGCGCATGTAAATTGAATAAGAATAACATAAAAAAGTGTATGATGATTAAATATAAATAACCAGATGCACTTGCAAGTGGATAAAATATTGCATCAATTTCAATATTTATTTCGAAAGTGACGAAATATTTTCATTCTATAATTCTCCATAAATTATTAAAGAATTCAATATAGAAACATCAATAATTGGAATTCAACTAAACTAAATAATTCGTCGCAAATTATTTTTATAATTTGCTTAGTTGTTACCATATAATATAGCGAGACACAAATATAACAAACTACAAGAATATGCTTCATTAACATAGTAAAGTTAACCCTTTGTGCTACAGTATCGTATCAGACTTGTATTGAAGATCTCAAATAGAATTCAACAAATATAAATATCACTTGATTTTTCCAAGTTCGAATTGAATATTATTTTTCTATTATAAATTATAATGCTTTTGAGTAAACATAGAATTTTTCTCGTTTTCTAATGAATTATGAACAACAAAATACCTCTGCTGACCGCAATTGGGAAAGAAATTATAGAGTGAGGGGTTAAATTAAATTCAGAGTTGGTAATAAACGTCACTTGGCAGACCGAAATTCAATTCACTTAAAATTTGGGTATGAGAATAAATGCTACCAAAGTAAGAGGAAAGACTGATCCCTTGACCATAACACGACCCAATATTTTTTTCTTTCAGCTGGAATGGGTTTGCGAACACGCTTTCCTGGGCTCCGCAGCCCAATCAGCCTTCTTCGTGGGCAGCATCATCGGCGGCTTCGTATTCGGTTACATAGCCGACCATTATGGCAGAATTCCAGCGTTGGTCGCCTGCAACGCGGTTGGCTTCATCGCTTCCGTGGGCACAGCCTTCTGCAACAGCTTCTGGAGTTTCTGTATAGCGAGAATGGTCGTCGGCACGTCATTTGATAACTGTTTCAATGTTCTTTTTATTATCGGTAAGCGTTTCTTATATAACGGCAGCCTCAATATTGTTGTTTGAAAATCTTCGAGGGGAGATTATGTAGCGAATACTTCAGACCTTCGTGTAACTGAATAAAACTCGACACTGATTATGTCATTTAAAAGTCTCCGGAATGTTCATTGGAATGTTGTCATGCCAGAATATTTGTAGAAAAATGTACTAAAGATTTCTAAACGGGATTCTAGGTAAAATATTAACTTGTTATCATCTATTTGTTTCAAAACGAAAGTTTTGACGGTTAACATGTTCTCTGCATCATATATTTTGTAGTTTTTGTAATTACCATTTCGTAAGAAATTAAATTAACAAACTGCAACGTAATATTCAGAAAGTTAATTAAATTTCATTGTTGTTTTTTTAAATATTTTATGAAAAATGAACTACATTTAATATAATAATAACAATAACAATAATAATAAAAATATCAGCAGCAGCAACAACACCAACAACAACAACAACAACAATAATAATAATAAAGGGCCACCGTAAAATTAAAATATTAAAAATTTAAGTAATATAGTAAAAATCAATTGGAAAGTTTCAAAATTGATTAAAATGTCATTACGTATGGGAAGAAACCACCTTCTATTTTATTATAACTAGATCCTTTTACACAGAATCTACCTAAAAAAGTATACATAGTTTCGCAGTCGTCTGCATATGGGGAAATACATATGGCGGATGGTTTCATAAAAGAGGCGATTACATTCTTATTTATAGTTGTAGGCTATCTTGCCCGCTGCAATAAAACATAGCGTGTCGTAAATGTGTCGTTTCAGTGATCGAGTACGTCGGCCCGAAATACCGAACGCTTGTGGCGAACATGTCCTTCGGGCTTTATTTCGCCGCAGCTTCCAGCCTTTTGCCGTGGATCGCCTATTGGATCGCTGATTGGCGAATTTTGAGCATGGCCACCGCCTGTCCCATGGTGGTTGCTTTTGTAGGGCCGTGGCTCGTTCCAGAAAGTGCACGGTTAGTGACATAAAACGATGTAAACTAATCTTCTGAACATCATATTACTGTATTTTCCACGTAACATTGATTATTTTAGTCTTTTATGTTGATAAAAGACTTGAAATTGTTCTATCGATTATTATCATATACATTGCACGATCACGAACAAAAATTCGACTTAAAATCTTCATTATACATTTGTCTCGATATTTTCTGAAAATATATTCTATTGCAACCAAGTCATATCTTGTTTCAAGAATTCATAATTTTATTAATGAGTCATTTTATGCTGTAGATGGTATATTACCAGTGGAAAGATCGACAAAGCGATCGAAATGTTGAAGAAGTTCGCTAAGGTTAATGGCAGAGAAGTAAAACAAGAGATTTTCGACGAGTTCGAAAAGAACTGCAGGTCGATGATCGAGAAGGATAAGTCGCACAATCAATACACCGTTCTCCACCTCTTCAAACTGCCGAGGCTCGCCCGTATCACAACCATGCTCATCATTTATTGGTGAGTTCATTCATTCCTCTTATCTACAATTTATTACCTATTCAAAGAAAATTCCCACGTGTATTTGAATATTTCCTAATACGTGTATCTCTAACGTCGAAATTTATAGACAGAAAGAATCCATTGGTAGTGTGCTAATCTTAGTCGACGAGAATAGTGATGTTAGTCACAGAGAATGCAAATTCAAAAGCGATAAATCTTTTTATAGTGTGTCTCTCTTTTGGAAGACTTACAACTGCGAGAAACGAGAACTTATTACATTTGCATTATTCCTTTTTATTTTTCTTTCTGTCTATGTTGATCAAATTTAATGTCAATAGATCCAACGTAAGAACAAAAATAATTAATCATCCGAAGAAACATTTCAACATCAAAACTCGAATAACGAATCAAAACTTGAACGAAGATCCACATTTTAAGATCTTGATAGATCGTAACATATATTTGTTCAAATCTATCAAATTTCAAAGTTCAAATCTTAGTTTAAATCTAACTTGTCTCAATTATGCAACTTCATTTATGAGATCCAATTTCCAAGTTCATTGATACGTTAAGTCAAAAAATGTCAAGAATCTTACAAAGCGCAGCCGTATTTCCTAAGTATCAGAGGTATGCATGTACTGAACTTTCAATTAAACGCCACTTTGATTGAATCACATATCCAACTCGTTAACTTGATGGTACCCTCCGGCTGACTCTATTCATCTAATTAACCGGTTACTTCTACGATATTTATACAAGTTTATAAACATAGGGATAAAAAGTGGAGAGATACAGTGACCTATAAACGAGCATGTTAATAAGTATAAGTCTCAGGTGAGGTATATCGCGATCGTTCACACATGCTCAGCTCCCCGCTGCGTCCATACAATGGCGCAAATTTTCAAAATAAACCACGTAAAACTGATTCTACCCTTTCTCCTAATTCTTCTTCTAGACCTTTCTTTGAGTAGACTTCGTTTTTGCTCAAAAGAGCATGCGATATTTCTTTTATATACAGGGTATCACGTAACTGGTAGTAGGAGTTGATTCTATGTCAAAAAATAAGTCGAAAATATACAATAAAAGTTTCTCATTTCAAACTTCGTTTTCGAAAAAATTGACTTTAAAAATCTACTCTGTACACGACTAAGTGTCAACTTAACAGATATCACGGTCCTTGTTCATGTTAATGATCATTATTAATATTTTTATACTATTTTAGATATATCGACTAACGAAACCATAAGATAAAAGAAACTTACTATTAAAGAATTTTAACTTAAACATTGTTGAAAATCATGACCATGATTTCTCAAATATAATTGTGTTCTTCTGATTAAATTTCTACGTACATTTTCTAAAGTGTTGTTCTGCAATTTTAATTTTTCAAAGATTATAATAATTCTTTCTGTTACCTGTTCAATATTCGTTATTTCGTCAGTGTACACGATAAACTTAACATAACATCACAAATAAAAATCCTACGATTTGATAGAAACTAAGAACTCCATTCGACGAGTAGAGAAGTAAAGCAAGGGTAATAGAAAAAACGATAACACCGACGATGTTTACAAATATGGCAGTGGTTTCCAATGTACAGCAATATCCAATGTACCAAGTAGACTTTTAACACTTTGACAGTTAACTTCGAAATTAAGTTTCTTGGTGAAGTATCGAACGAATTGAATTCTGCTAGATATATTAAATACAGAAAGAACAACAGAGCAATCGTTATGAAGAATTTTGACTATTTAGTATCTGTTTTATTAAGAAAATGTTGATTGTATGGTAGTTTAGTAAGTGTTTATTTGGCAGTCAATGTGTTAAAGTCGATTTTTTCAAAAACGAAGTTTCGAATGAAAAACTTTTATTCTATATTTTCGACTTATTTTTTGACATAGAATTAGCTCCTATCCAGTTATACCACCAGTTAGACGACATCCTATATATAGTTAATAGTCCTTAATAGCATACCAAACCTTGCTTAGAGGTCTATACGATTATTCTTCTTACATACAGTTCCTTTAATAAATATTTATTTCTTTTCTCAATATCAATGATATTTAGGGTGTAACAATTCTTTTAAAAAGAAAGTGGGCCATCTTTCCCGAATTTACCTTAATCGTGCTAATCAAAGTTTTTCAAGAATTTATGAGAGGCGATTGCGCCGTGTCACGCGAGCAAGAAGTTGGAAGTTCGCGATTGATCGACCGCGTGATTTGCTCGTTTCCAGGCTGCTGATGGTGTGGGTGTTCGACGGCCACGTCTGGAACATGAAGCTCCTGGACCCGGACGTGTTCACGTCCTTTTCTTTGGCGTCTCTCACCGAGTTGCCCGCCGCCATTCTGCTCGCCCTCTTTCTGGACAGATGGGGCAGACGATGGATGGGATTCGCCTCGATGTTCCTCTGCGGTGTTTTTTCCTTTGTCGCTCTGTCCACGCCCCCTGGTAAGTTCCCTTTTTTAACCCTTGACTGATGACTCCGTTGACCTAACATATTTTCAATGGAATATAAAAAATGACGCGGTGCTAGGGTGGTTGAAACCCTTGACCCATGTGGTCTGAAGCTGATCTTGGAACTCCATCGTTTATCATCGAAACCAATCGCTTATATTACTACGCGAAGTAACGGGGAATAATCATTTGCAAAAACCTCACAGGATTTGTATGATTTAATATAACTCATGAGCATTTAATATCATCGAGATGTAATTCCTATAAAAATTGTGACAATAGATTATTATCGGTTTCTTCAGATATTCATTATAGTATTCAAGCGAAACTATTTATTTTCAAAATTATTTCGAATATTCTATGCTTTTAAGATATGAATAATTGTGAAACAAAAAAATGGGAACCGGTCATTTTGACTGGTACTTAGTTCTAGTGTTAAAACTATGTATTTTTGAAATCGAAATTATCTAAATTAAAATCGTATTTGATTAGTAACCGTGCATTTGAATTGAATTAGAAATTGAAGAAAATAATAGTAAGTTGCATTAATGCGTGAATTAAAAAATATACAATTTCATGCGAGATGACATGTTAACACCTCCGTGACGTTCAGTCTGCATCATGTAATGATTTTCGGTCTTTTGCAAGGAAAGATTTTTCGACCGTTTAAAGGAATTTTCTTTTGCACATTTTTCGAAATATTTCCGATAATGGATGGAAATGGGACACGTCCCGTGCATGCCGTTTACACATGAATGGGTACATTTTCAGGGCGTATCTATACAGGTCCGCAGTTAAAGGGTTAATATCGGCGAATTAGTCGAATCGGACCGAGGTTGCATTATGAGCCAGCTGCGTGCATCAGTAACGGAATGCAACGCAACCTGGCATTTACATATTTCTCAACTTGTTCAAGGTGCGCCGACGGTCGCTATGGCGATCATAGCCCGTCTTGGAGTCAATATTGCCGCGAACATCGGCTTCCAATACGCGGCAGAAATGCTGCCGACTGTGGTACGAGCGCAAGGCGTGTCCTTGATCCATATTATTGGTTACCTGGCTCACATTTTGGGACCGTACATCATTTACTTGGTAAGTGAAACAATTTTTCTAAATAATTTATTTTTGATTTTAACCATTGATTGTAAGTAACTGGTAGAACACATTTGGATGTCATTATCTTTTTTCGAAAATTATTCGAATAAGACAACATTTTTGTTTGGGAAAGTTAAATACGATAATTGAGGAAATAAAGTAAAGGATTATATTAGACCAAATAATTGTAATAGACAAAATGAATACTTTTGATTTTGGATGTAAATTATTTTTACAGGATTATTAAGGGTTAGTGTGTTCTGTGACGTTTAATTATTGAGATTTGTCAAAAAGAAATTTCAAGTACCGAGAAATAAAATTATGCAGCGTGTCTAAATAATTAATTTTTTAAAATAAGAAACGCCATGTGCCTAAAACAACTTTAATGTATTAAATATAACTAAGAAAACAATTACAAGCTGTAACACTTTATAAAAAGTCACAAGTTGGAATGTGTGTTCACATTACATATGTTTCATAATTTATTTTGTCTTTAGGCTGATATCGATGCTGCCCTGCCTCTCATTACTCTTGGTCTGCTATCTTTCATTCACGCTTTCTTGACCCTTGGCTTACCAGAAACCTTAAACCAAGATTTGCCGGAGACTCTTCAAGAAGGTAACGATTTTGGCAAGGATCAGAGCTTCTGGTGGGTCCCGTGCATATCCTCGTAAGTGCAATTTTTTTACTTCACTTATTATTCATTTATCATTTGTAAGTGGCATTATATTTTTATGTGAATATACATATTTTCAATTAATTTCCAAATGATCCGTAAAGTTTATATTAAAAACCATAATTTAATACACTAATTATCATCTGTGAACTCTCTAATACTTACTTCTTCTATCATACTTCGTACTTTATATCCGTTGAGTATCTCCTTAAGCCAAAGTCTAAAACACCTACCTGATTAGCATTGTTCAGTACTCCTTCAAACACTCTTTAACCAGTTAACTGAGTTTGATAAGTATCGAAATGACACTAATTCTTTCTACGATGAATTCTTTATGTTTTTAGATAAACATATAATTCTTATTTGTTTTGCTTTGGTTTTTCATTAAAGTATATTCTAGGTGCATTTGTCTTTAAGGAGTACATATTCTCTTCTTCATTTCATCTCATTTTTTTTTTCATTTTTTCATTTTATTGTGCGTAAAACGATAGGCTTTAACTATTTAACACTCGAATACAAGCAAGTATACTCGAGAATCTAAAGTTTCTTGAAACTCTTACATCCTTTTCTATGAACAATTCCTTCAATTAGTATATATTTTTTTAATAACTCCTTAATCGTTTCAAACATGAAAAAATTCTCTTTAAAAACGTGCACGACCTTAGTCACTCAATCCGTACGAAATTTTCAGGAGCCAAAAATTGAAGAAGTCCTACCGGAAGAAGGAAGGTCTCTCGAACCCTGCGTTCGCTGGCAGCGTGCAGAAGATCGACTGCACCCGATTATAGCGATTGTTCGTCAATGAACTGGCACCGGTCGGTGAAACTTGCCAAATCCTTTGTAAATATAGTTGTTAAAGTGCGAGTGTGATGTTACGTGTTAAGGTCTGCTGCGAGCGTGCCGAGAGATGTCGGAGTCGCAGGGAATTACAGTGAGAGAGACAAAAACCGTGGAGATTCGTTGAGCGGACCTTGCGCGGCTAATAACGCTGTCATTCTTAAGAAAGTAAAGAACGTATAAATATTGACAGCAACGATACTGATCGCGCATAGACGACGCAGATTGATCGACTGTGATTACGGACGTTGGTCCGAATTTCTTGACTCTCGAGCTTTGACGTCGCTTAACACGTTCGCGACCACGTGTCACGCACATTGAGTTACAACAGTATTCGTACCTTCTAAACTACTGACTTTGAACGATTAATATTTGTTTACAATACAAATTTCAAAGTTCTTATCAACAGGATATTTCTTTACAATGCAAGTTTCATATAGGAGTATATATTGGAATTACGAAGCTTTCAAACTTATATAAACTTTATTGAAAAACAATATGTCAATATAACAAAAATGTAATTTTATGTAAACCAGAAGAAAATTGGTGTCACACTTCGTACCTATACAATTTATACTAGAAATACAATTAATGTATTAATAACTAATATTTGGTTGGGCTTCCATTGCATATAATACGTTTGAGACATAAGGAATATTTAAATCATCAGGCTTCTCAGACCCGGCTTTCTTCCTCTTTACGTAAAATTACATCTTTGTAGTATTGACCTGTTGTTTTTTTAGTAAAGTTTATATAAATTTGAAAAATTCGTAATTTCAATATACATTCCTACTGATAAGAATTATTAAACTGGCATTGTAAACAAATATCAATCGTTTAAATTCGGCAATTCGGGAGATACAAACACTCTGTTGGCTTACTGTCTGTGTGACAGCCATTCATTTAGATAGACGCTGTTAATTACCGTTGCTACGATGACACTAACCCTTTGCAGTCGGAAGTCTTTCACTAAAAATATTCAACATTTCCCGATAAGATATAGACGACATTTTTTGAAACGAATTAAATTTCTCATTTAACGTACATAAATCAATATGTTGTCTACCAAGCCCCTTTTCTGAATTATTTCTGTAGATAGAAATGTATTTTTCCAATAGTCAACATTTTGCTGTTTTTCAGATTAAAGCTATGATCATAGCTCATATAACATCAGACCAGATAATTTCTATAGAGAGTATCACCGGTGCGTCCTACGATAGCCAACGTGTTAAGAAACAAAGTGGTCTTATTTCAATATTTCACATATCGATGCATTATACCAAGCTTAATATTATGTGTAAGGCTTCATAATTTTGGTACATCAAATCAAATGGTAACTGAGACTCTTCTCGAGTGCAAAAGGTTGAGATATATTTGGTACATGGTATACCATGTTTTGGCTATATCAAAATATCATACATATATGATATTTATGTAAAATGCTTTATTTGGTTTATTTACTGTGTCTTTAATGTGTAAGAATTATGTGAATGATATATCACGTGAAACAATTACAACAAAGGCACGGTCCACAGCGAGGGTATTCCAACTTCGATCGTGGTCGCGAACGTATTGACGGTGGGGATATTAACAGTATTACTAACAATATATTGCGATTTTTATGTATTTGTAGCATATGTGATTACTCAACAGTCAATACTGTGAAATTAACAACTAATCATACCGGCACTTTGTATATTCCTATTCCTAACGTAATCAGTCAAATAACTGGTTACAAAATAAAGGTAAACAAGATAGACGATAATTTTCGTTTAGTGGAAATAGAAACAGAAGGAAAGTCAAAATTGAAAAATGTATTAATCGGATAATATAGGAATTGATATAATGTTAGATGAACGAAAGAAGACGCAGAATTTTAAATGAAATTTTTAAACCGGTCACGGTACGTTTAGTGTTAATAAGGTATATAAGAAATGATGAAGTTTCTCGAAAGTTTGTATATAATAGAACTCTTCATGTTCAAAAATAATTTGAAGAATAATTCAACAAAATTTCAGAAATCCAGGAAGGAAGATTCTGCTCATAAAAATTATGTTTACTAAAAATGAATGTATTATCAAATTAAAATGACTTCTCTCATACATTTTAATTGTTCATCTAGGATATAAATATTAATTTATGATACAAATGTATAAAATTCGCAGTCCATTGATAATTAGAAAATATGTGTTCACAATTCCGTCACTATAGCTTGACAAGATCATCACATCTGGTCAAATACACGCATATTGTGAAGCAGTATACATACGTAAGACGTTAAATAAAGTACAAAAACTGGTGTGACGTTTCTATTCTACAGTCTGCGTGCATATGGCTATTCCGTTTACGTTTCTTCTTCTACGAGAAGCTGAAATGGTGACAGCAATAATGATAGCGTAAGGTTGGAACGATAACGATGCGTATTATTAGTGTCACCGAGTGAATGTTATTGACCGTGTAAGGTCCGCTTCCAGATCGCTATAGAAAATCAATCGTGTCTCACCCGCGAGAAGAATTGAACGATGAACGTAGATATTCAATTGCAAACGCATCGAACAGAAATTATTCTATTATTCTTCAGTTGAACACAACCTGTCACAGTATTTTTATATTTTTTATTGGGATATCGACGATCAGTAGATCGAGGGCCGTTCGATTTTCCTCAAGGTTTTAACACCGAAAAATTGTAATTCATTCAAGCTGAAACGAACTGTCCCCGAGACACTGTCGTCATGTGACGGCAACGATTATTAAGAAACTCGAGCTGTCACGTTTATCTGTAAGTAGTACGCAATTAATTTATCCGGAATGCGAGTGGAACATATCCTCGGGTCTCATTCGCCACGAATCATCGACTTAATCGTTCGTGTGTTCGTCGAAAGCCGTGGACTTTTCCATGATTTGATTAATTTTCGAACTGTAGTATCGGATTCGAAATACAGGAAGACTCGTAGTTAATGTTACAATTTGAAATTTGTTAATTCTGTACGAAAAATAAATTTCGACGTATATCATGTTAATTATATTCGATTTTAAAAGTTTGAGGCTGGCTACGACAGTATTTGAGCATACACAGCTCAATTTTGAAATATTCATCTTCGATAATTATTTGAATTTGTCAATCGATTGAAGTTGAACCCCATAGTCAAAACCAATTCATATATTCCTCCAGTGCATAAAATTCTAAAAGACTTTGGGATCAGAATAATCTGAGGAACACAATGTAATAATTATTATTTAAAATGGTACTTAACACTGTTACTACCGGATCGATCAAAATGAACCGTTCCTGATTTCTTGCTTCACAATTCTTGAAAAAATAACAAAGTATTGTCTGGGAGATTATTGAAGACATTGTTTTTATAATACGCAAAATGTATTATAAACCAGTTGAAATCTCAATAGATGTACTTTTAGAGTTCCTATAAAAAAATTAGGAGAAGGTAATTCGACTGGTAGTAGTTCTAGTGTTAATGAATAAAAATCAAAGATCTAATCAATGAACTTTTGGGTAAACGATTGCTAATTTTTCATACAGGACCATCGTGTTTTAAGTTGTGCTGTTATTTATGAGGCTAATGTTTCTTCGAACATAAAAAATACTCCGGTTCGCAAGTTCCTTCGCGACACGATCGAAATGTCGTCACGGATTCGAATAATGGTAGCAATCTTCGTTCCTTCGATCCAGTTCGTCCCAAAGACTCAATCCGTAACACGCTGTGTACCAACGATGATTCTAGGACCGTTTATAGGTCCTGTTTAGAATCATTCGCGTACTTACGAGACTAGTCCCCGCTTTGTGGCCCATATGCTAGGTCATTCCATAAGTTTTGCGGTTTTTGCGAGCATTGAGAATTACGATTTAAATGATGCGGTTTAAAGTTACCACAAAGATCCTCTGAACAAAGTTGTAACAAACGTTCATGAGGGCCGATGAATTGTTTGAAACGTTACAATCGTTTGAAATGATTATGAAATACGTTAAATGGTCCCACTAAAGGATATAACAGATCTATGCAGAGATTATTAGTGTAAGTTAGTTAACAAGGTGTCTTAGAAATTTTGCATAGTACAATATCAAATTCTGAGAACTGGATGAAGAGATTATAGAAGTTATTGCTCAGCAAAATTCTCCAGTAATTTGCTCATTGAAGAATTTGCTCAAAAATTGAGAATATCTCGTTCATTAATTACTGACGAATAGTTGTATAATCTGATGTAATACATCCAACAGAAAATCTCATTATTTATGGGAAGACGTAAAAAATGTTGAACTCTTTCATAATTAATCTAAAGAAATCGGGATTTCTTTGCGAATACGTCTTGCAACGGATTTCAAATTGTATATACAAACACCTGCCACATAGTGCAGTTCTTCTTCGAGAATTAAAGTGCAACTTTATTACCAGCTAGAGAATGTATATATAATAAAAACATCGACGAGAAACAACGTGTATTTAAATCTAGACAGATTTTAGCGATTTAGTCGATCATTCGAAGAGCATTGATATTTGCGAATAAACATGAAAAGTATTTTTACTTCTTGGATTTTTTTCTTATCCATTCCCCAAAAGAACGAAATAATTAAAAAGTAACTAAACAACTGGTTTTGAATAAATTCAATTAATACAAAATATGTTAACTAGGATTTCAATAAAATTGAAACTGTATTAAATTCTATTAGATCTTTATGTTATACGATTTTCTATAAATTTTTATGTGCTTTAGATATATAAAGTTCCACAGTTTAATCCTAATAAAGCGCCTAGTTTTCGAATATTCTTCAATGAAATTATTCTTTAAGACAGCATCAGAATCTAACCAGAAGTTTATTTTTTTATTACATTAACAGTAATTCACTTTAACAAAGAAGATAGATATTATTGTTACATAATATTCAGTGAATCGTGATAACAGTGCGGCGTATCGAATGATCTTAACACTAAATGTACCGGCACTTCCAAGTACCAATCATATTTTTGCGGAAGGTATATAGGTGATTGTTGATTTAATACGAAAACAATGCACAAAATAACTTTTAGATAATAAGAAAAAGTTTATATATTTTTATTATTTGGAAGTACCGGTTATTTTACCAGACGTATTACGTTTAGTGTTAAGATAAGTTTAGTTAGTGTTTCAATCTTGTCTTTACCTAAGTATCTACTTGCCTGCAGTAAATCGGGCCACTGTCTTGAAAAATGATAAGCGTATGCTTATTATATACAAAACGTAGCATAAAATTGGAGACGCTGAGGAAGCAGATCATTATAGTGGAGTCTATGGCTCCACTGGTCCACCAGCAACGTCAGCAACAACTTTCACAGAAGTTCTGACACAATCGAGAGAGAACGACACGAACACCAACTCCGAAGAAGTTTCGACGAAAAGATGAGTGTTAAGTGACACTGCGATGAGACAAATACAAAACGAATTAATTTATTTGTCGATATTTTTTTTAGCTTCCTTAATTTGTTTTTGAAACCCTTACACTCGAAAGGTGACTCTCAGTCTCCATTTGATTCGATATAGTAAAATTATAAATTTTTATGTATAATATCAAGCTTTGCATATTTGTTTCGTTGTTAAAAAAGTTTTGAGTGTAAAGGATTAAAAATGAAATATAAAAATGATGCTTCTTGCCAGTTAATAAAAGTTATCGTTTAGTTCTTAATCTTTTACGAAAAAATAGTTTGTTTCAGATATAAATAAATCACGATCGTCATTGTAACGACAAAGAAAGTAATGTTGAGATATGTTAAACATAATAGACTACTTTGTATATATAATATCTATTGGAAGTAGTGGAGACTGTAAGAAACAGAAAGGAGATTTATTGAATTAGAGGTACTGGGAAGTAATGTCATCTGGGTTTGATGCTTGTCGTTGAATAAATGTTCCAAACTTCGTGTGAACCAAATTGACGATTTATTAATGCTAAAATAACCTTAAACACTCTTCATATAATGTGCTTAATTTTTTCTGGAAAATTCATTATTATTTAAAAAGAATCAGTTGAGATAAAACGATGAAGGAATATTATATGCTGTACGAATTTTGTAAAAAAAGCAATGCTACTGTTGCATCGAACAATATAAATAGTGTTTGTCTGATAGTTCTAACTGTCTGTAAGTGTCAACGGTGGTTCACAAAATTTTGGAACGGGGACTTTCGTCTGGAAAATGATGAGAGATCAGAAAGTTCCTCTCTTCTTGAAAACGACTAATTGAAAGCTGCAGGTGAAAAAGATCCGTGTTTAATAATTGGAGAGATTGTAGAAATGCGTAGTAATTGAAAGCATAACATCCACCTTTTCTATGCAATCAACATTCAAATTATCAGACTCAAAGGTCCATATAAGATGTCCAGTTTATCCTGTGTCTTTTCGATGCTCGCATGATCCAAGTAATTTATTAAAAAGCTTCACTATATTAAAATACAAACTTATCTTATAAGTTATTCGCGAAAGAAGATGATTTAGAGTTAAAGACACAGATATTAATAAAATTATATGTAATTATATATTTTTCATTTACATATATATATATATCAAGTATCAATTATTTTTGCCATAGAATTACTGGCATTAGAGAGATTTGGTTACAAAATGGTGCAATTTGCTTGGAAACCACTTATGGTCCGTCAACAGTTTCTTAATTGTCCATCGATAATATGCATGAAGACATAAGTATGTGAGTACTTTGCAGTAACCAGAGTATTTCGAAACTTGGTTATTATAAACCACTCTCCGGTTACAATTTTCGAATTTGAACAGAGAGAAGTACACGTAGAGACACATTGCACGAAACGAAATCAACTTTCAACTATATCGAGTCAAATAAGAAAAGCCTAAGTAACACCTGATTTATCTCGCTACGTGTACAACTCATCGCAAAATCCTAATTTGTACACATGTTAATGCGAGGAATAGTTATTATATTATTTAACGTCATGGTATTACTTATACCATTTCCGTGAACCGCATTCTACAGGCTATTAAGTACTCGTACGCAACTTAAAGTACTTATAAATAATGAGCAAGGAGGACTGGGCGGCTAAACGCATCCAAAAACGGAAGCAGTATAAAAATAATGAAAATTACGATACTTGTGGGATCGTCTCTTAGTTCTTACGTGCCTTACGAATGGAATCATCGAGTTGCAAGTTAGAAACATAGAAGCGGACATGTCTGGGGAGAACGAAACATTTGTTAGGGACTGCGATCAAAGTAACGATGACGCAATGAGAACGTAAGTATTAAGTAAACTAAGTACGTTGAACGCGGGTGCAACAGGTCTCTTTCTTCGAACATATAGAAAAATCATAAAGAACCGAGCCTACTATAAGGCACTAATCAGTTTAATATAACATCTCTGTCTTTTTGCTTTGTACATTGTACTGCCCTCGTTCTATTGTTCGGCAAATGCGGTGTAAGTACAGTTCATACATACGAAATCCATAGAAACTTCTCTTTTTTTTATATGGCGTATCTTAACCGGTTCGTAAAGTGTGTATTATCGGCCGGGTTGCAGACAGAACCTTTAGAGACTAACGATATTTCTTATTCAACGAAAAAAGCAAAAATCTACAAAGAATCCCACATTGAAACTTTCGTTACTTTCTAACTTAAATCGAAAAACATTCGGACGAACTATAACGAGAAGCAGGTGTTCACAAAGACGACTGCACTATTTTCTATCGAAACGAAGATTATTTATTACTTCTCTGATCCGAAAATTGAAGTTCCTTGTGCCCGATAAACAATTTCCAGCGGGAACATTTTTTTATGATCTCTTCAACGGATCATTCTGAGCTCAGAAACTAGTGCCATTTACTTCGGTAACAATTGCTTCAGTACTTTTACGAGATCTATTTGTTCTTATCTACTACGACCAGAATAAAATCAATTGGTTATTTCAGAAACTACGTCTCCTACAATTTCCACGGTGGAGGTATTTTATATCTATGATGGGACTGACTTCGAATAACCAATCAATCTTCTCTAGCTTAGAACGGTCTGGTTCTCGATACAACAGAACGATTTCGATCACAGAGAAACGTAAGTGAGCGCGAGCTCAACGTGTAAATCAACTAACTAAATAACGCTGCGAGCATTTGTGCTTTCCCAGTAAACGCAAGAAAAGACAACGGAGGCGTAACGTCTATCCCCGTAAAAGTAATCCGCAGACGTTCGAAATGTAGATACATACTCTGACTTCTCTATAGAACTTCACTCTGCCGAGGACTACGGGAATTATTTACATGGGCGCAGGGATCTTATGAAAAAATAGAAATTTCCCATGTATACAGGCTGAGTGAGTCTCCTCTGTCGAAGATTGGGGAGGAATATTTCTAATTAACTGCGAACACTTAATCACAACTCGTGCGTTCCCTGCGACTCGTTGCTGACGAGTTCGTTACGCGTCCTCGGTAATACTCATCTTCATGATTTTCCCATTTTTCCGCGGAGACTCGTTCAACGGCTGAACATCCTCCTGAACGGATTGCGGATACTTTTGGTCGGGATAATTCCACGCTTGGATGTCTCCCGTGCCAAAAATCTGATAGACTACGTACGTGCCACACGCGACGCACGCGCTCACACCGAACACTTGCCTCCAAGCGTCGAGTGCTTGCTGTGGGATAAATTGATTTTTTATTTTCGCGTTGAAAATCGCGGAAACATGTTTTATTTTCTGTGCACCGTGCAAGTGAATGGAAATGTTAAAGTTATTGGGAATTATAGCAGGAAATGCATCCTTAAATCATGCAACGAGAATCCATAATATCAGATGTGATGTATATGAGAATGAGCCTTATATGGAAATGAAAGGAGATTGTGTTATTTTTTGGTCAACTAGGAAGGGGTTGTATGAAACTTACGCGTAAATATTTAATAATAAAAGAATCGGTGATATGAAGCAAGTGTAATAGTTAACTAAGAGTAAAGGATATTCTGAGTGAATAAATCACTCTCGAATAAGCAAAATCAGCCAGTAAAATTATAACGAATATTAAATCTAAAGTAAATTAATACTTTAATGAAATTTTTAAGTAATTAAATATGAAGGAATAAATTGCGATAAAAACTAATAGTTTAGATATCATAATTTCAGTTAATAAACAAATGGAAAACATTAAAGCGATCGTTAGTATGAAATTGATGTTAATGCGACCTTAAAATAAGGTTATTTAGAAAATAATAAAATGAATTAATGAAGTATGATATATATCCCATTTATATATACACCCATTTATAATACTTTATAAATGAATACTTTGTTTTATCATCTGAACCTCTTCACTCGGAATGATACTTGTCACCCACATATTATCACTCTCACTTTTACAAATTAGTTTCAAGTATCAAAAATAAAATAGTTCTCCTACGTGTCATAAATGAAGTCGATTAAATGTTTGTTTTGTAATAACTAGTTCGAAGAAGTCGCTATAAAATTACGTTATTGAAATAGGCACTCTTTTTTTCAAACTGGTCATAAAATGAAAACTTAACTGCAATATTTTAACGTTTCAGTAAATATGTACATAACTCAGTACATCATTTTGCAAAAAACGAAATAAGCATCTGGTTAAAAACGGGAGTATAGATGTTAATGGGATCGTTTACCGTGGGCCTCGTTATCGCAAGCCAATTAAATATGAAGTCGTAATGAAATTCAACGAAATAGTAAATGTCGTTATAAATAAATGCAATCACTTACACTTTCCTGAGTGATCAGACCAGCTGCAATCGGGGAGAGGAAACTCGCTGTCATGTGAATTGTCTGTGCAAACGCCAATATCGGACCTATGAACACACAGTGAAATGCAACATAGAGTTCCCAGAGGAAACGACTTAAGTGACCGATAAGTTAAAAGTTTGCTCACCAGCGAAATTTGGCGCGATATCAACGATGCTTGCCATCGCCCCCGCATATGCAGCAGTGATAAGGGTAACAGCTATGAACCACACTACTAAAACGAGAATGATGTTGCAGCCCAGATAACCGATCAATACTAACAATATTCCAGGAACTACTTGGGCTGAAAAATAAAGAATATTTTGTTATACGTGTGCAATATATGATTCAAATTTTGAGTTTCTATAGGAGATGCATACCTGCAGCAGTGAACAATTTGCGAACGTTGGTCAGAGAGAGAATCTGCCTTGTGACGAGGACATCAGCTACGTAGCAGAATGCAACCGAGCTGAAATAACTGCAGATGAAGGGTAAACCAGACAGCACTCCATTCTGAGGAAAAGCAATGTTGTTTGTAAGAATACAAATGGCTAGAAAATATGCAAATGCAATTTAAAATATATACCGCTTGTATACTGAATCCTAGGACTGTCTTCATGTACATTGGTCCTGAGATAATAAAGACGTAATGTACCCATATTCTTCCGAAAGTAGTTATTCCAATCGACCAGGCTGGCAAGGATGTTAAGATAGATTTCCACGGAACTGGCAAATTCTTCGGAAAAAGAATACAAATTTTATTAGATAAATCAAACTGCAGATCTGATAATTAAAAGTTGCAACTAATAAAGAAGGAAAATATTTTTAGTGGAAACTGTTAGTGATATTTAAAAGAAAAGACGGTTTTAATATACAAGTCATTGACTGCGATAATCAAGCCACTGTATATAGTAGAGTAAGAGAATTTCATAAAAATACTTGGATTCAAGGCAAATTTAAAAAAGTTTTTTAATTTTAAGTTTTTTACAAATTGAAATACTATTTACAAAGAAACGAAACTGACATTTGAGAATTCTCAAATTTCAAAGTTTCAAAGTTCCAAAAGTTCAAAAGTTCAAAATTCGACAAATTTCGAATTTGAATTCTGCTGGCATAATTCTTCATAGTAGCGAAAGACCTCTTTCTACATTTTTCCATTACGAAAAAGAACTAGAGAACTCTGAAGAAAAAAACACGATACCTCGTTTGTTCCAAGAACTTGATTCCCAACACTTTCTTGAATATACCGTAGCTCCTGTTGCGATATTCTCGGATGCGAGGCTGGAGTGTCGAAAGCGAAGAAGTACCAAAAAAGGCACCAGAGAATTCCGACGGTGCCGGTCGTGTAGAAGACAACTCTCCAGCCGAAGTGGGCGATGATGAATCCGCACAATGGATAGGTTATCCCGATGCCGAAGCTGAACCCTGAATATAGATAATCTAGACGTTAGGAGTTGCTCACCCCACGACCCGGAAGGAAGCTGAAACATGATGCTTGTCGGAATGGCTTCGCCTTGGCTCGTGTACGATTCATTCTTGGCGATGATCGCTCTTCAGCAGTGGCGCTATATTTCACCCTGTAAAGCGATTCAAGTAGAGACTTAGTACGAGAGGATGATGATGAATGCACGACGACGCTGCTACAGTATGACAATGAAACTTCTATACCTGAAAATATATCAAGAGCGGGAAAAACGTACTTCTCACGCGACGAATATCTACAAATATTATCAATATAACTGTATAGCGGAATCAAACGAGCAATGAACGAAACAGAACATTCGAATCAAATTTTTTCCAGCTCTGGCAACACAATTCTCACTAGATGTCTTCGATTAATTTGTAATGTTTTCGAACCAAACGTTGCCAGAAACTTATAGATATGAGATAGGAACAAATCCAGCCTTGACTATTAACATGGTACAGCGTTTCACAGTGAATTGCATGAACATTCATTCTTTTGCTGGCACGTAGACAATCGCAACACTCAAACATGACGAAATAAATGTTTATCGAACTTCGTGAATCCTCCGGTTTATCGATCATACTTTTATCGAAGACAGCAAAGGGATGTTCGAGTTTACACGCGCCAAGGCTAGCCCGCACACTTCTGTGACGCATCGATACGAGCAAGAAGAAAAGCGGCACAACACACGGAAACGGTATAAGGCTGCGATTATATTGGATATATATTCAAATGAATTAATGCTCCGGGATAATTCAACTACATTTCATAAAGTTTAAAATATATTAAACTTATAATTCAATTATATTGTAGATTTGAGCAAATAGTTTATTTACTTTTTTTATCTCATGAATTTAGAAAAGAAGTCCCAAAGTTCGCGTTCCTTCTGTAATCTTTATTCCATAATAAGCTATGTTCCTAAATACAAGACTCTGATTATCGTTGACCATAGTTTTATCCTTTACACTGAACAGTATTTCTGACTATAAATATACACATTACTTTCTGACGAAATCGATGATATAGTTTAAAATTAACGCGATGAAGAATCTTGCGTAAATTAAGGGACAGAACTATTTTATTTTACTGTTTCCTGTGTTGACACATTATACAAAAGTTAATACTGAATTTTAGATTTTATAATTTTGAATCTTCTCGAGTCTTGAAAATTCTCAAGTGCAAAGGGTTAACGATCTACGGTTAACGTACCGATTTTGTCGGTATGCCAGTTCGCCGGAATACGTATCCAATAATGTCGCAGCCTAATCGTAAAGTAATTGCGGAAACACATTATCGATCGAAGGCGCGCTACGTGTATTCGCGAGAAGTTTGAAGGGATGATCGGATCGTATCGTTCCCCCGTGAACAAAGCGACGAAAGGTACAAATTGACAAAAAGTACGGATTTCCCGCGGAGTGGACAGCACCGGCACATACAAAAGATCGATGAAAAAATAACAAGTGTTACAAAACAAGTGTTCCTCGAGCCCGGCTGATTCTACCAGCTGGAAGTATACTCGGCCTTTCTCATGCTGTTGAGCGGTCGCTGTTGAGTATACCCCTCGGTCCGGCGAATGCAACCACGTGGAGCTTGAATCAATCAGAGACAAAAGTGAATGAACGATCGAAATTGCGACCGTATTTCTCGTAATACGACTGATAAACGTGCCCGTGGTCTTGAACCGTGAATTTTGACTGAAAACAAAGCAAGTTTTTTCTTATTTCGAACTTCCGTTTCCCGTTTCTGAAAGAAGCGAACATTAGTATTCCACATTAAGTTAACCAGTTTCGTATTCGTTTCTTTTTCTTTCATTCTTATTCTTTCGTTTTCATTCGAGGAAGACGCTAAAAAGAAAACTGACGTATCGAAGTTTCACTGTAATAGAGAAGAGAAGATAAACGACGTTAGCCGGGGAAGATTTACCTTGGAAGGAAGACATGAAACGAGAACGCTCGACGGGCGGGATCCAGGGTCCGACGACGGCGTACATTGCCGGCCACGTGAGCCCCTGAACAAAACGATATCACGCATATAGATTCCCATAAATTGATTTAAAACATCAGGATCAAATAAAAATTTGCCTTTTCTATTATGGATTTCATTTTCACGATAATAGTATAAAAATTGTAAGATTCGGTAAAACCTTTTACTTCACTGTGTTTTTATATGTTTGTTAAGAATCTATAAACTTCATAGATTTCTGATCACTGTATTAATGAATAACAATTACAGCAAGGAGCACCATTAAAGAATATTATTGCAACACTGAAGTTCTCATATGAAAATGATTAAACAACTAAGTTTTTCGATGTCTGAAATTCTTAAAAGTTTTTTATAAGATAGGAATACAATGGAAAAGTTAAAATACTTTAACAAGGAAAATATAATTACCCAATCATTCTTCAGTGATTTTGATAAAATTTTACGGTGATATTTAAGGGATGAAATCATATTCTAGCGAGAAAATGTGACATGTAAATTTCATTAGTTAGTTATTTCGTACCTTTAACACTTTAAAATATATTTCTCTACTGCAAGCAAGTATGGAAACACCATGTACCTTCTTTCAAATTTGTGATACTTACACTTGCAAAGCCCTGTATACTCCTCAAAGCGATTATGAAGCCATAATGTATTCCTGCCGCGGACGGCATGAGGAGACTGCAGATCGCTGTGATGAGCTGCGACCCACCGAAAACTGTTTTAGTACCAAAATACTGAGTGAGCACACCACCAACCACTTGGGACAATATGTAAGACCAATAGAACGAGCCGCTGATGGTGGACTGTATAGTCGGACTCCATTCGAATTCCCCTTGTTCCTGTTTATTGAGGAAACAAGAAGAGTCCGTGTGAAATATTTTGGTAATGATTGATAATTAATTATAATAATTAAACTGGATTTTTCTGCACTTGTAGGAAATTTGAAAGGCGCAAAATGCAACGGAATGCATACGACATGAAAAAATATATAAAACATTCGAAGTTTAGTGTTTTTTAGAAATCTTTATTACGGAAAACCATTTTCTGTATTATTCTATTTTTCTAGTTTTAGCCCGTACTTTCGGATGGATCGAAATTTAATACAACACCAAAAATTGTAACCATGTGCACTAACTATTTGTACATATTTTAATTTCTATATATTCTCGAAGAAATAATGTCTATATATAATCACTTTCTTCACAATTTCTTTCATATGTATGTTCAATAGAAATATGTTATCATTAATAATTTATTAAAAGAGAAACGAATACTACTTTCACTATAAGACTACAGCTACTCTGTTCGTTGAATGCTGATAGTAAAAATTAGTAACAGACTTCAATTCTAAAAAAGTTAAAAAAAATTCTGAAACTTTTGCCATGAGTGCCGCTGGCTATTGGGACTTTTATTTTGAAGAGATTAATATTTCCGAAAAGCTAGAAGTGAAACGAATCAAGTCAATTATGACAAAATATTAATAAATTTGATATTATATGTCTGTAATCCTTATAAAAATTATAACAGATTTTTCCTCGGTTTTTTCATATGTTCATTATAATATTCAACTAAAACTATTTATTTTTTTAATTATTTCCGATATTCAACATTGTTAAGATATTAATGATTCAAGAATAAAAAATCTGAAACTCGTCAAAATGACGGGTGTGGTAGTCTAGTGTGAAATACAGATACAAACAGAATATTTCACTTAAATTACCAAACGAATAGAAGAAAATCGCAAAATAACAGTAAAATCGAACAGGAAAGAATCGATTCACTTGATATTTTACTCGACAATTCGACAGGATTGAAGTCTTGACTAAACAGGTCGTAATAAATATGGTTCTGGAGTATTTCTTAACTGAAATAAATTATTTTAACCCATCATAAAAATTTTAGCGTGAAATAGGAGGCAATCATTCGCGCTTATCGCGACATTCGCGAAACGACTTGCAGCAAAAATTGACAATCGCAGTTCTCCATGGGTTGCCAATTAATTGCCACCGTCTGCGAAATTAGCGCAAACGCAAACGTTCCGCGAAACCATTGTCTCTGTCGTGACCAAAGATTGTGGCTGATGATGTCTGCTAAATAAATCGAGCTTTACGTAAGCATTTACAAACTGATTAGTGTCCTCACCCGAGTGATCATAACGTAATCGCTGCCTCTAATCGTTCTATCAATTTTAACTGTGCAAATTATCGAGTCGCGTAGCCGGCAATTATTGAGCTTCCGCCATTACTAAGAATTCACAATATAAGATCGCGGTGATAATCATACACGTGATGTTACGTGAACATACTTTTTAATACCCGTCCAACAGATTGTAACCAGAGCACTCGATGTAATGTTATTCTCGCAATCAGTTATAATACACAAAGCCGATTTGTTTCGTGAATTTCTTTGCAAACGTGTTTTATCGTTAATAATTTCTCAGCAGAAGAAAAAATATATTTTATTCATCGTAAAAGTAAACTGGACGTAAACATACATTAATATCTAATGAATATAAATATTTATTAAATCCAATTTCAAATATTCAGTACGAGCATGAGTCAATATTATAATACTAGGGGTTGTTCCTTCGTTTATTGACATAGTGACTCTAATATTACTAGTACATATTATTAATTATTGGTATACACTGCAATTATTTAAGGCTATGCATTTATACCATCCGCAGATTTTTAAGACGCAAGAAAATGTATGTATTGAAAAATATTAATAATTTTTTATTTATTTCTAAATAATTCTACATTTTTGTAAGAAACCTATTAATCAACGAAAGACAACTTTGTTCCATTATATTTAGAAAATGATTTATGAAGACAGTAACCTGTTGAATGATTCCAGATTCTAAACTATAGGTTCGCAATCTACTCCTAACGCAATCATAGAAGAAAGCAAATCAACTTTGCACTGATCAATTTCTTTTCCTCGGAGTGCTCATAAGAACTATTTCCTGTCGTTAACTAGAGATTTGCTTAGAAGTGTCCTTCGTTTTCCATTCCGAGAACGAAGTCAAGGAAACAGCTTCCTCCGAGAGTCGATTCACGTAATTTTGCGGTTTCAGCAGCACAGTGCCTAATAACTACATCTCTTGCACGCCATCCAGCGGGGACACTGATTCAAATGGATTTTAATTTATCTCGCATCGACGATTTACATACTTTGTTCCAGGCAACCGTGTCGTTCTCGATGTCCAATGCGTTCGGCTTTGCGTAACAATACTGAGACGTTTCCGTAACCGTGGTGTTGCTGGTTGTGGCCAACGGTTGCTTGACCATCGCCACCATGGCGATGTTTATGTCGTTTCTCATCATGAAGGAGACCGTGAAGCCCGAAAACGACAGCATGTACAGCACCACCCGTGCCGGGATCATGTCTGCAAATGCGAACAAGATCGTTACAGCGTCGCCTCGAACAACGTTTAACCCCCTCACCTTATAGTGTCGAATCAGACTCGTGATAAGGATGTAATCAAACTGAATGCGATTAAATAGAACGCAAACTCGACTTAATAAAATCAGATTTGATGAAATGAAATATAAACTCGATTCGATAAAATTAGATTCCATGAAAAAAAATATAAACTCGATTCGATAAAATTAGGTTCCATGAAATAAAATATAAACTCGATTTAACGCAAAGTAGATATTACCTTTCCCATTGAATTAAAATGTTATCTTCCTATTATTAATATTTAACTTCTAGAGTGGTCAGTAAATTTTTAATGAACACAGAAATCCGTTTTTTTTCTAGTGAATTTGTGAAGATAATGTGACTGCGATGAGGATATTTGCAAAAGAATTCATAAGACAAAGGATTAACCCTCATGCACCATTCGCATTAATTCGACTCAACGATAAATCTGTATTTATCATCATGTTTCTTATTCGAGATACGTATGAATTAATGTAACATGTATCGCTAGTTTACGTAAAGGGCATTAAGAAAAGGTAATGTAAATATTTATGCAGCACGGGTACAATTGAACAAGTTCTAATTAAACAGAAGCGATACAATCAACGGAGTTAATCTACGCGTGGAAGTAACTAAAAAATATGCAATAAAATTTTGTTTCAAATCAGTCACGTGTACGTAAACATTACAAATTTGAAACATCCATTTTCTCCAAATAAAGTAATAATTTTTCGATTTATTTTTTATAAAATACAAGACACCCTTTACACTGCAATTGAAGTGCAGTTAAGTAATTTCCATTACTTGGATGTAAACCTCGGTCCAATACAATTCACGAGATATTAATATAAAAATTACCTGAATGGAGCACAAGGGTTAAATATAAATAATTAAATGAGCCGCAAGTATTTTAACAGTCTCTCTCTGAAAACCTATCTAATCATTTTTTGTATGGTGTATAACTTGAAGAGTTTCTTTACCTCTCAGTTTTCGCAGGCTGCATGCTGAACGTGTCTTACATAGGGTATGATCTTCGTATCTGCGTAAGAGATACAATTGACAGTTTTATATAAACGAAAGAATCAATCGTTGTAAAAAAAAAATACGCAGGTTGATTAGCGTTTCACGATAATACCAGAACCTGTATCTGTTTTTTAATTCTCAAAGTGTTAGGAAAACGCGACAATATAAAATATGACTAACTACTTAACGTGAGCGGGGAGTTCAGTTAATTAATTCAGTTATTTATGACATCCTGATAAACGCTTGACAAACGAGTGCAGTTTTATTTTATGCATCGATAATCTTACTGTGAATCCCTTACCTTCGTGTGTCCTCCATTTTTCTGGTCAGTCGGTGTTCGAACGAGCAAGAACTTCCTTGCGCGATAGTGTAATTGAGGATCACCTGGGATTCTGAAACATGGTCGATCGAAAGAGAAATTTAAAATAAAAAGATTGCAGAGATCAAACATTCATTAGAAATAAAAGAAGAATTAAGAAGGAAGAAAATAGGGCCACGATCTTAGCAATAATTGCATCAGATTAAAAAACGATTTTCCTTAACTGCTCTGAATCACCACTAATTGACACGGACGTTAACAGCCCGGTATAATCGGCCAGGAAAAATTAAAGTATCATAAATCTTTAAAATCGTAATGGAAATTAATGGATGCGTTAAGCGGCAGTTAAATTGAGTCGACAATTTAACTATTAACGACATTCTATCGTTATCATTATACTCATTAGACGAGATTGCCAGCAATAGTCATTAGGCGAAAAAAATGTGTCCGTGAATTGCGAGACTCGATACAACTCGAGAATCTTCTTCTTCCTCCTCTTTTGGAGTTACGAATTGATTGCAGTGTGGCGATTTCACACAACAAATTACAGAACCGCCGTCGACTTTTATATAACATCCTCGAGGCTGCACGATCTTAAGATCTGGTCATCAACGAGGCATCTTAACGTTCGCGGTTTTCTATGTAAACGCGCACAATAATCGACACCAGTGACCCTAATTAAGCACTTGTTGCTTATTCCAACGCATGTACACAACAATTAAATAATTCCGGTGTTAGCCGTATCGCTAGTATTCATCGCTAACAATGCTCGCTTGTTAAATGACGACGAATGTAATAATGAACGTTTGCACGCTGAGAATGACACGACGAATTGAATCAATTTCGTAGCAGTTTTTTTCGTCTGGGTCTGGAATGTTCGCAGCTCGAAACTAAGGTATATACGCCACGTGATTATTAGAAGACTTAGGATCAATAAGGCCAAGGGAATGAAATATCCAGTATTTAATAGCGTGCGGATGGGTTACGAGGGAACGATGAAATTCCAACATGGATCTCATGTATGCGGCATTCAATGAACGCGCTTGGAAATTTTCATCATTTTGCAAAGGTCGCAACTCCAGTCATGCGAAGAGCTGGAAGAAAGCAGTCTCATTAACGAATGCATTATTCGCGTTTTTTTCCTTTTTTGCCATTAAATCAAACGTGACGTTTTTCATCTTGGATCGCATTTTCGTCTGAATCATGCGAGCGGAAATTCTACTTACATGAGTTACAATGAATTATGATGAAAATAAGAAAACGTGAAGAGGGAAACATTTTTCAAAATGTATTAACCCTTTATCTTACAATATCGTGTCAGACTCATGGTAAAGATTTCGAATAGAATCTAACAAATATAAATATTATTCGATTTGTTTGAATTCAAACTATGTATTATTCCTGTGTTATCAATGATTATACTTTAAAACAACCGTTCACATGGAATGTGCCTAGAAATTTTCTCTTATTTTCAACAAATTATAAATATCAACGTACTTAAATCGATTACAGTTCAGAAACAAATCATAGGACAAGGGGTTAACAATGGAACGTAACATACAGGCGGAGATTTTTATATTTTTATATAAAAATCAAAACTGAAAGGCAATTCGTGTATTCTTAGTTTTAGTATTTTCGAGTGAATAAAAAATTAAAAGTTGTAAATGGCATTTCTTCGCATGTGGATCGATAGAAATAATCTTATACTATCAAAGTCGCGTACCGACAGTGGTGTGTGTTGTTTTAAAGCGTTGCATAATTTACAGACGTGAATAGAGCATTTTTCTCATAACGGTGCATTATTCATGACTAGTGGACGTTTATCTGCTCGCATAGACAATATCAGTCAAGTTCGTGCAATTAAAATTTATTACAGATAACAACGATACTCTTGAAACTTGGATAACAAATTGTCGCGTTTGCGATTAAAAGTTAATGTAGAATTAATGTAGAAAGTTAATGTAGAAAGTTAATTAAATTGCTCTTTGATTATTTAGATCGGAAAACACGATATTTGTCTTTTCAACGGATGCGGCGAGCGTAACAAGAAACATATCATAAATTAGGGTATCTGTTTGAACAGGTGCTATAAAAAAATAGAAATACGTTTTACACGTTAAAATCATCGCAACTTTTCGTAACTCCTCTTTCCTGTTTCGATCGATAGTGAACATGCATACATCTGAATGATAAAGCTCTATTGTTCAATTTGTCATTTCCCGTGCTTCGTATCTCTATTGTGTAATCGGGCATTGTCGATAGTAATTCCTTATTATACATTACATTTGACACGCGGAAAAGCACAAGTCCGTGATGCAATTGCTGCACGCGCAATCCTTGCTTATTTAATGAACAATCTATCATTTTTATATTTTCGCAACTAGAATTATTGATTTTTCAAAATTAGGACTATAAACAAGCCATTAATATTATTATCCTTATACAAAATTATTTATTTCCTTTTAAACATATTTGCAATTTGTAAACGAAGTTAATGCAAATTAACAGTTTAATGAGAATTCTAGAATATATATTTGAAAAATTCTAAGAATGTAAGAATCTATTTTGGATTGGAATGACTTGAATAATGGGTAAAATTTAAATATTTTTGACAAAATTACTCCTAAACACAATTGTGATATGTTTATACAGAACTTTTAAAGGGTGGTTTCATCCCCTGCGTTTTATCATAGTTTACATCATTTGCGCGTGGATGACGCATCTTTTAGTCTCAAACTAAAACTTAAAGTATTCAACATACTATCAGAAGATAAGAAACAAACTTAGTTAAAATTTACAAAAAGCGAAAAGATTGCAACAAACAGTAGTATATGCTCTGCTTCATTAAAAAACCGGTCTGATATTACAAACATTGAATGTAATTAATAGTAAACACAAAATACTGAAATAATTCACTAAACCGATACATATTTCATTTACATACAACATTTTATCAACGAAACGTTATATTTAACCCATTCCAATTTGACCGTGAAAAACTCACATACGCATTTGCGTAATCAATCAGAGATATAAGTCAAATTAATCGAACAGGCAGCACTCGTAATTGATAACGGTGATACCGTCACAAAATATGCACACTGTGCTAAGCAGTAAGCGAGACATTTATACACTGTCCGATGACGATAATTCGCGTGGGTGACGTAAAAGCGCGTAGCTTTTCTTAAGCCATCACAGTTTAAAAGAGAAATGAATACGCGGAAAAGCGATAACGTTTCAACCGTAAATCAAAAATAATATCCGTCATGACTGGATTACTAATATTTTCATTTTAGAAACAGAGATACATAACTTACAAATCCATACTTACAAAGGAGCACGTGATAAACGGTCCGCTCGTCGGATCTACTAGCCTTCGATAAACTGCCGATTACACTAGGAATGTTTACATAGCCACGTGTCCGCGTAACGTATTTGAGTACGACCACGTACGAATTTCCACAAGAGTATCAAACCGACTAAGTTCGAGACATCCTATGAGTCCCCTTTATATCCAACGAGTGACTTGTGACATCCGTGACGACGTCGGTGAACCCGGAACGTAAGGTTACTAAATCAACAACCGAATCGGCCCGAAAAAATTTTCCACGTGTAGTGCAGGAAAATACAACTGTTCCCAGCGAAGGTTCCGAAGAATACAGAAAAAAAGACTATTGTCGGACAAAGATGGTGCACGACTCGTGTCGAGGTTCCAGCGTCGAATGAACGGCTGGCAGCGACAGAAGGGGACGAAACGTGATTCCCAACGTGGAGAACAGCCGACACTGAAAAGGCAACCAGACCTCGAGGCATTGACTATCTTCCAGGCCCCACCACCGGTAGTTTTTCAATGGTCCATTCGGTGTGTACAAAGTCCGTAAGGATTGCTGTAGCGTACACCGAGAATCGAGGAAACGTGACCAAGACAGTGGCCGGCTACAAGCGATGATTTGTGGGAATCGCATCATGGGCAATTGATCGAAACCGACCATTCGGTCTCCACGGTGAATGTTGATCGTATCAACGTTGCCCTGGTCAACGTACTGCGTGACCGGGTAAACAATGACAGAAAGAATGCCATCGAACAATCGGTCTCAATTGGAATCTGACGACTGACAGTCGAGCCGTGGATGATTCATATTATTCATTTCTTTATGTTTTAGTTACACGCAGTATTGTCGTCGTTATTTGATTAATTTTGGTGGACCTGACGATAATCAATTCTATGTTTGTTATTCGAAGATCCTGTTTGATGAGAATTGTTCGTTTGCAAAAGTGAAGTAATGCAAACGCTTCAGTATACGTATTGAAATAAATTCTTTTGTAAAGTTAAATGGGCCATTCGTGTCGATTTGAAAATAAAATTCTGTAACCTGTTATGGCAACACGTGACGATTGGTTAACTGACACGCGCGTTTAATTTCGATCCACTACATTTCACGCGCTTGGCTAATTTCGATTCGAGAAGAATTTGCTACGCGGTGTAGATACTATTGCTGACGTTCGATCAGTATTTTTTCATGTTACGGGAATATGTTTTATTGCTTTGGAGATACTACAAATTGCAATTGAAATAATGAATTTGATGGTACACTTTATTTCGCGGTGACTACTTCCCACGCTAATTAGCAGGCTTGTTTAAACTTCTGTTATTTTCTAATGCGTTTCGCGCGCATCGACTCCGTGAACTCGCAAGGTCGTTACGATTCCACCTGACGGATCAATTTTCGCCGATCGATCGGCGCAGCAATTACAGTTTGCGTTCAGTTTGTTCGCTGAATCGACGATTGTTGAGAATAACAACCAGCTTTAATATTCATTTCTTTATACGTAATTTATGGAATAAGTAATGATACAATTATTATAATGTTTTGAAATTTGATTTCTTTATTCTACGATCTGCAAATCGCGCAGCGAAACAACCCTCGCGCTCCTCTTTAAAAGTTATTGATCAGACAACACGATGATGGGTAGTTGTTCTTTCGATTCTACGCAAGATTCGTGGATACGCCATGTAACAAATGTTTCTTCATTTCGATTTTCGTTATTAATGACTAGAACGATTCTGTTCTCACGCAACAAGACGAAGCATACGTTGTATAAAATTTATTTATCGCTGATAAAAACAACTGTTCAGTGTACAAAAATAGCGGAATAAAGTTAGTTATAATCGACTTAACAAGGGGTTAAATAAAAATGCTGTTTTTATTTGAATCAATATTGTAAATACTGTGTTAATCGGGTAAATAATCATTCCTTTTAACTCGGCTATTAAGTGGTAAACTAAACACGAGGTTAGTAATTTAAAAATACACTATACTAGTCAAATTTATATTGAATATTTATCTTTTTATGAAATGGAAAACAAAGTCGACGGTTCGCAACGCAACGTGAGATAATCTAGATACATTCCCGGGTAAGCCGAAGTGACTTGCAAATGCATGGAAAAATTGCATTGTTGAGCTTTCAAGAATAATTATTTCGCAGTTGACCTCACTGTTTTCATTCAATGGAATTATTCCGCCGGCCGGCACGAGATCGAGCATGTGATCAGCTCCCTCGTGACGTTAGGGGCATCCCCAATTTAATCAATTCCTTTAGTTCCAGTCAAAATCGATTTGTAACTATCGGCACTCGTCGATATCTTTATTTTTTATTCAAGGAGACACTTCTTCCTTTACTAATCTTCATCAAACCTACCACTTACGACGAAAGATCAAATGGTTGTCCTATATATTTGGAAGAAACTATTCCAGTGGAATTCACAGACCACACAGGCCAACCATATTGGTTTCCTCCCCCGCAAACGATTAGTCATGGGTGTGGGACTTCATGCAATCTATGATAACACCGAAAAGATTCATTCAAAGCCAAGAGATCCATCTTGAAACTAGCATGTAGTATTGCAGGTAATCTTCCTACGTTTATAATAAAATTGGTCGACGACTGTAACAAATTGCAACGCTGCAAGAAACACGTACAATGAGGAGATAAATGAACACAACAAAATGCACAAAATAAAAATGTTATCACAAACAAAATATCATGCCTTTGTATATATTTTCAAAGTAATTATCTATGTCGCAAAGACAATACGTTCGAGGAATTAATTCGCCCATACCGGCGACTAAAGTAATAAGCGTAACAATATCGTGATATCAATAACACGTACTTCCTCGACCACAAAGTCATCGGTAGTTACATCACGGAAATTCGCTGTCACCGATACACTATCTATTCTATCAATCTATCGATCTATCTAACTGTTTCATCTATCGAAAGACACCGTATTATTAACACACGGATGAAATAGAACGAGAATCCTCTCGAACCAGCGGTTCCTAACCTCAACGGGGAAACGCTTCTGCTCGGGACTGAGGTTATGTCAGGTCGACGCAGCGTTCGCAACCCGTAAAGGACCACGTGGCCGTGGCCTACGGACCGTAGAATAGAAAAACAGAATGTAAAACCGATCGATTATGACTTGTAACTCACCTTCGTTCCGTCTTTGCGACCGACAACGACCTTCTGAATTTCGATGGATCGCCTTTGCATTGGCATTTTCTTGAAGACGCGTTCGCCGACGGTTTACGCGGCACTGTCCATCGTTTTACAACGGAACGGATCACTGGCACAAAATATTTTAATATCACATGCGAACAGCACACGGAAACGTCGCAACACACGGGTCACGAAATCATGAGCGCGATATGCTCCAGCGTTCGTCACGGCGCCCTTGCGCTCGCTACGCCGCAAAGCAGGTCACGTGATAGAGAGGCAAACACGCGCTCGCGCGCCAATCGATCGATGACCGTTGCCTCGTCATCCACTTTTTTCGCTTACTCATTATCAGCTTTCTGGGAAATTCGGATTTCCTGATATTTTCGATCGATTGTACTTTTTCAACACCTAGGACAAAAAAGATGCAAAATTGTAATATTAGACTGTATGTTTATAATTAAATGAATGTTCATAACTGAATGGGCATTCAATCTTTAGGCATTTTAAGGGAAGCTGTGCTTTAAGTAGCTAGATTAATAATTTCTTAGATATTTAATTTAATTTCTTTATAAAAAAGTTTTCACTATGAAATTTGTTTTCAATGTAGTTTTGTGTAACTTCAATTATAGAAACTGGTCTGTCGTATTTTTTTTGTGGAATACAGACTTCGATAAACAATAATACTAATTATTAAGTTACAATGGAAATGTTTGCCACAAACTCCATTCGTTATTGTCATACACATGATGAATGACATTACTTTATAATGCACATAATTTGTGAAAATGTTATACATGCGGTCACTTCATTGTGCAAAAAATTTGCATTGTACTTTGTATAATAAATGATGTACTGATATATGCATATACATATGATAGATAACGGGAATTCTTTTCACAAGTGCATAATTTACCCGTGCGACCAGTGCAGACAGGTTAAATTATGCTTGCAAGAAGGTAGGAAAGCCTTGAGTTTCACTAATAGTTCAAAGTATTTCATTTTCCTTGACGCTTTTCCTTGTGTGGAAATATAATACATTAAACAAATTTTTTCAGTAGAAATTTTAAACGCAAAAAATTCTTCAGTTTGTACATACAATAGAAAGGATTGCTTTGCCGGTCAATTAAGATTCTTCTATTAAGGTCAGCCGGTATGGTGAATTTTCCGTGAAGAAGAAATTCTAAAAATTCCTTGAATTATAGATACCATTTCTTGTAGTGATCGACAGCGACATCGCTTCGATTGTTCCTTCGACCGCGTATTCTCAAAAACTGCGGCGTTCATGATCAATCTCTCCCATCATCTAGAATATTTCAAATGCGACGTTGGTAGCCGGAACAATTTTGGAAAATCCAGCAAAAATTTTCAATGTAAATGCCGTCGAAAGTCAAAACACGAGCCACATGTCAACGCATTCATAATGAGTCAATCGAACCATTCTGGGCAACCACGAAAGAAACTGGCAAAGTGTTCTGCAAATGTACCTGCGACCCAAACTAACAAACACAAGTATTTCCAACTCCCAAATGGGTTCTATTAAATACAATATTTATTCGAAAGTCTTATTATCGACTCGAATATCATACTTGCGAGAAAACCTAGTAATTTGAATAAAAAATTAAACATAATTAGGTTATAGTTTTACGTGTCCCTGTGCTCATAGGCTAAAACGAATTTCCTCGACATCAACGTATATAGTGGACGATGAGGATAGATTGAATCTTATGAAAATTCCAACATCGGAAAATTCATCGAATACTGAGTTACGGAAAAACGTCAATCGTCCCGTTAAAAGAATTGATAAAACGGTTATTACGTAATAACACTTTGTTATGCAGATACTCCGAAAGTTACTACTCCTTCGTTTCAGTATTATGAATTATGAAAATTCCTTAGACCTCAAGCACGTTTTACGGAGTCCGAAAATCGTGGAATCACTGCAACACGAAGCCATCGAACACTTTCGTGCCGGACAATTCTGTTATCGAAGAAGGTATGAATTATGATATCAGTAATGTGAATTAATAGTCTTATTTGATGATAGCGAAACCTATCTTTTGCCCTTGTACTTTTTAGTCTTATTATTATGTACTTAAGCTTTTATAATAGACATTTTGTCTTCGTTGTTTAACAGTTTAAGCTGAAGGTTATTTTTTAAACAGATGATTCTAGTATTATACTTAGATTTGTAACAAATAAAACCACTACTGGTTCTTTAAGAGATATTCCAAATATTTACAGAGGAGCATCTGTATTAAAAAATTTCTTTAAATACATTTTCTTCATTAGTCTTTCGCATTAACACATTCGCTGCTGACACGGCCTATGAGACAACATTGATCGACTTGAACACTTTTCAAATCTCAAATTATATTATAAATACAATTTAATTTTTTTTAACTGTTATTGTACGATGTCTGTTCACCTGTTTATTATTAAAGAACAAATAAATTAACAACCACCTAGCATTAGTTTTAATAATCAGCACTAAAACCAATTTGTTAATTGCTCGTCATTTATCAAGGAAATTCTATCCTAATTAGCGAACAGGTATTTGACATTGACTCGACATTGGCTCTAGAATTTCTTCAAGGTGAAATATACACTCACAACCTGTATCTTTCTTTGGTTAACCACAAAAACCGCGTGTCTTAGAGAGCGAGCTGATCTGTTCGTTGACGAAGCAGCTGTATCTGGTAGAGTCTCAGATGCAGATGATACAGAGCGATTTGAGGAAAAAGGATGAACAGCTGAAGTTGAAAGATCAAGAAATGAACCGGCTGAAACGGAAAGTTCGTTGCTTGTTCTAATTCATTCGTTCCGTTACTTTCTATCATTGTAACGTTTGTTTCCTAAACGAGTGTAGATCAAAGATTGGGAATCAAAGAGCAAGGAACAAGAGACGCTGCGTAAGAAGGAGCAACAGCAACGACGCATCCAGAAGGACTATTCGGAACAGCTTTACCGACAATGCCTGATGCTCGAACACAGAATCCACGAGATGGAGGTTGAACGATTCCCACCTTGAAGTATTCAGTAGCATATGTGAAAAACGAAATATTTAGACGGATTACGATTGTGTCCTCGGTACGTTATCACCATGCAATATTACCCTGTCCCCGTTTTACAGAAGTTCTTGGCCGATTACGGTCTGATCTGGGTCGGCGATACGAACAGCCCGAGGAACCCTGAAACCGCCATCAAGTAAATCGAATACTACGCTACCGTTTCCACGCGGCCGGCAACCGTTCGAATTAATTATTAGTTAATAATGCCTTTCAGTAATTACATCGAGACTTGTTACGAGCAAATTATCGCAAACATCGATCAGCTAAACTTAGCCGCAGGAAAGGGCGAAGTTCACGTGCAGCATAACGAGAAAGGAACAGGCGCCACGTTCAAAGTAAATCGCAGGTGTACAACTGGCACTGCTACAATACATTGTGATACCTTTTTTTTTGTTCCGTTCGAAACGAGAAAAAAACGTGGATGCATATTTGATTTATTTATCTCGTGTATCAATCTCTCGTCGCCTATCCGCCATTGCTGCATTATTCATCGCCGAGAACTGTATCGAAACTACTTGCTCTAGCGTGTTCGCGTGCATTCTATTCACTTAATGTTATGCGGTGTCAATCGTTAGATATGTTCTGTCGATATTCCTGCTCAGATAACACGGTGTCAATTTTCGACAGCAATCCTTCGGCCTCAATGCATTCTAATGAAACGTAAAAACCGCAGACGTTAATCACTCCCACCGGTTACATGATAAATGCGAATTATCATCGTGTAGGAGTTACGTCGGTCTAGATCCGGTGACTGGATCCAGATTTTTTATCGTTTGTTTTTCTTGCGACGCGTTCACGTAATACGAGGTTTTCTTTAAACGCAGTTCGACTTATCATTTCATTGGACTTATTAATCAGGAGAAACTAACCGAGTGTGTTTAATTGCTCGAAGACTGCTTCTTGCATGTCCTTGAAATTCTACAAGAATGGAATGACTGTACAAGATGGATTATTACGCCTTTACGATGATCCTGCCACGATATCCTTCCTGCAAGACATTTTGGAAGGATATTTCCCTTCGGAATTGCAGCAGGATTATCCAAATGGAGTACCTTTTAAGGTGATGTTTCGATTAGCATTGCAGAGGAACAATTTCATGTGGAGAAATAACTAAAAACAATATCTTAAAATAATTTTATTTTAACATCCACTTCCGAAAAAATCTGGTTTGACCATGTCCTAATGGTAGTTAATCTAATATTGGTATATTCGACAAATATTCAGCCTTAATTTCCTCAAAAGAAAGTATCAAATAAGAAAATTTCATTCTGAATTTTTCACTTGCGTTTGCACATAAAATTATTCGCTTCTCATTTATACCATTAACAGAAGATTTTATATACACCGCTTATCGTATAATATCGTATCAGACTCTTGATAATAATTTTAAACCGAATTTAACAAATCTAAATTTTATTTACTTTTCCTGAAATATAAATTAAATATGATTTTCATATTAATAATTGTTAAACTCTAGAGTAAACGTAAACATGGAATGAATATTATCAAATTTCTTTCTTTTCCTCATAAGTTATTTAGCATAAAGTTAGTTTACCAAGCATAGTCGCGAAAGGAATCATAGGTCAAGGAGTTAAGTTGAATTTAATTAATCCCATTTTGAATCTAAATGTAATATCAATTATTAGGTAGAAGATCGGAGGAAACAGATGTACGTGGACAACTCCGTCGATTTTCCCGGTCAAGGTTATCGGCTGGGAAAGCAGCCTCAGACTGATAATATACCGGTAGTGTCGAACAGAACTCGTCGGCCATGCACCACGTCCCTGAAATCAGGTCGTCGTACTTCACTTTCAAAGGACACTCTATCTGGTTCCGATTATTCTGTGGCACTTTCAACTGCCAGGTATATGCAGTTCTTTCCATACACGTGATTCGGTTAAAATCATAAAGACTGGGTGATCTAAACAATCTTGATTAAGATACTTTAACATCTATTGTCATTTTTCTAGAAAAATATTCAGCTACATGCAGTTGTTATTTTATAATTTATACATGTTATCGATATGAATATTATAAATATTATGAATATTTTACATATTCATTGCACTTCACGATTTCCTGTCAGAAATAAAATGAAACATTCCGATATTCATTTAAAAGGACAGATTCCCTCCATTTAAAAAATCAATGATTACTCCCAGATCAGGAAAATCGAAAAGTCCGTCCGCCGAAACTCCATCTCTCGAAATGTATGTTCTCCGTTCTCAAATACTGGCATCACATAACAACATATGTTCCGATACGCATCTACAATCGCACATTAACGCCGAACTTGGTTTAAGTAGTCGAAAAGAGAAGGTATTCGTTTTTAACCCTTTCCATATACTTTGGTAATTATTTAGTTTGGGATGTTCCCCACCGATTTTGATGATTTTTGGATATGTTGTCGGGAACATAATTCTAAGCAACCTTTTCCTATATATATATATTTGCGATTACATATCTCAGAATCTAAGAAATAGTGACACTTATACATAGGAAAAAGTTGTTTAAAATTACGTTCCTGACAACATGTCTAAAAATCATTGATATCGACGAGGAACACCCTAAACTAAATAATTACTACAAATTTGTTCAAAAATTAAAAATAAATTTGTTCTTCATTAGCGAGATCTGGCTACTAAAAACACAGATTATGATTTTGTAACAAGCGAGAGGTCTCTAAGATCAAGGCGTGTATTAAGATTTCCAAGTTCTGGTCATTGTTATCATTCTTCCAGAGAGAGATTATCGTCTAAACCATCCCCTAGGTATTTTTGCAATACTCTATTATTTTTAGCATCGATCTAACTCTATGCTCAGTAGATCGGAAAACAAAGACGATCTTCCCAAACAAAGAACAAGATCTTCCAGTTTGCCAAACTCCCGTATATCCATGACTTCTAAACCGATAACAAAGTCTGGACCATTCAGTGGGTTCAGTAATGTTGACAGTCTACAATTATCGAATTCCCAAAGAGTACAGAACGTAGTCAAACAACATCCTCGTACTGCAAAGTCTGCGGAACCGATCAGAAAGAACGCAGTGAGGATTTTATATAAAACTTTTACCAATAAAATAATATAACGATCTTTTAATAATTCTTATTTCTTAATTTCTCTTTAGCCACCGATTTTGCACCAAGTAAACGAACCTTCGGGTAAAGAAGGTGAACTTCGGCTGAAAGTCAGATCCCTAAACGGTGGCACCGTCTACCTGGCGCACGTCTCCACCGACGAACCGATAGCTCGACTTTACCAATTGCTAGACAGAGCAATGGCGACGACAGTTCCTCGAGGGTACAAGATTGTCCTCAGCGGGTAAAGCGTCATAGACGAAGTCTTACCTTTCCATATATCGCTGATATCTTTCCTATAATTTCAGTTATTCGCCAAGAAGGCTAGATCAATTAGGCGCAACCTTAAGGGAAATCGGCATCACTAGAGACAGTGTCCTACATTTAGTGAACAATTGAATATTTAGTTAAAATAAATTGTAGTAGTTCTTTTTTGTGTACATATTGCTGTACAGATATCACGAGACTATACATTTTTGATAAGTATATGAGTTTTATAAACAATCAGAAAACGGATAAAAATTAACACACATTTTATTGATTTATATCGATCCTGGGTAAGTATTCTCGCGGGACCTTGTTTCTCCGTGGTTGGTAAAGGGATCGTTTGATATTTATTTTATCATTGCCGGGTAATACAGTGTTACATTCGTACACGGTTTTTTGTTATTAATGCTTGTTCAGCTAATATGCAACACCTGTGACGTGGTAAATATACTGCTACAAGCAGAGCTCAGTGTCACAGGCTTGTAATTATGCCCATGATACCAGCCATTCCATACGCGGAAGGCACATTGATTTATGTTCACCCTGTTGGTTATGTACTCAAGTACACGCGTTTATCCCTAAGACGATCAGTAAATTTCAGCAAGGAAACTGGATTCTCTTATTTTCGATTATCTGTTAAAAGCATGACGATCTTGAGCTGTTGCAGATAACTGTGCATATAATTTTAAAATTACGAAGATAAATGACTGTAAATTATGAATTGAGATTAAAAATGTTTAGAGTATTAGATAATCTGTCGCTAGTCACGATTCATTCCATCTGAAATTTAAATAACAATAGTTACATACTTACAGATCGAGTCAGTTGATTTCATTTAAATTTTATCTAAATTTCATCTAAAGTCGATTTCATCTCTTTACATTTTATATAGAGAACTGGGTTACAACGTTCGTTACAGAAAGTTGTAAGAAAAGCAGCAACTGTTCGTGACGTTGATGTCTCATTACCGGTTTCCGGCATAGCATCTTGAATCACGAGAAATATCGATGGTCCCCGGCCCGGTTCTACGACTCGAATACAACGTTCCAGATATTTCGAATGCTACGTGCCGATAATGGAATATTCAGGAATCGCTTAAGAAACTTTTCTATGCATTTGTCGCTCGAGAGGATTTCCACTCGTTACTTCTCCAACGGATTGAGTCTTCGAAACGCCGTGACGAAAAGTTCTCGTAGTCTTCGCTATGACATGGCAAAGGACTTTCCTGCGATTTAGAGAAGATTTCCGGTGGAAAATATTTGCAAGGTTGATTGACACGTTTAAAACTGCCCCCGGCGCGCAAACTACCTGTTAACAGCAATATTTAGATTATCGAAAGGAATACCTTGTTCACGTTAATTGTAATGCCTCAAGATTCCCATTTAAATCCTCTACTATTGAAACATTTCATTAATCCTACTTGCAACTTACCTTTTATTTATTCGTCAAATTTTGGATAATTAATTCATTTATTTTATACAGTTACTTATCAAGTCTCAACATTTCTCAGGTAAAAAAGCTGTTTGAAAATAACGTTTCCTATACTACATAGATGTAAGGTCGGGAAATGCGTTGCGATGAAAGCGACAACCACCCGAAATTAAGAGAGTCCATCGACTGGTCGAAACGTATTGTAAGGTTTAGTTTCTTAAGGTATAAACGAACGACTACTTAGACGTGTGGCTGGTGTCGTCTTGCGACGGGGTGGCGCCGGATGTTTAGAGAAAGTATGACTGCAGACGGGATGATCAAATAGTGAGTGGGAATACACATCTATTTTTATTTATTAATTGTTCAGTTTAATAAATTTTTGTTAATGTTAAAATCCCACTACGTTGTCCCAATTTGACATAGATAAACCGTTTAACCCTCTTTGAGCGATTCAGATTAAGTTCAAGCTAGCATCTAGTTATTGGGAAGGATGCAACTACTCATCAGGGGATCAGCTGTTTGATGCAGCGCTCGCATTTCATTGTGATGATAAAAACTCAGTCTACTGGAAACCCTGATTGCTTCTCCAGGTCCGGGCACCATAACCGGGTTCATTCGCCGTCACATGTCCCTACGAAAGATTAAAGCCGCGAGGGGCGTCCCGAAGCGCAACTAACCTTCCAAGTAGCTGGCACTGATATAGAAGTCTTGTCCCCTACACTTAAGCGTCCCGCTCATTTCGTACGATTGGGGTTCCTTTACGAGTACTTGCCTCCACGCGTCGTATACTCGACCGAAAAAAAGAAGCAGATAGCCTCGGACGGAGTAAATGCCAGCTAGATAACAGGACGATGTAAAAAACCTTGGCGATACGTTACGCTCGATTTACTTCGCTTACGATGGGTAGCGCGGGTTTCAAAGAAACATAAATGTTTTTAACATTTCGAGCGAAACCACCAACGGGAGAGATAAGGCGGGTTAAATGGATCTATCTCTGGCCGGAAGAAAGAATGATGATCGAGGCGGGCACGGTCGTGCTTTCGAAACGATTATTCTCCTTCCGGGTCCCATTACCTTTCCGCTTTGGGTTCCCGGAACTCTAATACAAGACATACTTCGGAACTTAGCGTTGAGGAAACTTGGGTGAACTGTCTGCGAAGTTCAGGAGATATGGCGGCGAAGGTTGAGCGAACAGTGCATTGTAATAATTTGAAGGAATGACTTAAAGAGGTGCATTCCATGTTGTGGACAAAAAGTACCGTTTTCTTTGTTTTACATAGGATTAACCACCGAGTGAACTTCGTGATGAAGATTTTATATGAAATTTTCTCCCTTATTTTCTTTCTAGCGAATTTATAATAAATAAGATTTTGTAAACATAGATATTAAAAAAATTATATAATAGGGGTTTAAGTTAGAAGCTTTCTGCTATCTTCTTTCTTTCTAGTAAATAAATACACGACAGAATTATTTTTAGAAGTCAAGAATTCTAGGAGGCTTCTCATTTCCAGCAATTTCGGGGAAAGGGAAAGGGTAGTGGTTTCCTTCTGATCCATGTCACTTTTATTGATAGTTCTATCAGTCAACCACCAGCTCTCGTATATTTCAGGTTCACATCAATGGATATCGTAGGCTGTCCGGTGCACCAGGAGCAGCAAGAGTCCACGTTTGTCAATCAACATGCAAATTTGAAGTGCTCGTCGCCCTTGGGATTATTCAGGGAACCCCTTCCACTTGTATTCCATAAGTTCATGAAGGCAAGGGTAAAAAATGAAACCTGGGATTGGGATCGTTTGCGTTTCCGGCTGCATATTACTTCATCTTTCAGTGTTTACCGCGACCCCTAGTGGAACGGTTAAGGCGCTTCAGGGTTGAAGCCCGTTCAGCTACTCTGATTAAATGCCTTGAAAGAAGCTCTCCGGGAGGATTCTCGGCGAAGATCGCGTCTCTTTTTCTTCTGTATCTAGCAAATGAGAAAATAGAGGGTGGATCTCGGTATAACATGACGCGATCTTGTCTTACTCACGAAAATTGGACGGGCATTTGGAACATCCTGCGCGAGACAGCAGCGCGTCCATGTCCAAAAATATCAACGTCGATGTGTAAAGAGGAATGTTATGTTATATTCTGTTTCGAAGTTTACTTGCAATAAAAAAGATCCATAGAAGACTTGAGACAGAATAAAGAATTTCAAGAGAAGCACTCGGCTAAAAAGTAATTACTGGCTATTTTGTGAACCAAATTTTGAAACCTACAACTTTTATATGAGTTTTTACATTGAGACGAATTAGGTAAAAGTTTACTTATATAAGTAAATTCTTTTTATATGCTGAAAGAAAAAGGAATTTCGACAAAAATAACTAGGTTTTTGAATCTCCAGATACTCTTCTCTTTGGTATTATGTACATAAATTTTAGAAAAAAGTTTAATTGAAAAATTTTATTTGAAAATTGGCATACGTTTACTTCTTATTTACCGTCTGTCTATCAATTTTTGTCTATTGAATTCTAAAATATATTACATCAGTATGTCTTGCGAAAAATGATTAAGAAATGATTTTAAAAAGCTTGAAATATATTCCACTAATTCTCTAATATATCCTGCACTTCAACGAACACAATACATTTAAGCTATTAAAGGTCTTTCTTAACTCAAGCTTCAAATGTCGGTTGCTCTGTGATTAAAGATAGACCGGTAGAGACCGATTAGCAGGGTGAAATCACGCGAGTCTCTTTGTAATTTACTAACGATCCATCTTAAACGTCGTAACAGGAAATGCTCGTGACATCTGCTTTGAAGTTTCACGCCGCTACTAAGGAAGCTACCAATTTGTCTCGAGCCGCGACGTGTGCCGAGGGAAAGTCAAAGGTGAATGATTGTCTAAAAAGAAAGCGCGAAACCTAATTCAACGTGTTCCAAAATCTTATGTATATCCTTGCGATACTTTGATGATACGAACGGTACGAGTTCTATCTTGAATATGTTCTTCATCGCGAAATATGTTCTCGAAGTGGATGAGAAAATAAGCAGAATTATTAAATGCGTTTGCCTTTCCCCAGTTTCACCGAGGGGAATTAATTCCATGGCTTCCCATTCACGAAGGCGCGCGACGTTCGTTGTTCCTGCTCGAATTTCCATTAACGTTCGAAACAAAAAGAGGAAATCCATTCAACATTCACTGACACTGTGAGAATTAACGAGTACCCGCCGTTCGAATGGCAGTACCGTCCGATAACCGTAGGCGATTCTTATTCTCCTGTGCTATTCTCATTTCCGACACACCTTTCGTCCTTGTGCCTTTCGCAGATACGGCGACGACGAATGCCCCAGATTTTAACGGGCTGCCTTTGACGCGACGCAGTCAAATGAATGCAATTTTCAATATGGAAGCCAGCCACTTCGCTGACAATTTAGTTCCTAAAGAAAGCTAAGTGACGCGTCGCGTGCTACCCCTACACAGGGGTGCAATACCCTCGCTGAGCGTTTCCACCTTCTGTCGAATTATCCTGCGGAAACTATATCCATCCGTCCGCTGGTGGAATTGCTACTTTAACATAGTACTACACAGGGTGGAATAATACAATTTGATGCATTTTCTTTCGAAAATTCTTCAATATTTTCTTTGAAGTCATAGAAGTTTCGTCTCCTCTTTCTGTTTAATCAAGTAAGATGGAAGAGTTAATAATTTTATGTGTGAATAACGTTTCTAAAGCCATTGTCAGAAAGGTAAAGATGGTTTTGTTTGTACTTTTCAAATGACGCACAATCATATGATTATCTCTAGTCATCGATTTAAGTATATATATTTAAGTCTGTTGTAGGTTTTAAGAAAACGAATTGTAGTATTTCCTTCGATTCACCCTGTAGAAATAAATGCAAAGAGTATTTCGTTCAAGTAATTATTTTCGAGCGTTGCACGTAATTACTAACCGTTCAGTTCAGGAAAAAGTTATACTTTTCCTTCGATTGGATCGATCGCTGCTCCGAGCCAACACAGAAACAAATGGCGCGAGATAATTTCGCAAATGGCGTGTCTCGGTCCATTGCGTATATTAATGCTCGAAGTTTTATTATTTTCTTCATATACACTTTTTCCGTGATTGAACCTCGCATCGGTAAAAGTTTCTCGCGGCGAACGCGGGAAATCACAGTTTCCAAATGCTGCTAGTCTGAATTATGTCTGCCAATACCATTAACGCGTGAAGCATCGGAGGAACCATGCAATTTCCATTTCGTTTTCCGTGCGCCGGTTATTCCGAAATGAAAGGAACGGAATTTCCAAACGAACCGCGGCCACTTTCCTCCGGAAGGCCTAAACGAGATCACACCGAGTCAATTTTCCAATCGCCGATAAAACCGCGCTCGTCAGGTTTCGTTACTGAAATCGTTTGAAATCGAAGTCGAATTAATTCCTTTGTAAAAGGGCCACTGTTGGATTCGTTTGCAACAGATCACGCCGCGAACGAGATTTACATAAATGATGTAATGGCCACGGTAAACGGAATCGTGTTGCCGAAGGCAAAGGAAAGTCCGTTGTCCTGAATATATATCGAGGAATGGGCGACGTGATTGATGAGGCGTCGCATGGACTTGTCATCCTGTCCGCAATGGCGTCGGTGTCTAGTGACGTTCCAATGGCATCGTATCGCGATCGATTGCGAATGCCGACGAAATCATCATGCATCATTGCTAGCATTTATTGACGTCGTGAAATAGATACGAAAGGGAAAACTGTGGGAGAGCAATTGTTGAGATTTTGATTGAATGCCATGTATTGAAATCATTTTTAACCGGGCGAGACAATCGAGGAATGTACGAGGGAAAGTCGAAAAGTAAGTTGCATTCTTTTAGAAAATTCGTTGTATATTAAAAATATTTGGATCGATGTTAGCAGCATCGCTGTTTAATACTTCTTTTTTAGAGTTATATTAATAACTTCGATGCATTGGTTGCCTTTCGTTTATTATCAATTGTGAAAGGCATTGTTTTTATTATAAGTAGCGTCCAAATTACAAGTCAAAGGATGTATTGGAAAATGTAAATCAAAGGTATGAGAATACCACCTACTTTTCATTCTACACCCTTTACTTTGTGATTTTCACGTTTCCGGATGAATGAAAAAACTCTGCAAAATAGGAATATTACTTGACAAAAATGAAAGAGTACAAAAGTACAGAGTGGTTAGTAGAGTTTAATGACAATTTTTCAAGGATGAAATCAAAACTGGTGCTATTTAGAAAAATAGTTCTCCCAATGTATTTTCAAACGAATAAGAGGACAACCTCAAATATTCTATGGTCAAAACTTTTAATATGAATACAACTAACTTTCTGAATATCCCTCTCGTAGTTTAATGCAACTGCATGAATGGATCTCGAACGAGAATAAAAAGAATGTCTGAAAGGTATTGAATAAAACATGCGTGTAACAACATTTAATTGTTTGTTATTTTCGGAGAGATATGTTCAAGTTGACGATTCACTGCGTATCACAATCATTCAATCGGAAAGCTAATGACCGGAAGCTGAGGACTCGTCATCGTTTGATTAATTCTATTCTCCTACACGGCTTCCTCGGCTTTTAATCATCCGCTCTCCAATCGCAAAAGGAAGTCAACATGTTTCCGACTGCTACCGCAAGTGTAGAAATTGTCTAGGTCGATTAAGTAAATAAAATTTATTTATTGAATAGTGGCACACCAGTGGCATGACGTGACAAGTAGTCATGAACTTTTGAACGCACTTGACCAGCACCTCGCTTAAACGCATTCCGCTAAACTTACCGCTTATACTGTGCATTACGGGGAAGCATGCAGCTGAGAAATGATTTAGAGCCAACTATCGAGACGTATCGTGTGTTCGTCGATGACGTAGACGCGTTACCGGCTCGTATACTGGGTAATCTATAATTACGTATCCGGGAGAAATGAAGAAGGATACTATTGCCGGTGAAAAATGAATCGTGACTCGATAAAGTAATCCGACCCGTCTCGACTTTGATACAAGAAAATCTGTCAATCAGTCTAAAGGGATCAATAATTCATTCGTCATGGGATTACCGATCATCAAGCGGGAATTAGGCGAGGTCTCTATTATCTACAGATTCCCTGTCAATTTTCCCTGATGAATGTACCCTACGCCAGTTTCGCAGATACGAGAAGCTCGTCTCGGACAATGAAATAAATTATTCTCCGGGCACTCGGATTAACATCGGCATAACGAATTACTCTCGACACGCTGACTGCCACAAGAAATTCTTGAAAAGTTCTGTGAGCCGAAAATCCGCAAATATAATACTTGAAAGCAAAGTAATATGTTTTAATTAGACTCCCCATTGAGTGGCTAAAATTTAGGTCAGTTTCTGGCTAATTTTTACTATTTTCACTACCAATTTAAATCCTCCTTTATGAAGATGAAAATTAGCAAAAATTTAATATTCCGTGAAAACGTACGAGGTGATTGAATTTTTCAATAACAGGAACCTGCCCCAAACAACCTCGACGTCGAATGTCACGTTTCGCAATTATTGCAAAGTCAAACTGACTAGTAATATATACATATATATAATAATAATATTACAATAATAATAATAATATATAATTGTAATTTTTGTAACATATAATTATACTATTCTCACACCATTTTATTAGTCTATTTTTCCAAACACCTATTTACTCAATTAATACATCCGCCGCCGGTGAACAGTGACGCAGTCTACTGGAAACTGTAAACGCATGCCAATCGAATTCCCGCGACATGGCAGTCAACGTGTTAACGAGAGACTTGCGCGTGTCAAATGAAACTTCGTCTAGCTCGCATAGAACGGTAATCTTATTCGTCATTCTATCCTCATTACCGTCTTCTCGCGCGAGCCGCGAAGAAAGTCCATCTTCCGTTGCCAAGAAGTCTCGTGCCGGTTCGATTGCTTCCTGACGCGGTTATCAAACGAGGCGCGGCCCTACTGTTGGCGTCGCGCGTCAAAAACATCAAAAGCGTCCTGACTGCTTGTCAGTTCTGACGGCAGCGTGGATTATTCGTTTTCAGCACGATCCTTCCTCGTCCTCCATCTTCGTGCACCCCTAATTACGCGCGGGAGTCCGAGTTCCGTCTTCCCCCGGAAATTCGCTAATAAGCGCTTCAGTAGATCCGTCGAACGACGCCAAATCTCGTTAACAAACCCAGCGCTCTCTTACGTGTAGGTACAATGGTACATGTGTATATATACATAATACATATATACGACGGCGGCCGTTTAAACCGGTAGCCGCGCGGTGCGCAACACCCACAATCAAAATTCGTGAAAAACACTCGCTGTACAATGGATTCGTTCTTAATAGTAATCATAATAAACCGTCGGTCGTGTCAAAATGTGACAAGGGTCTCTTACGCGGCTACGCACTTAACTATACGGCATTAACGTGTCAACTAAAAACGTGTACTCGTGTCCGTCACGTGTGTCTATATCGCCTCGGCGCACTGTCTATTCACCAGTCGTCGAACCCTTTCGGTCGCACTGTGCAACCGTGGCTATAATACAAGGGTCGCCGCCGGGATCGACGGAATGCACCTGGATCGCGGGATCTTCGTGTTTCCGCCTACGTTTGGTTCGAACGGGAGTGTCCTCCCAGCGTGTTCCATTATATTCGGGATGATATTCTTCGTTTTAATATGCGCGACGATTTCGCCTAACCAGACTTCGCCGCCGCTACTTCGTTCCGAGTCTACCGTATAAAATGGTTGAAAAAACTGTGGTCCGTCTCCTCCGGTACGACTACCCGCGGGAAACGACTCGGAAGCGAAGAACGTGGCGCGAATTTCTTCGAAGACCTTCAGGTCACGTCCCCGAAATTTTGTACTTTGTCCGATCGAATGCTGAGCGATCCGCACCGCTCGAAGTTGCTTCAACGGGTCTCGAAGTTTTTTCAACGGGCGAGACGATCCAGTTTACTTGTCTCCAGAAGCCGTCGCGATGTTTCATTCGGCACGGCGACGGATGCGCTCCTTTAACCTTTGCACGTACAAGACCGTGAATGCGTTGCTCGATTAATCTCTCTTGAATCGTCGCGATCCTTCTCTTAGCGTACATGTGTCGCCCCACTGGCGACACGACGCCAGCGGAGTCGTCCTTTTAATGGAACCGCGGCATTTCTTTCGATCGTTGGCCTTTGGATGAGGTTACGGACAAACCGTTCTTCCTCCGGAGCAATTGGCGCGGCTGCACGTGACTTAATCGACTTGCGGAGTGCACTCGATCGCGCACTTTGTTCCCTTCGCTCGGATTAAATCGCTTCCTCTCGCTCACTCTCCGTCTTTGTAAATTACTCTCCGGGGTAACATTGCGGTTAAAGGTGAATTTCGTCACGAGAGATTCGCCGCTCTCCACGAATCGGAATTGACCATTTAGAGGATGAACGCGGGGGATCATCTTAGGCCGTAAATTTCATTGAATATTAAGCTCCTCTCTCGACGGGCGTCGCGTTAGACCGTTCTACTATTATTAGGCTAGGCTCTCTTGGCAGTGATCACTATGAGTTTGGTCCGAGTTCAATCACATGCTCCTCTAATCTTCGTCGATGTTCGGTCTACAATTGATTTGTTCGGTTGTTCCTCTCGGGTTACTTGATTACAACGATCCTCTATTTCAAGGAAACAGAACCGTCGGGGTTTCCTCGTTCCACGTGATGGTTATTGTCTTCGATGATCTACGAGAAACGTGCACCCGCGGAACCCTATTTTAAATCTGTGTCGATATGTTTAGCTTCGAAGTGCGGGCCCGCGTGTCAATCTCGTGACGCACAAGGGCGCGGTTCGGGTCGGATGGTCCGGGAAATTTAATTGAATGCTCCATTCGATTCCGCGTGCACCGAAACCCGTCGCTCCACGAGAAATGCTGAAACACGATTCCTCCGATCCAATGACGTAACGTCGTTCCAGCCGGCGCGGTGCGGCGTCGATGGAACTCAATCGTTTCTGACCCGATACTCTTTTTCGGTTTCAATTGATCCTGCGTGGTCATCGTTCAGGCAACAGCACGTTCCATGATCGATTCAATTGTAATCGGCTCTACGTTGGCTTCTTCGTTGCAAGTCCTTCCTCGTTTCGCGATATCCTCGTTGATGATCTTGTTAATCCACTGGTAAGCACGGTGTTCGTTCTGCATTTAGCGAGACCGGAAGTACAAGCGGACCGTGCATGTTCCAGCAGTTAGTCTACTCGGTTGTTCTTCGGTTAATGGATCGCGGTTGATCGACGTCGTCACGTCGACGATTCGATCGATGATCCGCCGTCGCCGATGGCGTCGGGCTGGCCGCGTCTATGCGGTCCACGCTCACGCCTCGGCGACTACATATGCTATAAGCAAGTCTCCTTTTGGTCGACCATGTTGACGACCACGGAGGCTTGTGTGGGCAGCTCCTTCTGGACGGGCACACCTGTCGGCACCTCCTCGAGTATTGGTCAGAGGGTCGTGGTCCTCGATACGGCCGCCGAGGGCGGGGGCGGCGGCGGCGGCGGCGATATCACCACGTCTGGTTCACCCGCCAGGTCGCAGTCGAATCTCCAGAGAATACTCTCAGGGTGGTCACCTCCTGAACATCAAAGGGATTTATTTTTAAATATCGGCGTGGAGATTTTATCTTAACGAAGAGATGGTGGCTAGCGATGTTTATTATTTCATTGCAATCGTTTTATAGTTTTATTAGGATATCCAAAATGTATGTAAATGAACTTAATTTACAAGTTTAATAAAATCATACACTGAATAGAACTTCGTTTGAATTGTATTATTTATTGACGAGACGAGTTTTAAGCTTCCAATTCTTATAGGTTCAAAACTACATCGCCATTTGGAAGCGTCCTTTGCAATTGGCAATTTGTATCAATATGCCAACGTATTATAGAATGATTTCAGTTATTCTAACTGTCATTTCCTTCGGTATACATAAGTCTAGTCGAAAAACAGTGAGGTGGTTGAGGGTACCATAATTACATCGACTCCAATTCAGCACACTCAATAACGTATTTACACAAATCGGTATAACAAGAATAACAAAAGTAACGAAATAACAAAATAATAGAATAACAAAGTGACAAAGTAACAAAGTAAAAAAATAACAAAAACACCGCGGACACAGGTGTAACAAATAAACACGAGATAAACTGGCGTAAGCACGAAGAATCGTTGTTGGTAAGGCAGCACCCAACTGCTCGTTGGACGATATCCGAACGCTTCTTAAAGAGACCTCCCTACTCTGGATCGCGTAAGTTCTTCGGAAAAATCGCGCGAGAAATTAGCACTGGAACGACGCACGGAAATAGGGCTAAAAATCCCAACTTCCTCTTTTCACCTAGGAAAGTGCTGGCCCGATGGAGCCTGGCTATCAGATGCGTAATTGACACTTTGAAAATGGAAAATAAAAAAGAGGAAGCTGGGAGTGAACGCAGGGGTGGCAGCGCCAAAACCGCTATAACAGAATGAAACATGAGATCTACGAACCTTGACCCAAGACGATGCTTGAAGAGTCCCGCCTCTGTCTCGGTGGGAGTGGTTGGTGCTTGTGCGTATGACTGTAACTGTGGCTGTGTGAATGTGAGTGGCAGTGTATGTGACGTGTGTGCGTGGGCGTGGCTTTGCACGGTGGCGGTGGTTGTTGTTGCTGCTGTTGTTGCTGCGACTGCTGCTGAGGATGAAGATGAGGATGAGGCCTGTGCTAGGTGTTCCCGCCACGGGCCGCTCCCACTTGATCGAAGCTCAATGATTTCTTCATCTCCGTCATCGACAACGCACCACCCTCCTGCTGAGAGAAGTAAACGCAAGTGTTAGCTATATCGCGGCGACTGATGGCGGACAATCCTCGGCCCTCTGTATATACCATCGAGGCCCAGCCGCGGGGGAGCGACTTGTTATAAGTTTTGCTCAGGGTCGTTAAAAGTTATCGAAACTTTTTAAAAGCCCGTAAAAGAGTTATCATCGGGTCACGTGACTCCGCCTACTGATGCTCTATCGTCCGTATTTTCCCGTTCCCACATTCAAACCTGGTTTGAGAAACAAGCGTGTTCCTATTCTTTTCTTGTTTCCATTCATTCCTCGTTCAACGACAAAATTTCTCTCCCTTTCTTGGTATTGTGTTTATGTACCGCATTTTAGAAATCCATTGCATCGATTCACGTTCGTCCAATTGCGTTTCTTTACGAAAACTCTATTCCCGACAAAATATTCGGCGTATATTCGAAACTGTATTGAACTTTGTCAAATATTATTCATGGAAGGAAATATAATAAATCTCTCTAAGAAAAGCAGGGAAACGATTCTTGACACCGATCAATAGAATTTCATTCCCGTCAATTGAATCCTGATTTTTGAAAACGTTTCCGAAATGATTCCATTTGCTCACAAAGAGCGGCGCGCAATACTATTGTATGCGATCTCCGATAACCTCTGAACGTTTGGAAATCCAAAACCGTTGTCAAGTTTCCATAACATGATACTTAGTACTGGTGACCGGAAATACGCGTTCATATAAATAATTAAAGCACTATGAATACAAGTGGCAAAGAAATTCGATAACTTTCGTAGAGAATTTGATGAAGCAGTTGAATTTCATGGAACGAAACTGCTTCTCGGAACGAACCGTTCAATGCAATTCGCAACGTGACAATAGTCTGACAGGAGTTACCTCGGAACGCTGATTAAAGTATTGAAAAGGAAACCAAGTGGAATTCGCAACGGTGTGCCGAGACGCGAACGTTTTCCTCCAGTTTCACCCGTTCTCGTCCCAGATGAAGTCTATGCGAAAACCAGAAATCCGATTCCGGCGTAGTTTTGGGGTGAATTCGCCGATGAAATTCGATTGAGTCGCTAATCCCAGCCGAGCTGAACTGTAATTAAACTTTAACCAGGGCCGGCTCGTTGGAATCGGGACCCCGCAAGCTTCGTGTCATATAAAGAGACATAGCAACATGAGAAACGAAAGCGCGTAACTGTGGTATCTCCGTAGATACTCCACGCTGAGTTACTCTATAATCGAACAGGATCGAAGCTATTACGTTTCTCTGTTATACTTCGGAGAACGATTAAAAACTGACTTTTAACCTCTTGCCCCATGATTCCTATCTCAACTATAATCGACACAACTACTATGCTATCGATAATTGATTGAAAAAAGAAACAAATCCAGGATATATTCTATATCTACATTTGCTCCAAAGCATAACAATTGATAACAGAAAAAGAATATTTCATTCGAATTCAAAAGAATTGAGTAATATTTATGTTTATCGAAGTCTGTTCGAAGTCTTCACCTCGAGTTTGACACGGTATTGTAAAACAAAGGGTTGACTAACTGTCCGCGATACTGAAATTTTCCTATCATGGAAAAGTTCAACGAAATGAGTAGGGAAATTGAATTCACCATCATTATCAAGAGTTTTAAGCGAATATCAAAATTTTCTCGTTCAAGCTTTGCTGGTTATGTCGTCGTGAATCTGCATTGAGTGAAGTACCGAAGCGGACCGATCCATTTCTTTTACAGTTCTGGCCGAGCGCCGGGATATCCTCTGGTATCCAGTGACTCGGCACACGGGAACGGGATCCGAAAATGTGACGCGGCCTGGAAAAATCACTTCCGCCACGTTCACGAGCACCATTCATGCCGGTTTCAACTACAGCGAACCTTTCCGGGTCGACAGCATTTCCTTCCTAATCTTGTTTAACGAACACTCTATTCGCCGTCTATGTAACCGACCTGGGCTGATATTTGTCTGGATGTAACGACAAGTAGCAGGGTCGCAGCCCTGTCGAATCAAATTTTACGTGCTACTTAATGGTATGTTATATTACCGATACCGAAATGGTCTGGGGAATTTTCCTGCAAATGGAATTCGCAGTACCCGTTTACTAGCTTGCGAGCTGTTCCTTTAGTAACTGAACTTTTGTACCTCGGTGGATATATGGAGATTGAATTTTACATTTTTCTGGAATTACATGTATATTACTCACGAGTTTAAAGTAAATTATATGATGTAAAAGAAACATATTTGTAGAGTTATAATTAAGGGTTTTTTTATCGTAAATAATAAGTACGTGAAAAAATAGAACACGATAAAGTTTTACTGTTTTCTTTGCTAATTATTTTAATCTTTTTTTATATTAGCTTCACTGATTTGTTCAATGAAATATTACTTTTTTATGTTATATGTACTGGACTTCAATAAATACGAATTTCTTTCATATTAATTATTAATATCTGAATCAATGAAATTTTTAATGTAAAATAAAAAATTGTGAAAATAAATAACTAATGCAAATATAATAATATAACACACATCCTGTGACTGTATTTAAATCTTTTTAACTAATTAACGAACAGAATCAAATAAATCAGTTCTCGTGTATGAACTTCACCGATCAGCATTAATTGCAAAGCAATACATCAGCATAACTTGTAACAATCGATCATTTATTTACAAGCTCCATCAATAAACCCATATCAAATATTTACCCCTGAGTATAAATGTGAAAATTCCAGGAAACAAGCTCTGAAAATAATGGAATGTTTTTAATAAAAAGATTACAGATCATCTTAATGCCTTCAAAAATATTGCAAACATGAAATTTCAATATATGCTATTCTATTGTTAACGAATAACAGTAACACCATGCTTTGAAAATGAAAGAATGTTTCCAGTTGAAAAATTACAAATCATCTTTGTTCCTTTAAAAATATTGCAAATACGAAACATCAATATATGCTATTATACTATTAATGAACAACAATAACAAATTGCCCGTACTTTATTTTTTCTGTATACTTATCATTTACGAGTAGTCTCGATTTGTAACTTATCCCATATTTCAATTCTTATCGAAAACGTTAAATAATATTCTTCCATTACCCATAAACCTTAAAGCATCCTTCTTAATGCATTTGAAATGATTTTCGAGGTATTCCGTGTGCTTCATCCGATCGACTTTCAAGCTTTTCTCGTAGCCGATCGATGACAGCCGTGGCTGACAACTAACGCTGCCGGAGGCGTACATTGAAGCGGCGACGAATTTGAAGAGACGTCGACGGTGGTCCGAATTACGTTCGTTCAACAGCAATTCGACGCATGCAGTCAAGTATATAACTTGTATGTAGAGCGTGTGTCGTGGTACTGCGTGTGTAAGCGTGTGTAATCGAGCTCTGCGCTGATCATGATTAAACACTCATATATACACACACGCGCAGGCATATATTTAGTGTCTGTATACACATATACGTATACAAAGGGTGTACCATTTTAATCTATAAGTGTAATTATTCTCGGAATTATTCGTTATTTAAAACATGTTTTAAATGAAACTTTCTTTTTGTTTTGAGAGGGTATACTGCGTATATTTGTATTTAGGTGGACGTGCATAGGAGACATGAAAATCACTCCTATTTTTTTAAGTATAATCTTTTGATTTTTTTATGTATCAATCGATACAGCAGATCATACGTGTCCCCTTAGAGAGACTAAATCTGCCAAATTACCGTTCTCAAAATAGAAAAGATTGCATTTAACATTGTACAGTATTTTCTATTGTTCTTAGAATAATTGATGTTCATTTAGATTTTGGAAGCTAGATGTTTAAAGATAGTCAATTGGGATACATATTCGTGTAATTGCATCAATCAAAATCAACGCGCACATTTACCAAATAACGTCTATAAAATTCGATATGCGTCAAATTAACGAGTTGCATAAATTTAATATTAAGAAATTTTTTGAATAATGAATAGTTCTGACAAGAATTGAATTTATACATTAAAATGGGACACCCCGTATATGCATCGGTTGATTTGTTAGCAGCGAAATACTGGATTGTGTGCCAAAAGTGCATAACATGTACGTGTATTTACTTGTTTTTTTGTTGTTAGAACAAAAAATAATTTCCATCAATGCAACGTGTACAACTCCTCCGTTCAATCTAGTTTACGGCGTATCAGAGAGACACGAGAATTGAGATAGAAATTAAAAAAGGAAAGACAATCAAGAGAGAAATATCGCTCAGGCAGTTCCATCCGCAATACTCCCTTTTCTCGTTACTCGGCCGTGGATGGTATTCTTTCTCTCCAATCCGTTCTCTTTTCTCCTAGCTGATACAGGAAATGCATAAATTGTTCTTGGGCTTCGTGGAGGCAGTGCCTCGGTCACGGTAATCAGTTTTCCTAAAATTATCCGATCGCTGCCGCACGGTACACATAGTTTCATCGTACAGTTACTTTGAATGTTATAGATATTGAATTACCGTGAATTCGGCGCTGCTCCGCGACCAATATGGCGTATTCAGGGACCTATCGAGGTTTCTCTTGAATGATTATCTCCGTATTTTATCCTCACTTCCTGCATAAATGTTTCAATTAATATTAATTAACAATCTTCGTCAGAATTCTCAACAGTAGTCGTTACTTTGTACAAAAAATTTGATACAATTTTGAAACGTATATATTGTTGCATGTGAGATGACTGATTTTATAAAGCAATAAAATTGTGCAGAATTTCATGGTTGAAATTATTATTTTAAGGTTGAAGTTCAAAGTAATAATATACGATATATAAGTTTTGTTACTGATTTGGTATAACACAATAAACTATGAATTAAGATAAATTATAGCAGTACAAAAAATATGTGTTATGTGTTTATAAGAGTGTAACTTCATGAATCTAACTATTGTTATTTGCACTTTATCATAAACTACTGAATCCGCACCCAGAGAACGTTATAAAGACGAAATGAAGTATTTAATAAAACCGAAACTGTTCGAAATATTAATTGCTATTTTAATTTTTTTATACGTGACTGATATTAATGATATTATTCTGAATTTATTTTCATACAATTTCATCTTTAAGACTAAATAAAGACAATTAAAGTGATAAGAGCTGTGTTTGTGTTAGATGAGTTAGCCGACTTACTGCAAAACTTGTTATTCCCCCTTTACATTATTCCCCGGATTATTCAACGATAGATTACAATATCTTTGAAACAGTTAGGTTATTGTATAACAAGAAAAACATTTGCAAACAGAATTGCGTGCAACAGTGTGTTTGAAGTCTTGACCCTACCCCAATTGATAAAAAGGTAACTTCAGTTATCCTCGACGACTATTATGTGAATATTGCAATGCAAAGGTAGTAAATAATCTTTTGCTAGAACGCGCCACGGTTAAAAGGTTAATACGAAGCGACAGCTCCTTTATCTGTTACCTTTTTAGGGTAATACTCTTTCCACTTCTACGTGATGTGACAGTTAAATACTTTTATGCAAGGTAAGTCACCTAAGTCTTATCTTAAATTACTACTAAATCATTTTTAATTTAAGCTAAATTCCAACATGAAAAATATCTCAAGCAAAATTTGCATTCACCAAGAAACTCATACCATGCAACAAATTATTTTATGTTAATTCATAAAAGAGATACAAAGAAAACGTGTCATGTTTCATAAGATATCCCCGAATGTCCTCATTGACGAATTTACCAGAGAGTTTCTGAACGAAACGCTTCTTTTACTTTTCCTTCTTATCTTTTCTCGTCCATTCCTTCACATTTCTTTTCCACAAAACCATCAGAAACAAACATAATTTCCAATAAAACTAGGAAAGCCGAAAAGCTCGTTACAAATTCAGCCATTCCATTCGTAACAATCTAATTATTTCAGTTTACCGAGTACCAGTTCTCGATACGTAGCATACTTCACACATTCTCCTAGTGACAGCGATAATAGTTAAAGTACCACTTGGAGGTGTGATTCGTGTCCCCGAAGAAAGCCATAACGGTCGCGAGCCCGTCGTGAGGGACAGGACTTACACCATTTAACCGCGGCATTTCGATGCTCGGTATGTAGGTGGTCTCTTCGTGGCCGGTTGAGCAATATCGCGTTCTCCTCCTGCTGGCCCGTGGGCTGCAACGGCCGCACGGCACCGCGGCGTCGGAATTGCGCGCCTTCGTGGCCGGCCTCTGCCTCGAGCCGCACCGCACGGCGAACCGCAATTCCGAGACCATCTCGGCGCACAAGGACTGCCGCGCGCGGAGCGGGCAGAATTGGAGGGGGGCCAACGTTATCCACGTGCGCACGTCGCAATTCGGCGATTCGTTTGGTCCGTCGAGATGCGTGGAGACGGGAGACAGCAGGCACAACAATATATACCAACAAAATGATACAGAAGACAAATCGAGCTCGGTAACCATGCGAAACGACCTCCCTTTCTCCTCCCGTCAGCGCGCAAGGCCGTTTCATTCTGTTCCCTCGGGCGAGGCGCGATCACCGCGCCGCCAGGTGGTTTTCGCGGTCGATTCCGAGGGTGCTTGCGGTTACCGGTTGGGTGATCGTACGTGGACGAACGTTGTGCAGTTGCGGATCGTGTGATTTATACGGAGAATGAGCCTCTAGCTTATTCGTGGGTGCGTCTGTGCGGGTGCGCTGGCACTTGCCGATGCTCGAGGGCTTTCGCGTGATCGACGCATGGTTGAAATGGGTGAACGATGACGCGTCGATGGGCCCTTTCAGTTCTTAATGACAGCTTTTCATTATTCTAACTTTAAATGTCTCACCTGCGTGCTAGTGTAGATGGATGAACGTGGAGCCTATTCGGCGAGTATGAAGCCAGACCAGAGGGTGTGCGTTTGAATAGGTCCGTAGAATGACGTGACGATGGTTGGACACTGACAATAAGCGATGCGAGTCGAGCAAATGAAGGGATAATGCAATAGAGATAGAGTTCGAATGTGACTAAATAGAATATGCCATGGGAAAGATACGGGGGATTATATCGTGGTTATACTTTCTACTGAAAGGTTTTGTACTGTGAGAAATTTTAGGAAACTTAACATGGAAAGTTTCTAACATTCAATATATTTATTGTGGTAGAAAAAGGTTCAGAAGTTTAACGGTAGATATATGTAGAGAAGAAAGGCTCTATCAAATAGGCAAAATTGTTATTTCTTTTCGCGTTATATTTAATTTCATAGGTATTAAATAGTTTCGCGTATTCATAACGAAATTCTTTTTATGCGATTACATTAAATAATTCAATTCCAAACGAGGTGTATTATTCCCATTATTTAATCCCATTATAAACATTCACAAAGCATGAAGCGTGAAAAAAGATGAAAACTTCTTCGCAACACTGACAATGTAAATCGACCACGTTTGTAAAACACGTGTTTCCTCATCTAAACACTGTCCACATCAAATTCCAAACCATTTTTCCACCACTCCGTACAATGATGCGCATTCACAAAGGAAAGTAAACCGCGATCGAACGATCAACATACGGAATACGAATCGTACCACGATCGAAATGAAATAATCACGCGGTACTTTCGTCTAGCTAGGTCCACTGAAAGTGGTAGGCAACAGCATGCGGCCGGCACATTGAGCAGTGCAAAACGTTTCACTTACGTTCGAAACGAGCGAAGGAAAACAGTAATAGAAACGCGGACAGTGCGCGGAGACAAACAGCCTTGCGCCGCCCACGGAGAGAAGGTTACACTCATGCAGCACGTATACGCGAAGCACGAAATTGTACGCAATTATCTCTCGGGTGTGCTTCGCTCGCTTACCCTCTCCGATTGGACGTTCTTCTTGGAGTTCCAGCAGAACTCGAGGATCGCCACGAGGATCGCTAGCGCCAGCCCGCAAAGCAGCACAACAAAGACACCACCTGGAATGAGAAAACCGGAAGCTCGTTATTTTACCGCCGCCGGGTGTCGCCGTTTCTTTTCTGACGTCGCTCGGGTCTCGCACGCCTCCGAGTTAATGTACCTGCCACCCGGCACCGTACCCTAGAATCTGTTCATTCAACCCCCTCCCCTCACAACCTCAGCCCAGTCAGCCTTTTACCTCTTTATCTAGCCGCCTATTTATCTGTCCACCTGTCTAGCCTTTCGTCTATACGTCCCTATCGTGATTTATGCCCACGTTTTCTCCTCCAGCGATCGGTGTCTTTGTTTCAAACGGTTTCTTCCCCACGGTCTCTTCGTCGAACTCGACGTTCATCGCGAGAAAAGGATCGACGGATGCGAAGGAGCTTGGATAACTTCAACCGAGAGTTAAGAGATCGCTCGCTTTCCGGTAAATGGCTTCTGGCTACGGGAAGAAGATGCTTCTCGCGAAATATTCGAGTGGCAATCGTTGTAAATATAATGAGCCCAGAGGTTGGGTCGTGGATTTATTGGCTATTGCTGTTGCAATTGGGAATTACGATGTTTCTGTAGGTCAATGTTATTTTCCTGTGAAATTGGATTGATGCGGCATTTAGGCGCAGAGAAAGTTGTGGAGAAAGAATTTGTTGGGGTGGCTACACAATTTCAGTGGATTTTTTATGGAGTAATTGACTGGTGATAGAAGAAAAATATATTGAACCCGTATTTTGTACAATACTTCTTCCTCTTTTATATTCATCCTTTGTTATATTGTCATAATTATAGACTCGAAGGAAGGACTGCATTATGCAACTAATGAGATAAAGGTAGGTATGTGGCGGTAATTTGTATTTTTCTAAAGTTACAATTGAATCTTCAGATTGTTTTGGAAATTGTTCGAATTGTCCAGATTGTTTAGAAAATTGTCAAGAGTAATTTTTATGAATTCAGTAACTTCTTTATAAAATTACTAAGAAATAATTTTCATAAATTCAGCAACTTTTTTTAGGAAATCACTGAAAAATGATTTCCAAAAATTCAGCAACTTCAAGCATAAAATTCGAAACTAAATCACAAATTTGGAATGTAGTTCCGGATGCACGCCATAGTTTTTTACCGAACGCAGCGTTTCAGCGTTGAAGAAGTCACTTTGTTCAGTAGCCACAGACATCCCTCCATTCATTAAAATTTCAGGATCGTCGGGCACCGTTAAATTGTATAGATGCTCGGCATCGTTCCTGCGTGAGATTTAGCCTGGTCAAAAGTTCGTGATACACGGCCGGCGCTCGTTTCTCGATTTTATGCGAGCAAATGCAAGTTCTGTTTTCCCCGTGCGCGAAACGATATCCGCAAAGTTCGGCCTCGTGCATAGGTAGGCTCGAGGTTCTGCATGCAGCCGTAAACTTTTTTGAACTGCTGTATGCACGCAGCGAGCTCCCGCCTGTTTCCTCTCAAATCGAGCTAACTTCATGTTTACTTGGGGCTCGAGCATTCGATTTTTTCGTCTCTTTGCTCGGTACGGCTCTTGACGTCATATCTTGCGATCGCGACGTAGCTTCTCGATTTTGACTCTAGGGCACATATTTCTGCAACATATTCTTGTAAAACGTTTTCCTCAAATTTCAGCATACGAGTTTCATATTAAAAGTGTACAAGCCGTGTATACAGGTTTCCTTATTTTCTTGGAGTAGTACGAAAGCAGGAATATTTCAAGCACAAAGCGTGTCCTTTTCAGAAAATTTTCGTAGAAATGTTTATAGGTACGTATTAAAAGCTGTATCCAGAATGGATGAGTATGAGAATGTATGAACGAATTCGATACGACTAGGAATATTTCATATTAAATTATAATTGGAAATTAATTTTATATTGAAATGAAAGATATAGTTTCTATAAGATGATATTCTATTCATATTTAATACTCTTCAGTTTCAATGAAGCTTTGCAAAAATGCTATTAAAGCTGCAGTAAATATTCGAGTGGTATATTGAGAAAATCTTATCGACGATTCGATGGTTTAGAAGTAGTTTGAATTTCTTAAAGAAAAAATACGAAAGGAAATTCTCTTTCGGGAAAAGAATGCTATATATTTATAACATATTTTAATAGTTGCAAGACGAATATTTCTTTTCCATAATTTTACATTTATTGTCACAACAGAAATTTCACATAGAAATGAATCTCATTTAAAGAACGTAAAGAAAAATATTCCATAGATTTTTCTATTACTTTTCTGTTATGGTTTTGACCACTTTATCTACCAAACATCTAATAAAAAGCTTTTTAATGACTCATATTCCCTTATTAAAAAGCAGCTTAATAATTTTCTTTAAACAACAGCCCTCGAGTAATTAGATTACGTTACTCGATATAATGTGCAGATACAGGATTGCAATTACTATTACCATTGAAAATTTAATTAAGGAATATTTCAATTGTCAGAAAGCTATTCAATAATTTACAGTAAGTGACGAGCGCATATTCGTGACCCTATATTATTTTCCTAAGTCTACAGCTGAATACCGCGAGAGTCATTCAAATGTATATGAATATAAAAAAATGTATGATAGAACTATGTTGTCAAAACTTGGATATAAATTTCGAAATCACGTAAGATTAACAGTAAAATTACTAGATGGATAAAAATTACCCATTCCTAATTTCTTCTTTCCCAATTATTAAAAAGATAGCAGATATTTCTCTGATAAATTATTAAAGAAATTAATTTAGCAATGCTCAAACTGAATTGTAAATCAATTAAAGTCCCAATAGATGCACTCTCGGAATTTCTATAGAGGAACTTCAAAAAGTCAGTTTAATTGCTCGGTAGTTTTAGCGTCAAGTGACCAGAAGTTTTCTTAAAAATGTGAACTGGACGTAGGACTACATTAAATGCATTCTTCTAAAAAAGTAGAAAATAATGTAGGACTACGCCCCCTATCGCGATTATGTCAACTGCAATGAAACTTACATACGCTGAACGAATAAGCAGACGACAGGAATTTTTCTAAAAACTGGGAGCTTCTGTTAGCAGTCTTCTGTTCTTATCTATGCGTACCGCGTTGCATTTTTCTTTCGGACGCTTATCTTGTCTGCTGAGAGCAGCTGGTCCTCTAAGACCTCGGATAACCATGATAAACTGCCCGCGGGCCGTTCGTCATCCCGAAGGCGGGACAGTTTAAAATAATTCTACCGATGTCGATGGTGTAACTTCATCTGTATGCTAAGTGGAACGCGTCCCTTCGCCAGGTGAGCGCGGGACCAGGCTCATTTCACCGGCCGCATTTGCATAACTGCGCTGACGTTGTGATTTAAACGACGTCCGACGCATTTTGCCGGAAGGACCGAAGTTTCCCACATGAATGTCGGCCTGTTTCCTTGAGTCACGTTCTAACTAATTTCACGGCGGAACGACAAAAGGCAACGCGTGGCATCCAGTGTTCCTACGTGACAACCACGCATCCGAAATCGCAGTTTTTGATGTACCTTCAAAATGATTTTCATGATTTGTGTCGTAGATTACGACGGAGATTAATTGAAAATTTAGGAATACAATTTTTGAGAAAAATTTTTGTAATTGCACATCTTATATTAGCTTGCCCGGAAATGAATTGCAGCTCTAACACTTAATATTAGAAATTCTGAAACTATGAAATGGAAAGAAAATTATGCAACTGAAATTAATATGATTGGGATTTATACATGTTCCCAGATACGCTCGAAACTCCTCTATTCTGTTGATAGAAAGATTTAAAAGATAATTGTGATAATAGTCTGAAATGAGTGAAATGGTCTTATTTATACAAAATTCCCTTAAATGCAAAGTAAACAAAGTCTCTCGCACTTTCCCTCCATACAGAATCAATTCCTATCGACTAACTCAACAAGATACGTGACAGCTATCGCATGAAAATATTCCAAAGAAAACATCCTAACGCGTTCCAGCGTAATATAAACTGCATCAGTATACACTCCGCCGGTATTACAAAAGTTCCACGAGCACTCGGGGGAAGCTCAGTGTCTCCGGGCAGGGGAGTATCAAGAAACGCGAAGGATCCAAATCCAATTTGGATATACAAGAAAATTCCCGGCAAAATTCGCGAGACGTTCAGGGACATCTAGCCCGAACTGTGGCGAGTTCAATTTATTCGGTCGACTTTCGAGCCTGCCGGTGTTGCTTTCTCTTCAAGCAAGTACTGTAAGGAGATCACTTGATAGCTAGGCTGAAGGATGTGGGTCTGACTGGTTAGTTTTGATCTTTTTTACGATGCTAATTTGCTATTCGTCGAGACAATTATGCGTAACCAATCAGAACTATACGGTAACTCCGGGTAAGATAGTCCGATTCCACTTACATCATATCTACGTTTTTAATTGTTTTTAATGGTGTACTATTTAATAATAGTATTTAGTGGCATAACTATAGGCATAAAGACCTGTTTACAGTGCAGCTTTCACGTTCACGGTCCATCCACAAAGCTAAAAAGTCACAAGGGCGAAGGGACTCTTCCACTCAGGATGCTCGCGTGAATAGCTACAGAACAACAGTTGATTTTATTTGCCGAGCCGCGTGACGAAGGAAGCAGACGGGACAGAATGCGACCGAGTGAGATGTAACAAACATTGACGTCGAATTCCATTTCTGCGCAGCGGTGGCTTTTTATGTTTACTAAATCCCGGGCTTGTGAAGACTTTTCTACTGTGTATGTTTCCCGGAAGAATCGAGGTGGAGTGTGCGACTGATTTCCCCTGCGCCTGTCACTTTTTAACTTTTAGGATTGGCTCGGGACGTGAGAACTGCACTGTAATTGTTCTTCTTATATATATTTACTTTCATAAATATTTAATTCTTTCGTTAGATATCAATGACATTTATGATGTAATAGTTCTTTTTAACACTAGAACTACTGAGCGTTTAATACGATTAATATGTAATCCCTCTAAAAATTGTAACGGTAGATTGTTTTCAGTTCCTCCAGACATTCATTATAGTATTTAAGTGAAACTATTTTCAGAATCATTTCTAAACTATATATTTTCAAGGTCATTTCGAATATTCAATGCTTTTAAGATATCAGTAATTGCGAAACAAAAAAGATCGAAACCAGTCATTCTAACTAGTACAATAGTTCTAGTGTTAAAAAAAGTGGGTTATTTCTCCCGGATTTATCCTAAACAAAATATAAAGCGAAAGACCTATCTCATCCCTATACTATCTCGCTTGACACCAAGTCATTTCCCTATAGTAGTCGATGTGTCCCTTGGAAAGGCGATTAGCAGGGCCCAATTGAAATTTCACGAGACTCCAGTAGCGCCGTTCGTCCTTCTTCCTGTCTCGACGAGTACATTCCGCGCTGCCAGCGAAGTGGGCACTTACCCAAGTTACAGGCTAGCCAGCCGAGCAGGGGCGAGAAAAAAAGGGGTGGAAGAATTGCAGGGATTCAGTCTCGGGAAAAAAGAGGAAACGGAAGATACTCGGAGGGGGAGAGGAGGGAGACGAAGAACGAGGAGGGGAAGATAAAAAGGTAGAACTTGTTGTGTCTCCCATAAAATCCGGAAGGGGTTCCCGAAGACTCCTAAGAAAAATTCGCAGGGAAGTTTCCGCGAGATTTCTCCGCGCGGCTGAAAGCCCCGCCGTTTCTCTTTCGCCGCTTTCGAACGATCTTTCAGGCGACGCTTATTGTGTGAAACGTCACCTTAATGAACTGAATTCTCGAGCGGGATTCGCGACGCTTCTGGATGAGGAATACATCGCTGCTGCTCTTTTCTGGGGCGCGCGACGTTTCGCGATACTTACGAAGTTCCGTGTTACTGGAATGAATGGGCAGAGTTGAACGAAGGCGTTCGTACTGTTGGGAGAATGTAACGAAGTTCGTGAACGAATAGATTCATTTTAATTAGAGTTTTGTAATATTTTATCGCAGTCACTTTGTCTAGCGCTGCTGATCGAGGCAATTACTTACTAGTTAAAAATATGGTTTTCGCTGAGACGCAGGGGAGTATAGTTTTTACTTGCAAAGCTCTAGTAACTTTGAAATCAAAGTATAAGGGAATCTCGTTACGACGTTCTGATTTCTTTTGTTTCAAAGCAGCCTAATTTTAGTAATTGAAAAGTCGATTAATAGGCTTGCGGTAGATACAGTGTTAATATTTAAGTAGAGATCTAGAAGATTGGACTATTTATGTTTTTTTATTGAAATTAGTTGATAATATCCACGATATACACTTAACTTACTTCTATTCTTTATTTATGTTTTTGTTGGATATTATTTGCAAAGAATTCATTGAAATAAAGTGTATCTTAAAGGCAATTTTTATTACATTGTTACTGTGCGAATAGTTCTGCTTTACTCTGTAGATGCAGCGCAAATGTATCATGTTCTTATTGTTAAGTTACTTATAGACAGTTTTCAACTGATGATCTAATAGAATTTTTTTATTATCTTCACTACCTTTCACATTGTTTAAAATTACGAATTATAGGAAACTGTGTTAGCCAGTAATGTAATCATCATAAGGTAAGTGCTATTTTGCTGCTAACAATTTCCTTCATCGTAACTGAATTCCCCTTAGCTCTATTAAGGCCATCCGGTCTTCACGAACTAATTGCCATCGTAACTCTATGCTCTGGTGTTTAAAAATCCAACCATCATTCCGCGGTTTGTACTTGTCGAGAGGTTGAAAATGAACTAATTAGTAGTTTTTGAATATTTATGTTAATTCAGTTTGCATTGGATCTCTTTATGCGACAACATAGTAGTCAGATTTATTATTTCTATGCTAATAAATTATTTTAAATGTTTATAACAGATAACAATTATGAAATACTTTAGAAATAAATGGAAGTATGGAAGTATTACATACAAAAGTTGTTCGCATTTGAAATTAAGAAAGATTATAGTAAAATGAAAATATACTCTTGTTAATTGTAAGTAAAAACTTTGGTTTTCATCCCTTCAATAATTCCGCCGGAGAAAATTGTTAAAAAATTGGAGAAAGAGCATGCTTATGACTCTGATATGTAGCTAATTAATAAATATTCAACAAAACTCATTTATTAGTTTCAGTTCAGGCTGCAGTAATATTAATTTCTGTTCCATCTATATTCATTTTTAAGGTATTTCATTAAATACGTTTCCCCTTCTTCAATTTTGAGGATACGTTGCTTTTCAGTTGCATTCTGCGCGAACGCATAATTCTGCTAATAAACTACATGCAGAACACGATACCAGACATTATTATAGCAGTTTTATCTTCTACATTCATCGCCTGAATATAATTAGAATAATTATACTGCAACGAAACAAACATTGCTACCCCAACTGTGTTTCTTTCACAATTACCACAACCTTGATTAAACTATACCATATTTCCTACATTATTATCACTTAATTATTGCTAATATCCGTCAGTATTTGTTCAATACGAATAGTTGAAGTCGCGCTAAAATTACTAATTAGTATATTCAGTTTTCCCGAAATATCTTTTTCTGGCGGTCTTGTTTTTGCACCCGCGCGATAACACGAAAAAAACGTGGACGGAAAAAAGCCACGAAACTTGTGGTACTTTCTATCAAGCAAAACCGCTGATAAGTGCAAATAAAAAATTCAACGGTTTGCGTGAGGCGGCTGTGAGCGACGTCAGATAAGTTCCCTTTCCCCTCAACCGCGACCCGTTTCCCCGGGGCACTAAATTTCAACGACGCTCCTAATATTTTCTCTCTTTTTTTCCCACACTTTCTCGGTCCACGCCACGGAAAAATTTAATTTCGTTTGCTCACCGATATTTTCGACTCCGAGGGCATTAGCTTTGCTCTCTTTGCTCTTTTCGTCTCTGTTGCACACGTCGCCCGTATTCTTCCACCACTTATCGTACAGAATCTGTATCACGCCTTTCTCCTGTAGCTCCAGAATCGCTAGAGATATTTTATCCCTCCAGGGCGAACCTGCATATAAAATGGCTTCGTTAGGTCGGTCAAGGATCAACGCTGTTTCGCTTTCGGCTAGACCAAGATAGACTTTACTTAGAGCTTGCTATCGTTACATGCTTCCTAGGAAAGTGAAAATAAATGATTTTAATGGAAACTCGTCCACTCGATCTTGATGTTAAACGATTCTCGACGAACTGCAATTTAATAGCACATAGTTTAATACATTCTCAACAGCTGTGGTGAATTAATGTTTACGTGACTTTTAAGTTATTTGAATGGGTGAATTATAATTTTTTATTGCAGTTTGCTACTGTAGTTCGTAAGGGAATATTGCAGTTATTAAAACGATACTATAGTTACCAAGGTGATACTGTAGTTTCCAAAGTTTTCGCGCGATTTGTTCCTGGGAAATACAATTCCTATCTTATATTGTATTATTTATATATCGGATGTTTAAGTGTTTTATAATTGCTTGAAATAAAAAACTTGATTATTCTCAACAAGCGATAAAACTCATCATATTGTAGATATATATTGGGAATTTTATTTTATTCTTTTTTATTGTGTTTGATTTTATTTTTTTCTTTAAGCTGTGGTAATTGACAGAGATCAAATATTTTTTAGTGATAACGTGTATTGATATGGGTTTCTAAATATTTTTATGTTTCTTAACAAGTCAAACAGCAAGGTTCTAAAATTTATATGAAAAATTTTACAGTTTCACGTTTCTTCACGATTTCCTGGTACACGACTCTTGAGACACTGTAACGTCAGCTACAAATCTACAGAGTTTACGATGTTTTCTGCAAGCGGTGTCGGCCAGTATGGCGACAGCGTCGCTCAAGAGCGTCTCTCTGTGCAAGCTTCATGGGAAATTAAAAGTTAACGGTGTTTACACACATATTTCGTACCCTTCTGGTACACTTTTGCGCGTCAAGCGGAGTATTAAACGTTATTTCCAGGCTTGTTGATAGAAGTAATAATATTGTGTGTAATGTTACGTTAGAGAAAAGGTTACTCTTTATTATATAGGACGATAAATAAAGCACTAAATGAATTAAAATTTCTAACAAATATGGAGGTCGCAGAATTAATATTATTCAATCAAACGAAGTGAAAAATTACTTACAACTTCAAAAGTATTATAGTTACAAGTATTTATATATAAAAAAATGATATTCGTTACTATTTGACACTATTTATAAATAATTTATTTTTAAATAATTAAACTTAATAAATAAGTAATATGAACATTATTTAAATAAATAAAATAAGTAAATTAAATAAGTGAAATAAATATATATAGTTTCAAATAAACTTATTTATTTAAATATTACTTATCCGTTATTTTCATTTTATTTTCATTTGCAGTAAAAACTGCTAGCTCAAACCAGCAACACTTTGAATCCGGAATACAATCCTCAGCATAGACATAACTGTCTTCGAAACCATTGGCCACCTTTCATTGTCGGAACAGGAAGCGCGGACGTGGTTCAATTGTTTTCCAATATTACCTTTGGGGGTGGCAATCCCGTAGCCTTTGCTGTCCAACAGGCCACCGATTTGCGTGAGATTGCAATCCCGTTGTACCGCATAATCGAGCATGGTGGATTCCATCAAGAAGGCGTAGTCGCCTTCCAGCACCCTCTTCACCCCGTCCTCGTAGCTCTTCACGAACACCGAGGGTGACTTCGATTCCATGAACCTCCACATCTTCTGGTATATGCCGATCTTCGAATCCTGCCGTTCACGATAAAAGTTAGAACAGGATTTTTGTCAATTTTCGACATTTTCACAGAGTAAAATAATTACAGAGCAGCTCTCGCGTCCACGTTCAATCCACAGCCAAAAAGTTACAAGCGCAAAGGGACTCTTGCTCTTAGGATGCTCGGGTCAATATCCACAGAGTAACAGTTGATGTTACTAGCTGAGCCGCGTGACGAAGAAAGCAGACGGAACAGAAGGTGACCGCGTGAGATGCAATGAACATTTGTGTCGAATTTCGTTTTTGCGCGACACACAGTGCGGTCAAACAGCTATTTTTTTTATAAAACTCAATAACTTAAAAAGTATGAGTGATAGAAAAAAATGCGTCAGATAAACGTTGTAAGGTATAGAGCTAAACATATGGTGGTTATATTTTTTTCACATTATGGAGATATTATGAAGTTTTTCCAATAACAATGGATATTTTGTGTTTCGATTCCAAGGTTATATGAATAGAGAAATGGGATTTATTTATCGCAGGCACTACTTAGCAACATATTGATGACTTTCAATTTTCGTTATGTGAATAGTCGAATTTGGATGTTCTATCCAAAGGCGGCCGCACTGTGTGGCGGCGGATTTTTATGTCTACTTATGTTTCCTGGAAAGACAAAGATAGAGTGTACGGTCAATTCCTCCTACCCTTGTGCACTTTTACATAGTTTGACGGTAGTCGACCAAGCATAAGAGCTGCACTGTAGCATGAATTTTTATATACAACACTTTTACTTTTACACATCTTGCACACGTGCTCTTTCCGAATGTCAAATTCTTTTTGCGGGCGCAAAAAGCTGAATGCAGTTATTCTTTATTTTACTTTTCACATATAGGTGAAGCTGATCTTGTACGCCGCATTAAAAAAGAAGAACTAAAATAAAAGAAACAAAACGAGATATATTGCCTAACAGTTCGTACCAACAACGAACTGCAAAATGATTTAGCATCGATCCCGTAATCCAGGTAAAAAACGTTTCCCCTCATCTTTCACCCCAGTTCGCGTGTTATTTATCGGACAGACACATAAAAAATACGAACCCTCTCATCGCGGAGAGTGCTTTCGAAATATTGAAGCTCACGCACTCGAAAAAAAATTCGAGAGGCGAGAATTTTGTTTTTTTTCTCCTTGCGGACAAGTTTTTAGTTCGGCCGCGATTATTCCATCATTTCGTTCCGTCGCTTCGTTTCTCTTTAATTTTCCACAGCGATACTGTGAGAACGTTTTATTATTATTGGTTACGATACGCGCGGTACTCCGACGCGCAATTTCTTGAGAGCTTGCCGGAAGCTTTTCGTCTGATTTCCGTCGATCTCGTTTTGCGTGGTCGACGGTACGGGCGTTACGCGCGGCTTCAATAATTTTTAGCCAGCTATACTGAATTAACAGCGTCGCAGTTGTCGCGAGATTGTCTGCTATGGAATTTGATTCGCGGACTAACTTATGATGTATTGTACGAATCGGTCGAATTTAATAATTTCTAGTTTGGATTTTTTAACAATTTAAAAATACTTGTTATTTTTTTGTTATGATTAAATGAAGATTTAATATTGCCATTCCATTAAATGAGAACCTTGATTGTCCAGATACATAATTTCAATTAAAAATAGTTGAAGAAAATGTGCAAATTAAACATCAATAATCAAATGAATGAATAATTAATTTATATAACTATGGTAATATAAAATTGAAAATACAAAAGTAAAAAAAAAATATTTACTTGAACCATCGCAGTTTGATGGATTCTGCGTGTAAGTACAAGAATAGATCGAAACAGAATCTATTGTAATATTAAAATATGTCTTACTATTCGTGTCAATTGTTTACTTCGATGAAAGTGTTTCACTATTGAAAGAAAGGTGGATTGTTTAACACTAAACGTACTGGCACTTTACATAAACTTATTTCTACCGTAATCAGTTAAATAATAGGTTATAAAATAAAGGTAAACAAGTTAGAAGAAAAATTTTTCTTAGTGGAAACATAAATAAAAGAAAAGACAAACATTAAAAAATTGGGCAATATAAGGTTAATTGGTCGAAAGAAAATGCAGAATTTTGAATTAAATTTTAACACCTTTAATTTTTATAATTATGTATAACGCGTATTTTTAATGGTTTGGTATTAACACAACATAATAGCGGCGCGTGAATGCAATGGCGTACCGAATTTAATAACGTTAAGAGTCCACGTGAAAAGGCCCTCGGAAATTTAACAACGTGGCCGGAACGTGCCGCGGATTTTGCCCTGGGTACACGAAAATTGCTGCACACGTCCAGCTGAATAATTAGTCAAACTAATCACGCGAGCGATTACAACCGGTAAGTTTACGGTTTTAATATCGCGGATGAGTTGCGATTAAATGTCCGCCTCGTTCGTTAAAATAATCGGAAGAGACGACCCGAATACCAGCGGAATAGCGTTCGACGAAACCATCAAGTGGTTGATCATTGAGCACTATTGTCGGTATTTCATACATCGTTATCGAGTTTGTGTTTCATATTGAAACACGGTGGAAACGATGGTACACTTATCGTTGTACCTTTAGAATTGACATTCTATTTAGTTACAAGCAAATGAGCAAATAATTGGAAAGATCTGTTTTGAAAGATTTCAATAATGAACAGTTACTACATACTGAATGCGTTTAATAAATATTTGTTTATCTGTTGGAACTAATTGCATGTTTGGAAACTTTAAAATTTAAATGCTCTTCGTGAATGCAATCGAAAATTTTCATTTCAAACGTGGCGATTTTTTAATTTCTTAATGCATAATCGTTCCATTTAATTTCAAATTATTTATTAATAAATCTACGAAGTTCGAGATTGATTCGTTGGATCACTTTCTTTTAAAAACATTTCAAAAATTCTATTAAAAATAATCACAAAAATCTCACAATTATTTGATACTCACCCGGAAAAATGTCATCGTACTGCCGCCCTCCAAAGTGCCATAAGAAATCTCGGTTTGCTCCGCGAGGTCCGCCGCGTTTTCGATCGGCGTGATCATTCTCTCGACGGTTAAGAATGCGGCCAGGTTCGCAGTATAAGAAGAGATGATGATCAGCGTGAAGAACCACCAGATTCCGCCCACTATTCTTGTGCTGGTTGCCTGATAATGACGTTCAATACTCCCCTTAGTTGCAAAAATCGTGACTGACTCCGCGAGCAATTCCTTTTCGACTGTTTTCGCGGATTTTGGCCGAGTTGTTAGAAATTGCAATCCTTCCCTTTAATTGTAACCGAGCCTTTAACACTAGAACTACCGAGTATTTCATACGATTAATATGTAGTTCCTATAAAAATTGTAACAATACATTATTTTCAATTTCTTCAGACATTCGTTATAGTATTCAAGTGAAACTATTTATTTTCAAGATTATTTCGAACATCCAACGCTTTTAAGATATCAATAATTACGAAACAAAGAGAACGAAATCAGTCATTTCGACTGGGACAGTAGTTCTAGTGTTAAACAGCTAAGGATCGAAACTGTTACACAACAGACGGATACTTGGCAAAACTGCAGCCTGGGGTCAAGACAATGAATGATTTAATAACGTTTCATGTTTCAGTACTCTCCGTTACTCTTTGCAAACGTCCTGATTTCATTACTCTTTTGTACATATATACCCGTTACACGATCACTTGCAAATGACTACGTACACCGATTGCATTTTATGCATACATTGCGCGTGATGATGGACGCATAATGGTTCAAAGCTTCATCGCATCGTTGCGAGCAGGAAATTTATCATTTAATGGAAATAGAATGGGATACGTTAAGTACCCCCAATATATTGTGAAATGATTTATAATCACCAGTTAGGCGTTCGGGTCACAGAAATCAACGGATGAACACTCGCGTGAAACTGCTAATGGATGGTTGTTATATAAATATGATATACCAATTATGTAAATCTTCTCAGTCGCTTGATCCCAATCCGATTGAATGTACTCGGACCGAATAATGCGATTGAAGGGAAAAATGTGATACAGTGGTGCAAATTACAAATCTTTGAAAAGGCGACAAAATTATATCGAATATCACAGAACTCTTAATTTTATTAATACTATTATTAATACTAATAGTGTAGTATCTAGAATTTTTAGCTTAGGTTAAAGTATTTTTAAGAAGATTGAACGTAATAATGAATGTGAGTGAAGGACAGGCTATAAAACGGTCGGGGGAAAGTGGCCTGCACAACGTCGCGGACCCAAGATTGCAGGGCCAGCTTTCCAGGGGTACATTCGAGTGTTTGTGATGAGTGCGAGTGAGAAAAATGCTTGTGAGGGAGAGAATGATTTTTGGGAGAGAATGTAAGAGAGTGGCGAGAGAGGAGTCGTGTGTTGGCCTCCGTGGCATTGAGTTGTACTTTTTACGTGTTGTCCGTATTGTTTCCATATTTCATTAAATACATATATTTATTCTTAGTTCTCGATTACTGAAAATCCACCTTTTCACTGTCTATAATATAGCAACCACTATAGTAGGGAATGAACAAATTTATATCAGGTGTATACCTATTTTCAAGATATTGCATTTAACATTTGTTCTGTCCCTTTATTAATAAATATATATTAAAAAAAAATATATTCTTGTACTGTAGAATTTACTTTAAAAAAATTTGCTACTACTACTTCCCTCATTACCATATCTAAAATTTCTTCTCTTTTAATAAGTGTAGTCGAAATTTCGAATAACAGCGAAACTTTACAGTTAAACTCAATGAGAATACGTATTAGATTTTAATTGTTCGGACTTCATTAAAGAGTATGAATATTCTTAAACCGATCGCAGCCGGCAGCACATCAAAGCGAAGGGATGCAAATTCATTAGCCGATTATAAAGGTAGTGGATGGCTAGAGAGACGTTCTGAGGACATTCTTAAGACACTTAATACTCATCATGGTGCTCATGAGGCACTCGTACTCCGTGCAAATGCCGCTTCAGCTTCGCATCCCCGAGCCGGAAGCCCATAAAGAGCTACGATGATCAATCGGAACCACGTCGGTTGGAGCATCGAAGACGAAGACGATTTAAGAGCCCTGAGGCACTAGCTGAAGCAACATTCCACCATCGAAGAATGCAATATGCGGTCTCATTTATGCGCCTCATGACCGTTAATGGCACGAAATATGCCATTAGCGGCGGCGGATCGATTTTCGAAACGGCCACCCTAAGCAACACATTGCGTGATAAGTCTACCGCTTACCCCGCGTCAGTTTTCCGACGGTCATAAATAATGTCTGTCAAATTTAAATAGAACATAATCGAAAATGACGGTTTATGATCGAAAAATGAATAATTATGTAATATTATAAGAAGATTGCTGATTTATATGCAAATATATATATTCTTAAGATTGTAATTAAGAAATGTAGGGCTACGATAGAAAATGGTTTTTCTTAAAAAAAGACTATAAAAAGTGCTATGCTTTGAATATTTTATGTATTTTTTCGTATCGCGGAACTTGGCACTTTCAAATTTCGAGTGAATATATAAAAATTCGCAGTTTAGTTCTAAGAATTTATTAGAAATATTATGGAAAAATGGTAAGAAATCAGTGTAGTCTATTCTGAAACATTTTATCTTCATTTTCTTCAGATACTAACCTATTTACGAAATAATTTGAAAGAAAAAGTTACAAGTAATTGAAGAAGGAATCGATATCGCATAAAACACAATATTATAAGACCCTTGATACATAAGAGTAACATGTTTCTAACATTTTTCTTTCCTTACGATCTACGTTTTAAATATCCGGTATAAATTATTATTCCACAAATGACCCTTCGATTATTTTCTATTGTTCTCTTTTCCTTCTTTTTTGAATATGAGAAAAGGAATCAGGGTTTCACAACGAATTCATGATGAAACGGGAACGAAAAGGAAAACAGTATCGAAAAAGGAATTGCTCGTTGCCTAGTAATTGCTGTTCATTACGCTTATTGTTACGAATGATACGGAATACCTTTCAAGCACAACAAAGTTTTGCTGGCAGTCTTTTCCAAGACGAATGTTAATGCAACGGTTGCAGTTCACAACGGCGAAGTTCCGAGTATAGATTTAGATGTTACACTGCCTTTAACGCTGCAAGGATCATAATCGCTCGCATGTCCGTTTGTCCGAGGTTTTATCGCGGAGTCCTGGGACTCTCATGAGCGCGATTTTCGCAGAGGCGCAACGACAACCCCACATGGACATACATGCCACCAGAGCCGGCTAGCACCGTATGGGGTACAGGTGTTCCTTTATCGCGTAAATCATTTCTCATTTATCGAACCTATCATATAATGACCAGACTGCTGATTTTTACATTCAAATTCTTATCTATTCGTTTACAGAGATACAAATTGTATACAAATTTTCTATTAACTCTAGTGAAAGGTTCTATCCGTTTTTCAATTAAAAGAAAATAATACATTTCAATACATTTATTAATATTTATTGAATAATATAATTTTCATTGTTACTAATAACCTCTTCTCAGTGTGATGATGATCCCTCATATTTGGATAAGTAAGCTTAATATATTGAAGGTTCTATTAAAGTTTGTATAAAACAGTGGATTGATTAAAATTCATAAAATTGTCTGTTAACTAGAATTTTTAATAATCGTGTCAAGTTAGAAATGTATCAAATTGGCAGTCCGATAATCGAGTGCAACAACAGAGGTTTTTTTCAGTTTTTCCTTTTTACGGACGTGAAACTAACAATTGTTCTTTTAGCGAGCGCTACTTTAACGCTGCATCGAATTGCAGCGTCGTGAATGATCGTAGAAAACTGTAACTACTGTGCTAGATGAGTTACAGGTAGCAACCATTCGGAGTGGGTGGCTTGGGGAGAAGTAATCAGCGAACTAATCGACTAATTCTTCTCCCGCTTCTCGCGGAGCCACTTGGAATTGAATGTTCCTTCCTCACGCGATATCTGAGAGTCTCTCACTTTCTTTCTTGCGGTGCAATGGAACGCTCAACATTCGTCGAATGAATGAAGATTACTGCGCGATGCTTATCAGATAATTCTATCAACAACGTAAAGGCTGCCTTGTAATTAGTACTTCAACTAAAAACGAAGTTGATGATTATAGAAGAAAAAACTCACCAAAAACATAGAACAAAATATTTCCCAATAATCATACCGTCAATAATGCGCGCCCTGTGTTTTCCAGTATCCAATTTCCCGAAAACAGGCTTCGAATTGAACAAATTTTACTTTGTGTTTTCGATTAATTGTTTTTTTCACGTATCAACTTGCATCCGTTTACCAACAAATAAAAGCCAAAGATAGTGCCACCACGGGCGACAGCGTGACAGGGTGAAATGAATAAATTTCCCGGAATGAACGGCGATTTCAGTCGGAACGCTATGAATGAATTATAGTTGATAATTCGCAGCTGAACGATCCTGCGTCTCGTCCCATTGATCCGATCGATGATAAATAGGAAATCAGGCTCGTAAACAGCGGTTGCATGCGCCATTGTCGCCCCCGGTCTATTCTTATCAGTCAAAGAAGCGGCAACGCGTGAAATCGGCGCATCTCCTACTCGTCTAAGGGGGCTACAAAGCGTGACGTAAAAGGATGTCTCTCGTTTTATCGATCGCCCGTACGATAGTATATTTATCGCTACATTCACGCGGCAGAATTTTACGCACGCACTTTAAGAAAAGATTTCCCATGCATGGAACTCGAGAGAGACTGTTTCGCGTGAAACTGCTCGCCGCCATGTCTGGCGTTCTACTTTGCTCCTGACGTGGCCGAGCAGTTTAAATTTCGCGCGAACGGAAACTGCGAACGAACGGAAACGTGGTCAACAAAATATAAGGTGCTTGGCTGTTATGTGCATGCAGGGGTGACATGCGTTCTCTCGAAGCGATTGTTCACGCTTTTTGGAAAAAAAAGAAGCTCGTCCATTCGTGCAACTAAAACGAGACATTCTAATTACACAGTCCAACGAATTAAACGTTTTAATATTCACCGGGGGATTTTTGTGGAATTTCCTGTTCTACGTAGGAATTTTCGCGCGGAGCTGCTTTGAAACAGGAGCTTTTGTAGAAGTTAGTAATTTTTCGGAGAAACGAGGTATTGTATGGAAATTAAAAATGTTGGGAAATTGAAGTGAATCGTGAATTTCCGAGAGAGTTTTCAGAATATTGGGGCACACTGTTATTGGCTTTTCACGGATATAATGGTGCATCAAACAAGTAAATTATCTGAATTCTTTGATGATTATTTACGACCATTTGTAACAATATCCTAGAAATTTTGCTGCATTATTTAATGTAAGAATAAACTAATTTTCTTATTGTTTTTAGTTTTTATAGAATATATCATTGTTGAAACATTCACGGAGACTCATGTGCTTCAAAACTAAGAATGGAATACCAATTTTGTTCCTGGTTTTGTGTTTGTAGTAAGAAATGCTACAAGAATCACTCGGTAGATATTAGAGATCAAAATTCGTGTTGAACAGTGTCATGATTGATCGAAACATTTTTTTTATTTTCTCTGGTGAATAATATCGTTCTTTCTAAATGAATACTAACTGATGACTATCCTTTGCTAAGAAACATAACTGTTTAGTAATATCCTCGTAGAAATGCCACGATGTACTCATATGGTGCTTGAAATTGTATCCTCAGTTTATATAGCCCTTTTTGTTTGCAAAACGATGAAGCTTGTTGGACATTTGTTACTCGATAAGCCGCTCATTCATTTCAAATTTAACCCTTAACTGCCGATGTGAAAAAAACTACAACCGTAGTCGATTTATGAAAATAACGTGCACGTCAGAAAGCACTAAAAGCATTGTCTTACAAAGATGGAAAAAGTTTTATTCATGATTTTTCTTAATATATACTCCTTATCAATTAGAATAGAAAAACAAGTTAACAATATTTGTTCTAATCAGACTCGTTTACTAACTTTGAAATTAAGTATCTTTTTATTGTCTCTTCTCAGGGAATGTGTCTACAGACGCAATTCCTTTGAATATGTTTTCTGTGTGGTTCTGGCATTTAGTGTGATTTTTTGTAACTTGGTTTTCATAGTGGAAGAGGTACGATATATTTCGCACGAGTAAAAGTTTTCTGGTACAGTGCAGCTCTCACGTCTTGACCGAGCTAAAAGTGTACAGAGGCAAAGGGTATTGAGCACACGCGAGTAGAAATAATGTATAACAATGAAAAGAGATCCTAATTGTTAAGTCAACCTTTTTTTTAACCAAAAAGGTCCTGAAAAAGGGTATGATATTAGATTATTGTTGTCAAACAAGATTGTTTAAACAATTTTGAGCGTAGATTAAAACATCGTTCTTTAAAAAATTTAACAATATTTTTACCGACGGTGTCAAAGAACACTTTTTAAAATTTTGACTTACAAATTACTTTCTCAGTTTAATTATTTTTCCTCCATTGAATTTTGGACATTTTTCTATAGTTAATTTTATAATCACCATTGGAAACGTCGGAAAGTCAATTAAAAATATACGACTAAATTTGGGAAATAATTTTAAGTTCATTTTAAATGATGCACAATTCGGACATTATACATATAATGTCTTTTGACAGCTCCGGTAGAAATTGTATTAACTTGCATGTTAATTACACAAAATTCTACCGAATATCAATTATTTTTGACATACGAAGAACTTCCACTAGGAGAGTGACTACTGAAAAAAGGCACCATTTAAAGGGATTGACGCGTTAATCAACTCTATTCTTCATTTCCCGTGAGATGTCACGACCGACACGGTTTATCCTAACTTCTGGTTGGTTCCGGCAGATATCTCGGGCGCAGCATGCGGAAAACGGTTCACCTTCCGCTGTCCCGGGTGGTCATCCCCAGCGGTGATTAAAACTGACAAAAAGTCGTTCCCTTGGGAACGGCGAAGGAAACAGCCGAACGCGGATGGAAAGATGAAGCCGGACGAAAACGGGACGAGAAAAACGCGCCTCCGGGAACGGAAAAAGGGGCAAAGAGGGACTGTTATCCACTTAATTGTTTGGCGAATAAAGCGAAACCTGGTTTTTCGTGGCTCGTCCGTGCCCGGCCTGAGCACGCAGTTAAATGGCCGCGTGCACGGTACCCACACGTACGGCCTTTATAACAGAAACGAAATTACGTAAGCTCCGTTTTAAACGGCCACCTTTACGGCAAATAATGTTGTTACGAGGTACGAGTTACTTTAAAGCTCAATGATGCCTCTTAGCTCGGCTTTTTGCCTTTTATGGCTCGAATGTTCCGTTTTATTTGAGATGAAATTAAACGAATTGCCCTAAACGCCTTGTTTAGCTCGTTTAATCTCAATGCGTTATACGAGACTTTTATGCTTGTTTAGTAGGTCGTTGAATCAGGAAATGGCATGTTGGGAGAAATTGAGTACTTCGTGTACGATGTTTTTGTTTCATGAGACATTTTTGAAAAATTATTTGGAATGTTTGTTAGGAATGTATTGTAAGTCTACTTTTGGAAAATCTCGAGACATAATTGATACTTAATTTAGTAGAAGTTTTTAAATTATACATAATTTACAATCATAAATTACTGAATGAATCGTGTTTAACGCGTTGAATTCCTTGTTAATTTTACAAGATTTATTACAGTATTTACGACTGTAGAAATAAGCTTCGTCGAGGAGAAAGGTTATTGTAAAGCATGTGCTATCAAATAAAATATATATATATATATATATATCAACTTGGAAAATATATAATTAAAAAACAACGTAACGATCTTATTCTAAAAAGGAAATTCCAAAAGAAGTTCTACGCGTAAATCTTTAGTGGACTGTACAATACTCTAACTGTTAATTACGAATACTGTACTTGTTACTAGTCAGTCGATAATAAAGACTTAAAGCAATTTGGATACAGATATCGATGCAAATTTTTTGAGCGAATCGTATGAATCGAGATAAATATAATACCAACAAGCTTCTCCGCGCATAGTATCCCGCGGTTACGTGTTTAATGTACGCTTTTCCTGTACGCCGACTCTGTGGTGACACGTTTACCTTGGGGTTGAGGTCGCTGCCCTGTTGCATAAGAGTGCCGACCATAAACCAGAAGCTGTTGGCCAGGGTGAACTCGTTCACGGTTCTCAGCAGGGGAATGTCGTCGCTGTCGGGATCCAAGGCGCTCACGTGACCACCCTGATCACATCGTGACCCCCGCCAAGTGGTGCGAAATTTCAAGGACAATTACACAGTCTATTCTCAGACCCTTTGCATTCTGTGCGACTGTCGTGGAGCCGTGAGTGCAATTACCCTAGATACCTCTAACCAGTGACATCACATGGGTCGAGGAATTGCGATACAAGCATCCGTGTACAATGTTATACAATACAGTAGTAACACCAGAAATTCAGCTAAATGATTTAAGTCTTAAAAATATTATATCTAAAGATATTGAAAAACAATTAAACAGAAGAAGACAAGAAAATTTATAGTATTAAATTGATATTAAAAAAAAACATTAAAGGAAACTATTAGTAACGAAAATATATTATGTATATATCAATAATCCAATTGGCAGAAAACAATTTTAAATATAAATGCTTCGGGAACATTTAAGTGAAATACATTTAAACGAAATGTACAACAATCTTCAAGAAATCACAGCTCTAGTCGTGAAGCAATCAAGTTAATCATGTTAACCAGTCAACTGCGTTTAACGAGTATACACGTCACCTTAAAGTTTGAAATGATACTAATTCTTTCAACAATGAATTCTTTATTTTCCCAGTTAAACAAGTAATTCTTCTTTGTTTTGCTTTAGTTTTTCATTAAAATATACCCTAGGTGCATTCATCTGCGTTTGGTGAGTACACAAATTCATTTCTTAATTTTATTACGCGCACAACGAGAGTTTTTTTAAACTAAATTCCACAGTTCACAAGTTAATCAAGTTAATCAGGAAAGATCCTAACGGAACGTCTCGGAGCTGCATTCAACAATATGTCCGAAGATTACGTACAACGTGAACTATGCAGAAAGCACAAGTACCCGGAACAAGGTAACGTTGATCAGAGGGATCATCATTACAACTCGCCCATCCTGAAAATTCATCTGATTACCCACGACTCCCGAGCGACACAGTTTTCGCGTAGATCCAATTACATGGTCGGCGTGCACCACACGACGGGAGCCTACCTGCAGGGGACATTTGCAGCTGGGGCAAGCCCTCGGCTCGACCCACTCGTATGGGGAGAACCTCGCCACTATCCAAATCGTCAAGGAGACCATCACGTAAGCGCCCAACATGGACAACCAGATCTCCACAGCGAGGGGATTCATGAATGAGAACAGCCTCGACGGCATTCGCCCGGAGACCTGAAGCAATTACATGTATTTCCGTATTACTGATCCTCTCGGTCCTACCTATCCTCCATCCCAATAACCATCGAAACACAAGAACTTTTCTGGACGCCGTGGGGCCAACGATTTTCGCGTCGTTAGCCGTTACCTGGTCCAGTTATTTTCCTTTCGCTCCCTCTTTTTTCGCCAACCGCGTTGTTCAACCAGTATTTTCACGCGTCAAATAATTCATAAAGCTGGCAGTTTCGTAGTGTTCTGCTGCCAGGTCTGAATATGGGGCCGCGCAAGATGATCCTTTATCTCGGCGGAATCTCGGCCCCGCCGCTATTCTTTGGCCCGTCAGACACGACACAATAGAAAGCTAGAACACGCCGCAAGTTCAGCCATTATACGAGTTCCTTTATCCTTTCGTTTTGCCCGCTTTTTGCCATGGATCCACGGTGAAAATTGGAGCACGTTGTGAGAATCAGGCCTACACGAATCTAGAGCGCGAGCGCTGAGAGCGGCCAGGCAGCTTCGAATAGACTGCCTGGACCAGGCGAGGGTAGACGCACTTGAACATCGCAGCTTCTGATTTTCCTGGCATCCTATTTCTGATTTCCCGTCGGGCCGTGTAACGCTCGGAGAAACGTACCGCGGGGAATCTGGGAACGGGATTCGGTTCAACTTCAACGAACAAAGCTGGCTTCATTATGTGGAAGGATATTCTCGAAGGTAGTCGAAGGCTGTTGGGGAATGACAAGCTTCTCCGTTAATGATTCTGGTAGTCAGAGTATAAAGAATATTCAACTTGAGTGTTCTTGTCAGCTGACATGATTTCGTTTCGTTCCCTAGAAACTTGATTTTTCCAACGTTTCAACTCTGTAACCTGTTCCTAAGTCTTCCAGAACTCTTTGAATGTCTTATAAACTTCTCTTATAACTACCAGCTCATACTATCCCAAATACAATTGTTCTGTCCATTATTCAGTTTAATAAAAAATGAAATCGTATGGACCAATGTAAGTAGTTTCAGCTTGAAATAAAGTATAGAAGACTCCTAACACCTGACGAGTTCCCCTTGTCTATATTTGAAGACACTTAATGGCCAATAAAATCGAAACGAGAGGTGTCCATGGAATACAGAAACTGTCGGAGAATCCACGGATTCCTGGGAAGTGAGAGCAGTGATTTGAAAGGTAAACCGGCGAGCTTAAAGGTGGTGTAGCGAAACGACAGGTGGGTCCGTGTCGGGACAGCTCGTCGAGTGTACCTTTGGGTTGAGTCCGCTGCCTTGCCGTAGGAATGTGCCGGTGATAAACCAGAAACTGTTGCTGACGCTAAACTGGTTTTCGACGACGTCGCTCTCGGCCAGACATGGGTGTGGATTGTTCCACTCGTACGGGCTGAATCGGGCCATAACGAACAGGGTGAAGCTTACCAGCATGTACGCGGCCAGCACGTACAGCCAGATCTCGACGGCCAGGGGGTTCATGAAGGAGAACAGCCGCGTTGGCTGACTTGATGGCACCTAAATTACGTTACGCTACGATTTTAATTAAAACGGATCCCGTACCTCTCGCCCGCCGTATGACGGGTCCTTCGCGAGATTGTTTTGCGCTGCCAGATCAGTTTCATCGAGAACCTCGTCCCGTTTCCCTGACCGTTACCATTTTTCGGATCGTTCTCTTCACTGTCGAGCGAAGCTTTGTTCGGATAATGGACGAAACAATGTGAATTACGAGGTGCGTACTTTTTAGAATATTGACCCTTTCGCTACAATGGACGAAATATCCCGATTCCACCGTGTCGAAGAAACGATGCTATAGATTGGATGAGATTTAAGTTTATGAAATGTTCATTTTTGATTAAGACGAAACGAGATTCTCGGCGTGCGATGAAATATTTTGTTATCCATATGTGGTGTTTCGAAATTGATGTTTTTCAAGTAGATGTAACAGCTAATCAATTATTTGGAACGTTAAGCTTGAACGAAAGTTGCTGAAGAGGTGCGCGAGTATAATAGCGACTCACCTTAAACAGAATTCCAATACCGAGATTCATGAATGGCTTGGTGAAGTCTATCACGCTCTCCCGAGCGTAATTTATCGTCATAGAAGCAACGGCCAGGTCCGCCCTCTGCAGACAAAAAGAGGAAAATGTTCAGATTCGATACGTCTTTACATCGCTATTTTACTTTGTGAAATGCGTACAATAAATATTAATTTCTCTTGGTATTTAATAAGTGATCTGAAATTCTTATAAACATTTTGTTATTGTACAGAATGTCTTGTTGATCACGTAACCAGAAAGAATTAGGTTTTACGTGCAAAAATAAGTAAAATCCGTAGAACATTCTTCGTTCATTTGAAAGCAGGTTTCAAAATTATATTCTATCCTTTTAATTTAATTTTATAATAGATATGAAATTACGCACTTCCAAATTTTATCAATAATACAGTGCACCCTGGAATTAACACTGAAACTATCAAATAGGTCAAAATGACCCAGACCTGACTTCTTCTTTCATAGTTCTTAAAAAGGTAACAAATGTTTCTCTGAGTAATTATTAAAGAAATTGATTTAGCAATGCGCAAACTCAATTGCGAATCAATTCAGTTCTCTATAAATGCACTGTTGGAATTTCCATAGAGAAATTTCAAAAAGTCAATTTAATTGTTCGGTAATTTTAGTGTCTCGTAATACAAGATCTATGAAAAGTACGAAGTTCCAAACATAAATACCTTCAATAAAAGATCAAGTTCGTAAATTCAAACTACAATACAACCCTGTCCTGGTATTTATAATTTTTGCTACAGCTTTTTAATGTTATTCAAAAACAGGACCAACAAAGTTCATCGAATCGAAAGATCCACACGATCGAGGAGCTTACAATGTAGACACGCGAATGATATTTATCGGCTCATGAAGATCACCAAGACGATACGCTACGTTCTTCCTCTGTGTTCGGTTCGGGAGTTCAAGAAATGTTTGCCTTGCAAAATAGCGAATACATTTTTTATAAGCGGACATACGCAGAACGGCAGGTCACCGCCAATGACGTCTTTCCTTCGGGACGATCCGCTTACGGTTTCGCTGGTTTCTGGGTTAAGGCGGAACAGCCTTTCACAGGGGACAGATTGCTTTGCATCTTTTATAAACCGCTGATCTTCGGAATTCAGCCGGCATCTATGTTGCCGTTACGGTTAGTCGCGCGGAATACGACCTCGCCGAGGGCTATTCGCATCCTTCGCGCCTCGAGGACTCCTTCAGGGCTTCTTTTTGTTGAGGAAATCCAGCTGTTCTCTTCCGTCACAGATTTTTCACTTTTCACCACCGTGAGTAGTCCGTATTGACAGTACAGCGCTTTTCAAGCAGACAATACACGAGCGTAGTGCTGGGCTTACTCTGGTTTATTAGAGCTACAGTTCAGTGATCACATAAAGACTGACTGTAACTGAAATAGAGTAGAACTTTGATTATTTGATTTAATTAGACGACTAGTGGTCCAGGTAAAAGGAGCATCTAAAAGACGTTTTTTAACTTTGATCAGGTTCCAGGATCATTTTCGACCCAAATTAATTTTTGCTGTGATTTCTTTTAAGGGGCGGATGAATGTTAAAGCCTGTTTGTAAGAATCGATTGTATGTGTCTCAAAGTACAATTTAAGAATTCGAATCATTGAATCTTAATTTAACCAAGATTGTGGAAGATCCAAATCACCGAAATTAACTTGGTTAATCGAGGTTTACTGTTAAAAATCAATTCGTGGCCTATCAGTGAGTTGCAATTCAAACTTTAGGAAGCTGCTATGTGAGGAATATTTGCATTCCAGAGATTAATTGGCATTAAGTTCATGTAATCGTTTATATATGATCAAGTAACGACGAAGCAATGATTCATAAAGTTTCTCATTTCTGACATATGCGAATTGTAATTTGCATGAAAATTTGTAGTTTAATGATAACTTTTAGATTTTCCGTATTTATGGAAAATCCTTCTTTATAAGTATATATAGGAATGTAGACTATTCAACAAATTAAATCTATTTTTTTAATACAGCGTTTATCCCTATCTTCGCCATCTACCATCTTCACGAATCACTCGGAGACATTCACGTTACGCGGATCAAACTATTGCTAATATCTCATTAACTATCAGGTTTAGGACGTATGAAGGTCAACACTTTTATACTCAGAATTTGATACTCTGTCGATCTATGGTACAAAAAGTAAGTCATTTCATTTAAAAAAATCAAGGTGACCTTGAAATCTCTGAAACGCCTCCACCCACAAAAAACACTCACCTTATAAGATATGTTCTCTGATACCATTTAAATCTCATGTTTCAACGTTTTCATAAACTGTACCGTTAAGTAATTATTTGAGGTAATCAAGATAGGTGCCTCACCCTGTATATACATTTACATTTGCATTTTTCAGGAAAGAGTGGAGTAATATTGACATCAACTAATATCCGGTCAAACCATTAATATGAAGTTACTTAATTCAGAGACGGCATTAATGCAGCCTATCGTAACACTGGAATACACTTCGACTGACTATGCGTCGTCTTATATCACTTAATAATCCTGTGAGTGTTACGGTTCGCTTAATTGTCTGATGTTATTTGGTAATCCAAACAGCTTGTCACATTTCATTGTCATGTCATACACTGTCGACTGTCTGCATCAGTAATAACTTACACAGAGTGTTTCAAAAGTCTTGGGTGTTCTGAGTCGTGCATATTGATCGTGGACATATGCAAATCGATAAGTCCTTTTTAGATTGCAAGTTCAGACTGTGTCATAGCGGTTAGCAGTTACAAAATTGAAGGTTAGATTTCCTTGATACAGAATTTATATTTTGATTGGGCGAATGCTTGATTATTCGTTTTTTTGCATACTTCAATTTGTTTCTCATTTTTTTTTCGTATTTCTGCAATAATATTTCACATGTTTGGATGTATTGAATTTTCGTTCTATTCTGCTTACGAAGAATAAACACTTATCTTTCAGCAATCAATTTACTGAAAACTAAGTTTTAGTTTTTAAAATAATAAATGCATTGCAGATTTTTGTATACGTAAAATAAATGTGTGGACATGTGTACTTTATAAATATTTGATAGAGGGAAAAAATTCAAATCATTGTTAAATTTTACTCTTTATCACTAGAATTGTTTTATTATTAATACTGTTAACAGTTTTCGATCGGTATCTGGATATACCCAATGAAAAATTTTTATTTTTTTTTAACGTTTCAATAAAATAATTTTTCATTGTATACGTTTTTATATAAACAATTAAAATCGAAGCAACGATTCATAAAGTTTCTCAATTATGACATATGTAAATTGAAATTTGCATGAAAGTTAGTAGTTTAATGATAACCTTCAGGTTTCCCATATTTATGGAACATCCTCGTCCATAAGTATGTATAGCAATGTAGATTATTCATCAAATTAAATATCATTTTTAAATACTACTTCAAGAAAATATTTCATTTTTAAAACCGTACGTACAATATAATATATTATAATTTGAGGTAATATTTTAGGCATTGTTCGTAGATATATACATATATTCTGTGTCACTGAAGCAAATAAATTCACTGGAGACGAACTGACAATGTTATTTAACAAGGCGACATAAAATCAGGGACCAGACAAAAATATCGTTGATTTATTTCTGTATTTAGTATTTCGCCTGTGCTCGGTGCGTTCCATTTATACAAGATTTTCCGTGTTGTTGCAGGAACGCGATTCTTTCATCAATTTTTCCATTACATTTTTTGTCACGTTCTTTCTTTTCTTCAATATCATTGTTTCATCATGTATAGAATTTATGTGCATTGATCTATTTTGTGGTATCCATTCATTCTAATTCCGTTTCTTTATGTATACATTTCATACTCCAATATTCCGAGCTCTCGTGTTTCGTTTACACGTTTATTTTGCGCAACTGCGTTGCAAACAATGAAAAACGAATTATATTGGACGTGATCGTTCTCGAACAATTTCCAAAGCGCAATTCAAACGAGTATGTAACATTTTAACAGTAACCACACCGAGAATCGGTCGAATGACCGAATTTAAAATTCTGCGGTTCCTTTCGTTAATTTAACTTCATATCAATTCCTGTATTGTACGATTAATCAGTTTTTCAATTTCTGCCTTTTCTTTTGTTTTTATTTCCACTAAAAGAAATATTTTCATCTAACTTGTTTACCCTTATTTTTTAGCTAGTTATTTAATTGGTTACACTAGAAAATAATGAATATATTCTTACTTCTTTATCTGATTTACAGAAAAATCGAAAAACAATTCAGACCCTAAATTTATCTTTTTATAAAATAAGATATAATAAAATATAAAAATACATTATACACTGTTAATATGTTTCAGATATTTCTTTAAAGTAAAATGAATCAGATGAAGTATTGGAACGCTTTTCTATTAAAAAAGAAGAGGTAATAAAAAAGGCAGTTAATAATAACATGACCTAAAAAAAACGTGCTAAAGGTAAAAAGGAGCATGAAAATAAATGTGCCCGGTATTATAATAAAAAGTGAAAATGCTTTGAAGGTTGGACCAGCGAGATACTAGTTTAATAACCGCTTCTTTTTACAATTCAGATGCAACGGCGGCAACATCTGCGTGACGGTCTATGAATCAGAATATCCGATACGTTGTTACCCGTTAGAAAACTCCAAATTAGATGCTCGGTGAGGTCCGTAGTATGCATAATGAAATAGTATCCGAGATGGATTTATTGCGACAACGTCGGGAGGCTGCTTTGCATATAAAATTGTCCATCCTCCTCTCGTCGGTGTATCACATCCTCCTGCGCTTCTACCTCCGCGACAAAAATATGCAATTTCCGTGTCCGACCTCTCGATTCAACCGCTATTTATATTATACACAATTTTGGTTACGTTAATCGGTGATCCATCGTTACCTTTTTCCTGTTTCTAATTCCACTTCGAGCATCTCCGTGTGTTTTTTGGCACACGTATGGTATGCACTTGTGTTTGATATGTCATAATTGATATGTAACATAATTTATATACGTGAATTAATACAGATTGATGTCTATTACAGCTCAAGCTCTTCTTATATTGAATTGTAAGATTATTTATGTTTTCTTTTAATGTTTAACTGAATTAATTAAAATTTTTGTTGTGATGCCACAATTCACATGTAATATACAATAGTTTACATACGCGTATTAATACAAAATAATGTCTATTAGAGTTGAAGCTTTTCTTATATTGAATTGTAAGATTATTTAATTAGTTACGTACTTTTAAATCAATGTTTAATTGAATGAAATAAAATTTTTTTGTCATGTGAAATTGCAAGAAGTGAAACAACAATTATTGTTATAATAATATTGCTTTCATTATAAGTATCGAGCAATCATAATAACTCATTCTCTTCAATTTAATTTTAATAGACATGAAATGAAGCTGTTTAATAATTTCACGTAAAGATCTCCATATAAAGGTAAAATTACTTCTGTCACAATATATACTTTCGGAAACTATTCAACTTTCATTTGTAAATATTTGTACCACAGATAATTTGGTCAACGATTTGAAAAACGAAACATACGTTGCTAGACACGTGGAAAACATAGATCAACATCAATCTTGTGAACAACATTAGAGGAAAATTTTTACACAATCACGTACTCCATTGCGTAACTTTCGCTTGAAACACTTTTCCATGAATTGTGTTCCTATCAACAATGGCCTGAATTGTATGTACCTTCTAGAAGCACTTGGGCGACTGTAACGCCTGAAATGCTTACAGTAATGCTGGATTCTTTTTTGCGAACCTACACGAAAGTGGTTGAAAATGAATGAACAATTCAAACTGCTCTAACTTTTGACATGTGCGAAATTGTGAAAGAAGTGTCACGCGAAAGTTAAAAAAGGGCACTTTTCATTTTAAAAAATATTGAAGCTACCTCTCGCTCTGCACGTTTCAAGCGGCGCTGGATTTTCTCTTGATGACCTTTTGTAAAAAATTCCTTTCATATGATGAGTTTTGAGCAGAAAGTCATTTGAATGTCATTAGGAATTTCGTAAGTATTATATAAGCATATATTCGTGAATTCATAATTTATGTAATATTTAGAATATTGTTTATGTACGAGAGGCTCATCGACACCAAAAAAAGCATAGTCCGTACTGATTATAATTTAAAAATGTAGAAAGCACTGCTAGAATTTCCAAAGATCATTTTTGGGCAGAATATAACAAAAAATCTTGATAAAAACTTACTAACATTTTCATTATATGTATATTCACTACTTAGAAAAATATTTACATTTCCTTTCCATAAAATTCTTCGTAAAAACGCAAATTCATGGTGCGCCTATTCATGAAGAGAAAACAAACATTTTGTTGAAACTGAAATGAACACGGTAAGGGAATATCATTTCTCTTGTATTCATGAAAAAAGTTCTTTGTTTTCACGTTTCTACTTTTTGTCTTGATGCTGATATTCAGCTAACACGAAAACTAACCTCTCACCATATAATATCGAATGATATTCGTGAGGGATATTTCATATGAAAGTTGACACTAATAAATGTCACTCGATTCTTCTGAGTTCAAATGATTAAAAAATCGTTAAGCTTTAAAGAATTCTTCTTTGTATCTAGTAAATTATTTACCCTTAACGATCGATAATAATTTAGTAATACTTAACTCAGCTGTAAAATAATAGAACATTGGCTAAATATAAAGCAAACATTAACAAGACTTTTAACACAAACAACAAAACAAGATGTATCTTAAATCACAACAAATCCAATAAATAGATATGAAAACAAAATTGTTTTTACATTTCCACATACATAGTAGGCTTTTTCAACAGTGTTAATGACAAAATATTATATTTAGTCATTTCATAAATAATGCAATTTTCTTATAGTTCTTTCATTCCTAAGGATTAAGATAAATCCTCTTTTAATCTAATTATAACGTATCGATAATCTATAAATAAGGAAGGAAAATATATTTTAAGTTAAAAGGTCTTTCGTGTATCTTAACTGTTAAAAATAAAAGAAGTATATAAATATCTCATAATTGATGGGATTACCTAATAATTTTAGCAAGAGCTGTTATGAAAAATACGTAGGACAAGGGTTTAATACAGTTTGATAACTACATACAATGTCGTTTGGTGGGAAGGTCGATCGTTTGTTCTTACCTTTTCCATGAGCTCCCGGACAATGCCGTTCCATTCTTTCGTTTCCGGGTCGTAGACACCGTACATGTGATCAGGCACCAATCTTATGGCGTATTGGAAGCCGACCTGGCCGGCGATCCACTTGAGCAAATCGATGCAGAACCCCTCGAACCTCGCGTTCCCCGTCAGATTCTTGTCTTCCTTTACCATGACGTACGGTTTTTCCTGCAGCAGATAAGATCCCTTTGATGGATCACCCGGACGCGACCTCGAAAGGTACCTTGATAGAAGAGGAACGAGCGTTGCCTTCTTCCTATCAAAGAAACAGATCTTGTCCTCATGGATAAGAAAGTATCTCGTTGATACGAAGGGCAGCTGTACGCAGTCCTTTAATATGAACGAATGAGCAGAAATTCGAACACTACTGGCTCCCTTTGATCCTTTCCTAGATCTTTATCCCTCAGAAATAGAGAAACAAAACTGTGTTTGATTAGCGTTCATTTTTCAGACGGAATGGGCTCTTGGGGTATTTTTATTGAGAATAATGACTGTTTATTGTTATTTGAGGCTAAAAAATAAATTATTTTTCGGTCTCTTTCCAATTTCTTGATGTAAAAGTGTTAATTGAATATTATTGAATAAATTGTTTATTGATTTATACATTGAATCTTTAAATTTCTAATTTATTAATTGAATTTCTTGTCTTATTTGACAAAAGCAAAAGAGCTTTTACTGAAATGTTTTTAACCAGCATGATCCAAAAATTAGTACCTCAAAAGACATAGATTTGGCAACAGAAGTCACAGTAAAAATTGAAGTGATCTCTACTTATTAATCAACCGCGGAAGTTTATGGAAATTTATTGTTTCGTAAGGAAATTAAATGAAATCTTATGTTGATCAATATACTCTCTAAATGAAAAATAATATGAACTCTAATAAATTCTATCAAATTTTATATTTCATAATTTTATAACCATTCACATAAATAATAAAGCTCCATGGTCTGTTTATTACATATCCTGACTTCCTTCTTGTATTCATCTCTTCGTTGGTGCTATATAATTATCGCGCTGTAATGAAAATTCGATAAACTCTTGTTCGAGTGTGATTACCTCTCTCGTCATAACCACGAGCGTAATATTGGTCGCTGTGGTCTCGTAAAAGGCACCGACATCGGTCACGTTAACTCCGGTTCCTGGCTTCCATTCGCCCACCTTTACCAGCTCCTCTTTCTTCAGCTTCAGCAAATCCAGCTTGAAGTTGTTCCGTTTCCCTTCGTTGAATTCGATATGTCCGGTTAGGCCGTGTAAGCCTGCCTGCGAACAGAAATGTTCGTAACCCTAAATTTGAGGTCGGTCTCATTACGAAATTTTGCTTAAAAATAAACATGTCTCCAGCTTCATCGAGGCATTATTAACACGTTGACTGCCACGGGAATTTCGGCCGTTTTGTGTAATAACATTTATTCTTTCATAACAAAGAATATTTGTTAATTATTTAGTATGACAGTACTCGTGTTACGTTATTATATAGTAGCTTATGTTACTAAATATTTTTATTTCTTATCAATTTTTCGGTCATCGGTGACCACCGTGGGAGTGAATGTGTTAAAAATAATCGAATATTCTTAAAAATGTTAGATGAAGATTTTTCGAAAGAAGCATAATAGTAACTAGACTGCGGATTTTTAAGCGCTTATAACATTTGAAAATGTGTAAAATATAAATGAATATTTACGCTAACAGACATTAATAAAATCTTCATTGTATTTTCAATATAAAAAGTTTTTAATATCGTTGTAATTTTGAGTTGGTGATTTTCATGATTTATAAAAATGGAAGTTTGCATAATGATCCACAGGCTACTGTGTTTAATGATACATAACTGCATAAATGGGGTTGTTGAAACTTACATGAATAATTTCAATGTAATTCAATTAGTAAGACAATTTTTCAAATATTTAAAGAAATCTAACATCTGCGAATTCAATTTGTTCTTTAAAATGGTAAGATTGAGGTAACCGATTCAGAGATTTTCTCCAAACGTTCAAGCTTGACATTATTGTCATTTTCGTTTCAATACTGCTTGAATCTCTCATTAGCAGTTGTCGGATTGGGTTCGACAACCATCTCAGTCCAAATTCCCCAAACAATAGATACATAATTGAATCAGTTCTGTTACCTAATTAACAATCGCGGGTATCAATTAATTGCCTAATGGCGATTCGATCACGTCAGTTTGTGAGTGCATAATTACTCGATAACGGGAGACATTGCCGGATCATTATTCTGCCAAATCACGTGACAGACTTCGCCGGATTCGCTCGTCGTCCGCTTCCACCGTTTGGACTGAAAATGTTACTAATCATAGTTTGTGACCTACATTCCCAAAGAAAAAATGCGATCCGGAAAATTTCTCCAATTAATTACGTTTTATTTCTCCAGTTAGTAAGAACTGTGTAATGTTTTTTTGTTTTTACTCCAGCCAGAAAGGTCTTCGCACTATATGACAAAGAAATAAGACGCAATACATATTCAAATTATACATATTATATTTTCATTTTAAAATCTTCCTTCTTTTCACTTCTATCGGAAGATTCATCGAAAGGTTCCTTTTTTAACTACATTAACACCAAACGTACCGCGACCGGCCAAATTACGATGGTTTGAAATTAAAATGACCGGTTGTAAAATTTGATTTAACATTTTTACGCCTTCTTTCGTTCAATTAACTCCATATCAGTTCCTATATTCTGCGATCAATTAGTTCTCCGATTCTTCTCTCTCCTTTTATATCTGTTTCCACTAACGGAAATGTCTCGTCTAACTTGTTTATGTTAATTACAAAACCAATTGACTAGTTACGATAAGAAACGATACATATAAAGTGTTTTCAATTATGAAGTCGACGAAAAGAAATATCAGAATATACCTAAAAGGAAAATAGTAAACCAAGATACTCTGCTTATGATTGTGCAATACAATCCTGGAACGCGCGCACAGTTACGCAAAGCGTGCCCGATTCGTTCGCGTTTCCGCTACTTCGCAGACTTTATGGACTAGAATAGAAATCAAAATGCTCTTGTATTTCCGCGGTTTTTATCGTTTCGGGCGTATTTTTCGATGGTCACCGATCTAAATTGCGACGTCCGCGGCTGTCGCAACATCGAGGACGCGATTCTTTTTGTTGACCGGGGGAATGCGCTCGAAAATCCTCCGCGATATGTCATGTCAGTGTGTCGAATCGATTCGCAGGACGAATGGCACCGGTGCCCGGAAGTGACCGGTACAACGAGCATCGTATTTTCAGCATCCCCGTGTCCCGTGTACTCGTTCAGGAGATTCGTCCGTTAATTGCCGGCGCGTCTACGCCTACGTTGCGGTGCGAGTCGCGGATACACGTTTCTACGAGCGCGTGTTGCGGAAACGGACGGAGGTGATTTGCGCGTTCCCCTCTTGTTCGAGGACTCTTTCGTTTCGCTCTTGGGTGAGCTTTGGATACAATAGAAACACGAGAATGCGCTATAAAACGCGCCACTAGAAATTCGCCCGCGCGCGAAAGGAAACGGTGCGATGAAGCTTGTCGCCGTTGGAATAAAATTAACCGACTTCAGGATAATTATCTACGTCTTTCTCTTCTATTTCTCGGTAGTTGTTCCTAATCGTGGTTGTACTTAAGTGATATTAGCACTAGGTTTACGGAACGTGTCACTTTGACGCATACCGAATTTTATAAATATTATTTGGTAAACGTTTACGTCGGTTTTGATTGATGCTATATGAATATGTGACTTTATTGTATGTTTTTAAACCTCTAATTTCTGAAATTTAAATGAACAAATTTCAACTTTTCTGGGAATAATTGAATAAACAGTAGAATGAATGTCTGTAAACCTGTTAATGGGAATAATAAGTTGTGAGAATGACTGTGGTGTTCTTAGTTTTTCATCGTTAGTGTTTTTGTTTTCTGATTATGTGCAAGATGACGATGTAAGAGAACTTAAGCTAGAGCTTTTCTAGATTACATTTTGTTCTACATTTATAAAAAATCAATATTTTCCAATGTTTCTATGTTTATAACCTTCTTCTTCGAAAATTTCTCCAGTAAAATAATAATTGTTATGTTGTTAGAAGACTGATAACGGCTGATACAAAAATTTATAACTCATTAGAAGCGGAGCTGCGGTCCAGAACAATTACTCATTTCTTTATCTTTAAAGTTATTTTGAGGTACAGGAGTACTTTCGAAAGTATGTGATGCTGTTATCTGTCCAGTATTTCAAAGCTTCTAGTCTAATAAATAATATTCCTCGATCATCCAGTTTTTTTGTTGGAAAACTCAGGTTCGAGCGTGGCTTAAAAAATGTTATATTTAATATCGTGTTTTCTGTGGAAATATTTAACTGGCTAGCGGGAAGGATAAAAGTTTCTGGTTGATAATCATTGATCCGGAATGCGAACGGTGTACGCATTTAAAATGAATCTCTGTGCGACATAGCAGTACCAGTGTGTTATTCGACTCCCTGATGAAGCTGACTGCAATGTTTGTGAAACGTTTGTGATAATATTTCCCAAAGGTGGTGACTTTCAGGTAGAAAGCACCAGCACCGGGAGTTGCATAATACCGTGAATACTTCGAATCCCAGATAATTAATATGCTAGTACATACTAACTATAAATTTAACAATAAATAATGCAATCCTTAATGAACACATGATAAAGTTTTCATATAATATGTGACCTAACTAAGTTCTTGATAAAAATTATAACTGGAAAATTAGTTTCGATTACTGTGGAAGAAAAATTATTACTTGTATAAATATCTATATTTTATTAATAATATATAGATGAAAATATGATACTTTCAATTCATAATTTCCAATTCCTTCAGAAGATAAAACTTGAATGTATTAATATTCATAACTCGAATTCAATACAAGTTCAGATGTCATTTCACTCACAAGCGTCTCTGTTGAATAGTATAATTAATATTACACAAAATACCTATGCATATTGAAACACTAATAACAAACATATTACTAATTTGAATACCTACTAATACCATAAACAATGCATAGCATAATAGATCCAAAACAAGCGAGAAATTTTGCAATGAAATAAACGTCAGGATGAATTCTGTTGGAGTTTCATACAAAGTATAATGGAACAAAAGATTGTGGCATTTGACGCGGACAGCTACGAGTCTAGCGCAGCAGCGCGGACCGCGGAGAGAGTCCGTCGTCTTTTCGATCGTCAATTGTCTCCAGCGTGGATCCAAAAAATGTATAAAAGGACGGATCCACGCTGGACGAGATGAGAGTTGTGTAAACCTGCAAGCACATCATTACGGCCCCATTCCGTGTAAAATTGGGTGGTCCTTCGACAATAAATTTAGACGGCACGAAGTGCAATAATTAGGGTCTAGTTCGTACCCTGACAAATTCCCTAGATGCAGTTCGAACTTGTTACAAATTACACGAATGGAGGCGATTGATAATGAAATGACTATCTAAACAAAGAACCTTTACTACACCGGACATCTGTTCAGTTGTTACAATGAATAGTAATTTGTTTTTCCGACATTTTGTAAAACTTATGAAATGTGTAAGGTCTTTATAGTCGATTATCTGTCTGATGAGCGTCATCATGCGACTGGGTGGCACCAGTATGATTGGAAAATACGGTGACGGCGTTTGGAAAATCTTGAGTGGCTGAAGGAAAAGTGTTTAGGACTGTCGTCGACGTGTCTCTGGGAGAGCGCTTCGAGAGAGAAAACTTCACAGAATTGTCTTTACTTAACTTTATTGAACAAAACTTAGTACAAAATTAAAGGGATACTCGTGTAAGTGTTACTTGCTTCTAAAATACTGACTGCTCTTGCAGCCGGTCAAAGTGCAAGTGAGAAGGGATGCGTATGAAAAGAATGAAAGAGATTGGGAGGTGAAAAATAAAATTGCGTGGAAATACGATGGCGACTAAATCGAGGGAGAGCGCGTGATTTTGCGAGCGACTAGTTACAGTAAACATTAGATAATTGCAATACTCAACAGGGCCGGAAGGTTGCAATTATGAAGAGGTAGAACCGAATCCACCCCAAGATATGAAGATTTTAGCATCGTGCATGTATAAAAGGACAACGGGAGCGACGAAAAAAGAAAAACTGAGAGTCGAAGCGTTCGGCAACATTAAAGACTCGTGATAAGCTCGAGACCTTCATCTCAGAGATAAAACTTTTTTATTGTTCACTTTTGATGAATACAACATTCACCATTATATTTGTTATATTTTTCTGATTAAAATAACACGAAACACGATAT